TTCAACAACATGACTTGATTCTTTATGGCTGAGAAAAGCCCACTATGTAGGTAAGCCCCATTTTCTTTGTCCAGTCCTCTGATGTAGGCTAAGTACGTTGGTTCCATAATTTGATTGTTATGAATAGCGCTGCAACAGACAATGATGTGTAAGTGCTTTGGATGTGTTGACTTTGAATCCTTTGGGTCAATACTCAGGAGGGCTGTAGCTGGGTCATACGGAAAACCCATTTTTAGTTTTCAAGAAGCCGCCATACTGAATTCCATATCATGGCACAGAATTGATAAGGCAATCTTTTAAGCTTTTGCATTTCTAAGATAAAGGAAATTACATGTCTAGTTTGTATATTTTTTAAAATAATACATGGAGGAGCTGGAGAGTTGGTCCAGTGCTTAAGAGCACTTGTTCGACCCAGAGGACCCAGGTTCAATTCCCAGCTTCTACATGGCAGCTTACAATCATCTATAATTCCAGTCCCAGGGAATTGGGTACTCTCTTCTGACCTTCTGACCTTCATGGGGACCTGGGCCCCCCATGTGATGCACAGACATGCATGCAGCAAAACACTCATAAAATAATTTAAAAATACACTGATATTAATAAAAACATATAATTGTGATAAATATAAATTCATACAACTTGCTATCTTAGCCACTTAAATATTTATTTCTAATACCTAATACAATGCAAATATAGGAAGCAGTGACAAGAAAATGCCGCATTCCAGCACTCCTGAGATAGATAACCCAGACCCAGCAAGACAACTATTCCTTGTTCCTTCACATATACAGATCCAAGCTTCCCTTTGGGTTGTACAAGTGTGCAGCTCAGTAGTGTAGTCTGTTTTCACTGTATAACCGGCCTCCAGAACATTCATCATCTTACAAAATCGAAACTCTTCACCCATTAAATAACAACTCATGTTGCATTTTCCCAGCCCCCCAAAATCTACATTTCCACTTTTGGTTTCCGTGAGTTTGACCAGAGAGACCTCACATCCTTGAAATCATGTAATGTCTATCTTATGTAAACAGCTTATTTTGATCAACATAATCTCCTCCTGTGCCAGATGCTTCCTTTTTAAAGGGTGACTAATATTCCATTGTATGCATGGACACAGCCTATTTTGTTTATCTGTTCATGCATGGACATGTGTCATCGTCTGGCTGTTTCCAATCCTGCTAAAAACATTCTGTACAAATAATCTCCTCAAGGTCCTACTTCCCATTCTTTTGGAAAGATGCCTTTAAATATGACACTAGATTACGTGGTAATTATACTTTTAATTTTTTTTTGAGGAATTTGGAAGTGATGGTGTGTACTTATAATCCCAATTTAGGAAACTGAGACAGGATCAAAGCAGATTAGGCCAGCCTGGGTTAGATAGCAAGTTCCAGGCCAGGCTGAGATATACAGTGCTATTTTGTCTAAAAAAAAATTTCCTTTTTTGAGGAGCTGTTATATTGGTTTTCATAGAGGCTGCACAGCTTACATTCCCATCAGCAACGCAAAGAGTTCCAGTTTCTCCATATTTTCAACCCTTATTTTCTATTGTTTTTGTTTGGTGGTTTTGTTTTTCAGGATTTTTTTTTAGACTTTATTTTATGTATTGTGTCTGAGTGTGTGTATATGTATATACATACATACATACATATCCACACACATACATACACACACACACAGTAAATGACCTTAGAGACTAGAAGAGGGAATCAGATCCTTTGGAGCTGGAGTTGCAGGTGGTTGTGAGCCTCCCAGTATGGGTGCTGGGAATCCAAGCCAGGTCCTCTGGAAGAGCAGCCAGTGTTCTTAACCATCGAGCCATCTCTCCAGATCCATGTCTGCTTGCTTTTTAACAGGCACGGGTTGACACCTCACGGTGGGTTTGACTTTAATTTTTCTGGTGATTGGTGGTGGTCAGTACCTTTGGTGTGCTTCTTGTTTGTAAACTCGAAGGGACATGTTTTATACAGTCATGCAGAGCGGGGAGAAAGGGAAGGGGTGAGCAGGGAAACCATCTGGGAGAGCCTAGAGGGCAATAGACAATGCCACATGTTCACATCTGCCCTTACTGCCCCATACCACCTACCCTGGATTTAGCAGGAAGCGGAAGCCTGGGGTCCTTCGAGTCCCCATGACCCAGCTGAGCATAGTGCTTCTCACCAGTTGCCCTGTGTTCCAGAGCTTTCCTGTGCCTTTTACACCTGAGCCAGGAGGGTCTTCCCTCTCCCCCAGGCTCTTCTTCATCTCCAGTTTGGGCTCCCTCAACCACATATCCTTCCTTTAGGCCTGGCTCAACCCCACGGCAGTGTGAGCCAGCCAGTGTTCCTGAGATGCCGAGTCTCTCTCCCCGCTCCTCTTGAATAACTGGCCTCTCTGGAACTGGCCTGGGATGCTCGCCCTGCCATATTTAGGAACACTGGTACCAATGTCAGAGGGAATCAGTGAGCAGAGGTCTCCTGTACCAGGTGACAGCCGGCCTCTGCTGAGTCTGTGCTGTCGACACGGAAGCAGCTACTCCGGGTTCCTGCAGCTGTGACCCACTCCCGAGGGGACTCTCTGGCTCTCTGCTCCGGACAGAGAAGTTTCCAGAGTCATGTTCTAAATCTAAAGCTCTCGTGGACTTGGACCTTTCAGGCTTCGCTTTGAGACAGCATTTCCGCTCACCAACGGTGACACTGCCTGATGTCCTTTGCTCCCCTCCTTACTGAGTGAGAGTCAGGGCCTACAGAGACAGAATGAAGCTTGGGCCAGGATGACCTCTGACCTCACCAGTCCATAGGCAGGCCCCTCTAGCTTCAGGATGAGACTTGAAGGCCCAGCTCCTTGTAGGCCACCCTTCTCTGTCTGTCCTGACAGGTAGATGTATGTTAAAACACACACACACACACACACACACACACACACACACACACACACACACACGGGAATTTTTTTAAGGTCCTTAATGCTAACACTTTTGCTTTGAGTTTTTGGGGTGTCTGAAATGAAGACACACTCACTTACTTGGAATTCTCTAAAAACTGTTAATTGCTTTAGATTTGTATTCCCTCTCAAACATTTGAAAACAAGATCTGCAAATAGTTACACAATTGATTTTCAATAGCACCTGTGATACACGTTCCATAAATTCAGGTGTACAGCATAAGAAAAATTAAAAGAGCCATTCACACCTTGTGCCTCGGCCCCCATTAACATACATGTTCCCTTACACGCACACTCACAATCCAATACATTTGAAGGCAGCAGAGAGGGACAGAAGTGACATGCGAAACCTAAATGGTTCTATAACGTAATAGAACATCTGAAAAATCTTTTTTTTTTTTCATGTTTAACTATCAAAGACATCTCCATGCCAAACAAATGGGAGCTTAGGATCCACTCTGTTGGATTCTTTGTGCGAGAGCCTGTGTCTTACTTGGTTTGGAACCTGGAGGTCATAGTATTGGCCAGGCATTCAGCAAATGAGATGGAGGAGAAAGAACCCTCGCCAGTCTCATGGTTTCTGGGTCCTCCCAGCTAAGCTTCCCCACGTCCTGGCCTTGTGCTCCTCCCTCTTCCTTCTCCTCCTCTTGAGCACCACCCCCCCTCTGGGGGCAAGGTGTGCTCTCCAGCAGCTAATTGCAGAAGAAGCAAATTTGTGGTCCTAAAACACTGTGTCTTTAATTCAGTCCACTGCCAACACTGAAATCCGGAGGTTTCAAACGTTTGCCTTTCCAGTGTCTGAAATATGAGATCTGACAGCCATCGGTGCCCTGCTCTTCCTCCGGCAACCGGACACTCCTGCTGGCAGACAGCACCCCCTGTGGTCTGACCCAGACTGTCCAACTGGCCCACTGCTTGGCTTCACAGGCTCTGACTTGCGTAGTCCGGGGATTTTTGCTCTGCTTGTGGCCTCTCCCTGGACGATGACCTTCCCAAGTCCCTCTTACTGACAAGTGAGAGGGGTGGCCCTCAGGGAGAGGGATTTCATGGTCAGCCTATGCTCTTAGAGAGCTTTAAGGATGTGACCCAGTGCCGTCCGTGGGCTGGCCAGGTTGGAGCTGGTGGCTGGGACAACTGGGCTCATTAAAGCAGCCTGGGTTGGGACAATGAGGACATAACTGTCTACCTATGGCCACTATACCTGGCATTCTGTCTTCTAGTAACTTTGACAGATCTAAATTTAAACATATATGAACTTTGTGTGTGTTTATGTGTCAAAAACTATGAAAATACTTATGCTAGCTAATGTTTGAGTGCTTCCAATGTCCTGACAACAGTTTCTAGTGTCTCTGGGAGCTTGCTAAGCACATGACCCTGTCACCAGGGGAAGGGTAAAATTGTCTCCCTTTCAGCACTGTGATTAGGACTTCCCCAACAAGGAATGCCCTGTGTTACCCAATATTTCATCAAGGGGAAACAGAAATTTGCTTTATTCTGTTTTTTTTTTTTTTGGTTTTGTGAGACAGGGTTTCTCTGTGTAGCTTTGGAGCCTGTCCTGGAACTCGCTCTGTAGCCCAGGCTGGCCTCAAACTCACAGAGATCCGCCTGCCTCTACCTCCCAAGTGCTGGGATTAAAGGCGTTCGCCACCGCCGCCCGGCATGCTTTATTCATTTAACATTTACTGAGTGCTTACAATACGTCAGGCCCTGTTCTAGGTCCAAGGAATACAGTCAAGTACAAACAGATGAAACCCCCTCCCTTCGATGGCTCTTACATTCTACTCAAAGGGGGAAAGATGACAGTCACTCTTAGATTATGGAGAGCTATGGCAAATTGGTCTTTTAATTCTGTATAGAATATAGCATGACTACTGATGTGTTTACATCTATACTCTGAGGAAAGCTCTCAGCCATTCTGTTGTGAGGGTCTAACAGACAAGCTGTGGGGGAGCAGGGTATGTCTTCCTCCCCATAAAGTGAGCAAGGTGGACTTGGTCCTCCTGTGGTCTCAAACTTCCCTGCTGGCTTCCTATGGCTGACTTACTCACACTAAGTGTCTCTTCCAGCCTCCAGACTCTGGCGTGGCCAACATGGAGAAAACTCAAAGGTACCTGTATTCTGGAACACAGAGCTAGCAGGGATGCCCCACACATGTTCTCCTGTAACTTCTTGCTAGATTGATGGGTGACACCAAGGACCAGAGAGTTTAAAGACTTTGCTTAAGGCTTAGGGACAGAGCAGTGACCGGAACCAACTCACAGCCTCCTAGCACCCATCCAGAACCTTTGACTCCCCATGGCCCCTCTGGGTGGATGGGAAGTGGGAGAGGTCAAAAAGATGGAATGCCCATGTCTGCCACAAGGCCTCTTCCTTCTGTTCTTGGGTGACCTTGCAGGGTTTGGACCAGAGTCATTTTACACTAGACTCAGTTTCCCCTTCAGCTTTGGGCAGGACTGGAGAGCTTGGGAAGAGGGTCCAGAGGGAGCTGTTTGCCCCTTACTAACTGCAGAGCAAGGATAGGTTAAAAGCTTGTTAGGAATGGCCTATGATGGCCAAGGAAAGGGCTCCCATGGGTGACCAGTGCAGTCTGATCATTTTGTGCTCGCCTCTTACAGCATGGAGAACAAACCACAGCAGATGTGCCTGGGGGTCATGACAGGTGAGTCCTGGGTTTCTAGCCAGATTGTCTCCAACCCTGTGACACAGCAGACATTTTGTTAATAGCGAAGATGCATTTTATTGGTCACTTTATCATCAATGCCTGGGAAAGGAGGACTTCATGCTAGGAAGGCAGATAAGGGAGGCAGGGAATGTCAGGTCACATGTCCTGAATAGAAAGCGTGAGAGATGGATGGGTTAGGATAGAGAGCTAGGAAAGAGGGAGCGACTGGGGTGACTGGACCAAAGCCTTGTGGGTTCTTCCTCCTCCGGGACCTCAGAGATGGATTTATGGCACTTACTTGGGTCCTTCCTCCTGCCCAAGGGGAAGACCCAAGTCTAATTTTCCACCTATTTGTAAAATAAAACTGCATTCTATAATCTCTCTCTCACTGGCCATAAAAACATATCCTAGGCTCCAGAAAATAAAAGGAAGTAGTTGTGATTGACATGTTGGCCTCTTCTCTCTCTCTCTCTCTCTCTCTCTCTCTCTCTCTATATATATATATATATATATATATATATATATATATATATATATATATACATGTATATATATATATACATACACACACACACACACACACACACACACACACACACACACACACACACACATGTTCTAATGAATCCGCTCTCTGTGACCTCGGTTGTTTCTTCCTTTGATGCCAGAGGACCTTTGTGACTCTACTAAGTTATCCTAAAACAGCCAGTCCCTTGATGCCACTGAGCTAAGCATGGGTGTCCCATGCTTGCTGCTTGTGAGATGAGCTGGCCATCCAGATGTTAGGCTGAGCTGCCCGCCCCCGCTGCACTGATGAACAGGGGTGGGGGGGGGGGCGGCGGCGGTCCCCTGTCAGCTGAGCCTGGGCATTGACACACAGGGCTTGTGATGTATTAGGTTCTTAGAAAGGACGGAGATGAGGATCCTCTCTCTCTTTTGCTCATGACCCAGCAAGGAAGGCTGAGGCCACTGTCCAGCCCTCTTGTCACCTGATTGACAGGTGAGGGGCTAGTGAGGGTCAGGGTGGTAGGAAGGTCTCCTAGGCAGGAGTCAGAGTGCTCACTGACCTGGTGGCTGTCACAGCCGTGCCAAGGCCCGGACGTCTTGCCATTCAAATGGTAGGAGAGAAATGAAGTGGTCCATTTGGGAATGCCTGGGGATGTACTTTGGACCCCGGAGCCTCTAGTACCACTCTGCTTTTTTGCCAGGCTTCTCATTTGCCTCCATTTCCCCCCCTCCCCCTGCCAAGCCGAATCACCCCTTTTGGGCACACAGTGATCAGGAATCCCAGCTGGGCAGTGGAAGTGACAGGGAAGGGAAAGATTGCATCTGAAACCCTCAGCATCAGAACATCAAAAGCTGAGGGCACCCTGAGTCGGGCGGGGCAGTGCCAAGGCAGAAAGCTTCCCTGACAGCCGTGGCAGGAGTTCCACAGAGAAAGTGGTCCAGGGATGTCCGGACCCATTCTGTGTATGATGGGGTTGGTCCGGGCTCAACCCTCCTATCCTCTGATCCCGGAGTTTTAGAGCACTCTAATGACCTCCACATCAAGCCATGCCCTTGCCTGTCAGGGTGGCATTCTGTAGATTTAAAACTGAGTGTTGAGGAGATAAATGGACATTTCCAAGGTTGTATGTTCAGTAAGTAGTAGGGTCCCTGGAAACTAAGGGCATCTATCCCCCAGCCTTGCCTTTTGTCCCGCTCCCCACCATCATGAAACCCCAAGAGAAAGACTAAGTAACAATAGACTAGAAACCAGCAGCTGGGGTTGGAGATTTAGCTCAGTGGTAGAGCACTTGCCTAGCAAGTGCAAGGCCCTGGGTTTGGTCCTCAGCTCCAGAGAAAAGCAAAAGACAAACAAACGAAAAAGAAACCAGCAGCTGAGAAAAAAAAAAATGATAGAAAAAGTTTTGTGAAAAGTCTTACGGTCAAGTTTGAGCACATGTAATTTCGAAAGCAGTTCTTCCAATGACTTATTACCGTGACTTTGTATTCATGTATTTTCATAGACCTTCAGCAGCTACCCTCCCATGGGGAATGGAGTGGCCCCCACACTCACACATGCACGCCATTCTTACCATGTTGAACTGAGTCCAAAGCTCTGCATTTCCCACCCATAGCCCTGGGATCCTGCAAACTTGTCACGGCTGAAAAAACTAGACTTGTGAGTCTGGATTAAAGATGGCAAAGCCAAATCGCATATGAATTAGGTGGCCACCTGAGGTCATGAAGCCAAGCAACCAGTCCCCCCATCTTCAGCCCAGTTTTCCTCTCTCTCTCTCTCTCTCTCTCTCTCTCTCTCTCTCTCTCTCTCTCTCTTTCTCTCTCTCTCTCTCTCTGCCTATCATTTGCAGAGTGTGTTCCCCATACAGAACTCTCCTGCAGCCCCCTGGATCCTGCTTCCATAGACCCTGAGGCTCTTGGGATCAGACACAAAGCAAGGGGAGTGGAGAGAGGCCTTTCTCCTCTGCCACCCTCCCTCCCTGCTCTGCCCCCTCCTCTCTCAGGAGCAAGACACAACTTAAATACTCCTGACAGCACTATTTTTAGCGGTCCTCTGGCTGTCAGCTTGGCGACATGTTCTCTGCGTGTTCCCCGGAGCTTTCCTACCCCGATGTCACTCATCAGGAGCAGCCCAGAGCTCTGGTTCTAATCCCAAGTAGCTCCTGTCAGCTGAGAGACCCGACATTGCCTGCTTGATGTCTCCATCTCCGTTTCCCTGGGAGTAAATGAGAGAATGCCTGGAGAGCACTCAACCTTGGGCCTGGCCCACCTAGACAGATGCTCAGCCTAGCTCTGTGCACTTTCCAGGGCCTGCCTCGGGGGTGACCCCCACAGCATGGTGTGAAGGCTGTGCCTTGCGATGGGGGCAGCGATGCTGTCACTCCAGGGAGTCCTTCATCTTTAGAGGTGACCCCTGGCTTTCTCTTTAGTCCTTTCAGATATCATCAGACATTTCAACCCTTCTGTTCTGATGCCCATGTGCTCTCCTGGGAAGAGTGGTGCAGCCCACAGTACTGCTGAGTAAGTCACACTCTTGGCCCTCTCTGGTGTCCTGCGCTCTTGCTAGCCTTGGGTGTGGGACTTGAGGGGGACTGCCAGCAGTCAGAGAGGAGGTTTAAAATAGAGGTCTTTATTAAATCTGTGCCCAAGTACCTTCCCTCGGCTGATGGTAGTTGGCTTTAAAAGCCAGGTCAAGAGCCGGGCGGTGGTGTTGCACGCCTTTAATCCCAGCACTCGGGAGGCAGAGGCAGAGGCAGGCGGATCTTTGTGAGTTCGAGGCCAGCCTGGTCTACAGAGCGAGATCCAGGAAAGGCGCAAAGCTACACAGAGAAGCCCTGTCTCAAATAAATAAATAAATAAATAAATAAATAAATAAAAGTCAGGTCAAGTCTGCCCCTCAGAAGCCAGGGTGGTTCAGGGTAGCCTCCGGCTCAGAGGCTGACATCTGTGCTGGAGTGGGGGTGGGGTCAGCTTCTTCACTCTCAAAAATGTATTTTATTGATTGTTCTTTCTACTCCCCTGCCTCTGCACAGAGACTTGTGGATTCAGGCTAAAGAGCTGGTGAGACGTTTGAAAGAGAACCCGGTAAGAGACTTTTTAACCCTGGCATGGGCTGCAAGACGATGACACCAAGACACAGAGTGGATGACCCTGGTGCCAGCTTGCCATGAGCACACCTCAGGTGTCCTGGCCTCTTAGAAAGTGTCCCTTCCACCGTAATACCCCGAAGGTCACTAGAGAAAAGAGTGAGGAGGTCTATTTAGAATGATTTTCTGTGTGAAACTGCAGAAAGTCGGCAGATGGACCGAGTGACCTTTCACATAGGGAGGGGGTTGGGTTCCGGAGAGAGACAGATTAGCTTGGGTGTGACCTAGACTTTCAGCTTATCACTGTGTGATTCTGGGTAAGGCATCCAGCCTCCCCTAAACTTGATTTTCCCTATTTAAGAAACGGAGTAGTGAGAGAGCCTGACGCACAGGGTTTATGAAGGATTGGATGATATATTGAATGTGCCTGGTACAGTTGACGCTCAATAAAAGTCGGTAGTTATCATTGTCATTGTATCAATGATGGCTGTTACAAATAATTACCACAGTGCTGGGGAGATGGCTCAGGCAGAAGAATGCTTGTTGTGCAAGCTTGAGGACCTGTGTTCAATTCCCAGCACCCACGTAATAACTAGGCAGAATGGTATGTGCCTGTAGTCCCAGCACTGGGGAGGGAGGAGACAAGGAGGATCCCTGGGTCACGCTCCCCAGCCAGTCTAGCCAAATTTGAGAGCACTGGGTTCAGCAAGAGATGCTGTCTCAGAAAAAAAAAAAAAAAATAGAGTGGTTGAGGAAGATACCTAGCATCCATCCCTAGCCTACGCAAATACACATAATGCACACACACACAGGGACCAAATGACCTGACAAGAAACAGCTCAGGGAAGAAGAACTTATTTGGGCGCATGGTGTGTGGGGATGCAGTCCAGAATGGCGGGGAAGGCAGGGCATGGGACATCTGGTTACAATGTGTCCCTCAGTCAGGAGGCAAAGAGAGATGAATGCTGATTTTCTCTTCCTTCCTTTTTTATTCAGTCTAGGCCTCTAGCCCACAGGATGGTGCTAACCATATTTAGGGTGGCTCTTCCCTCCTCAGGCCTCTCGGGGGCTGCACTCAGAAGCAAGCAGAAAGGTGTATCTCCTAGGCGATTCTGAATCCTGTCTAAGCCAGGGGTGTTGGCTTACATCCATATTCCCAGCACTCAGTGGGCCAAAGGAGGCAAATCTTAGGCAATCTGGGACCAGCCTGAACTACAGAGTTAGACTCGGTCTCAAAAAAAAAAAAAAAAAAAAGATAAATAAATCCAGTCTGGCTGGCAGTGGTTAGCTATCATAATGATAATAAGAATGTAATTGTTCTGCATAATAGGTGGGTGGTCCTGAATCCAACCCTGTAATTTTAAAGATGAAGAAACTAGAATTTCAAGATGCCATGAGACCAGGCCAAGTTCACGAAGTCAGTTAGAGCTAAACCCTAAAGAGCAGAGTTCACGGTGTTCCCCAGCTACCCAAAGCTGCCTCCGAAAACAAGTTTGCTTTGTATCCAAGTAATATGTTCACTAGAGAAAAGTCAAAAAAGCAAATGTAATATTAAAGCCACCTTAAGCCTCATATCCAAAGATAATTGCTAATAATGACTTTGTATGTATTCCCTTCGACATTTTTTTTCTAATTACGTATATCGGTATAAAGTGGGGTGTTACTGGATAGATAAGCTTTTTGTAATCTACTTTTCTCAGTTTTTCTGGTGATATTATTTACAGTTTCCATTATCATTTTAACAGCCACGTAGTGGTTCATTTACATGAATGTGGCGTAGTTTACACAATAAAGTACTTCAGATATTTATGCTGTTGGCTGATTTTCATTCCTCCCAACAAGGCATCGTTCATTGTAGCTAAATCTTGTATGGTCCTTCTTTCTTTAAAATACCCCTTGAGAACTGGACCTGGTGGTATGGGCCTGAAATCATAGCTACTTGGGAGACTGAGGCAGGAAGATCACAAGTTCAAAGTCTGCCTGGTTACAGAGTAAAGGCCAGCCTTGGAAATTTTGTGAAACTATGTTAAAATAAAAAGAGGGTGTGTATAGCTCAGTGGTACGGTACTTACTTAGCATACACAGGACCCTAGGTTCAATCTGATATTGAAAACAACAACTTTTTAACAAGGTATGCTCCTTAATACAACTGGGTCCAAATTGCCTTCTAGAAAAATTATTCCACATTAGACTACCAAATACTACTTTTGCCAAAACAAACAAACAAACAAATTAATTAGTTAATTGAAATTAGAACAAACGCCCAAGCCAGTGGTAACTCATGCCAATAATCCTAGTACTCAAGGGCAGAAGCAGGAGGATCAGATGTTTGAGGCTAACGAAAACAACCCTCGAACAGTGATTTAAGGTAGTTGATGTGTGAGATTGAGAAACATGGACAGACAGACTCCTGGCCCAGCTCTTACCCTCTGTCCTTTTGCTGTTACGTTTCAGCAACTTAACTTTGAGAAGGATTGGAAACTCATCACGGTCTTCTTCAGTAACACAAGCCAGTGTCACCTGTGTCCCTCTGCTGAGGAGGTAAGCTGCAGGCTGGGAGGCTGGGGGATTGCTGATGTGGAGGAGAAGGGGGCAACCCTGTCTGAGCACTGTATGCTGAGCTGGGGATGAGGCTCCTATTTCAGAACTAGGACAAGTAGATGAGTGGGTCAGGTGGGTGGATGGATGGACGGACGGACAGACGGACAGACGGATTCTCAAGAAAACAAACAAAACAATACGTATTTGCTTTTCTTCCTCCAGTATTTTAGTGTGAGAGCATGCGCAGAACATAGAATTAACCATCTTAATCATTTTTTGTGTGTTATGATTTGGGTGGGATTAAATGCTGTCATGAGTGTATGACTAACATTGCTCATTTATAACCATCACAAGTGCCAAGAATGCTTTTAAATTTGGAATTTTAAAGTTGTAAAAGAAAATTTATTGTTATATCCATTGTTCAAAACAATGGGTCTTGTGGTGTTTTCATACATGTATAGAATGTACTTTCATTATACCCCCCCACCCATTACCCTCTCTCCTTCCCTCTCCCCCCTCTTGACAAACAGTTCCCCTTCTGAAGTGTTTATCTAATTATTCTTTATCAATAAAGACTCGGGAGTCAGACATCGGGGTAAGAACCTGAGTGATCACAGAAGAGGCATAGTGACCAGTGACCTCCTATCTCTTTCATTCCTCCATCCAAAAAGGCCGAGACCTCCTCTAAGCCCTGCTCTACTGCTTCCTGTCTCTCTGTCCTCAGTCCTCCAAAACCTCTATGGTTAATTTTGGTCAGCTAGTAGCTAGCTTTGCCCTCTGTCTCAAAGCAAACGTTGTCAGAATGCGAATAAAATATCACACAACACCCTTCTACTTCCATGCCTTAAAGAAAAACCTAGATTCTACATAAGCGAGAAAATGTGTGTTTGTATTTCCGGGTCTGGATTATTTTGCTTACCTATGATTTCTAGGTCCTGGGAATGACACAATTTTATCCTTCTTCATGGATGTATAGTACTCCACTGTGTTGATATACCACATCATCCATTCATCCGTGGTGGGCTCCTGGACTGGTTCCATAGCAGTGCCATGAGAAGCATGAGTGTATCGATGTCATTAATGTATCATGACTGAGGATTCTTTGGGATTCTAAGGAGTAATGTGACTGGGTCATATGGTACTTCTGTTTTGCATTTTTGGAGGAAACATTCTACTGCTTTTCAGTAATTCACTAATTCACACTACCACCAGTCACATATAAAGAGCCCCTCTCCTCTAAAATAAAAAAAAAAAATCTGAGACTCCAGCTCTATTAGCGATTTTTATACCCACCAATCTCATATTAGGAAAATAAATTCAGGTTTAGATAAACTGAATTAATGATCTTTCTACACCCGAGGAGAATCAGCTTCCTAGTTAGTTAAGAATTGTTTTGCCTCTCTTCACATGAGTGCTGGATTTACAGAATAGTGTAGGATGTGTACACTTGCCTCACCCTAAACCTGTGAGTTCCAGCTTGGGCGAGAAGGCTATTGTTTACCAAAGACAAACAACCTGTGTTTGTGTAGGTGATTATATTGTGACTTCAGTATTTATTGAAGACAATTCCAATCAGCTGAAAGTGTTAGGGGTGGCTGGGGCCATAGGCTGTGGCAATACAAATGCCATACAGATTCTTCTTCAGTGGTCTAAAGTCTAGCTGCCACCAGGCTGTCTCTGTCAATTGCCGTGGTTTGCCTACTGACCCCTCAGCCCAGCTCCCAGGACCTCTGTCAGTCCATGGCTCAGGCCTGGCTAACTTTCTTGATATGCCCCTCCCCTGCTGCATCTCTTCTTCCGAATCCAGTGTACTTGCCCAGATCCCTGGGCCACTACCGAAGTTCCCTTTTCTTAGTGCTGTGGAACCCTAGGAGAATCGTGGTGAAGATCTCCTTTCCCTAGCCGGCTCTCAGCCTTCCTGCAGCTCTTCTGAGTGTCTTGTGTACAGATGATGAAAGTTTCTGCCCACCTGTGCCAAGTGAAATTTACACGCTCTGTTCTCTCTGGGGTCATTGTGCGTGTGAACATTAACTCATGAATTATGTATCCCTGCACGGAAATATTCAAGCGTGTGTTTAGACACTGCTGAATTCCTCTGTATAGGCACTCATTACTCTTTAGCTACTCACCCATTATCAACCCATATGCAAATTTTCCCTCTTACGTGCAGACTCAGACACATGTTAGCATATCTGCGATGAGTTTGCTCAGGTTGGTATTTGATTTTTTTTTTTAATGTATAAGTGTGCATTCACAGATGTTTACACTGATTCATAATTTCTTCTCTGTACTCTAACCTGCAGCCAAGCAAACGTACACGATTCCTTGCCTTTAATGTATTTATCCCTTCGAGCATTATTGAATGCATGATGCGTTCTGAATACATGTGTCCCATTTATGTGACTTGTTTTTTTTGTTAATTTTTAGTTCCACAAGTACTACACAAGTCTTTCTTTTTTTACTTTTAATATTCTTTATTTTTTTATTAAAATATATTCAGTGTGCATAATGAATGGATTCAGCGGGACATTTCCATATAGTGTGCACTGTGTGCCTTTCATCAACCACATATTTTCAAGACCCTGTCACGTTGATACCTACAGACGAGACCTCGTCTTGCTGAGCGAGTCCCTCCGCAGTGTGAAGTCGGCCACCTTGTGCTTCGGCGTTGGCTTATTGACAGTCGCTTAGCTCCCTCAAGTTTCTTAGTATTTGAAACGTGTAAAAGTGTTTTCTAGGCTCTGAGGTCATGGGTGCCGGTACATTAGTGAGTCCTCACGAGTTAGTCAGAAAGATTAGAGCAAAAACTGCAGAATGAAGGGAGAAGGAAATGGGATAGAATAAACTATAGAATATTCTAGTTCGTTGCATGAAGTTAGGGGGCTGTGGACTGAGGAAGTCTGTGCTTTCTTTGTTCTGGGTACCTGCACTGGACCACCATGGGAAGCACGTGACAGGCTGAGTCATGGTCCAAGGAGTTTGAAGACAAATGTCTAGAATAGACGTTATAGGTATATGTCTCCCACTTGGAAACAGGGACAGTTTGTGAACCAAGTGACAACCATCCCGTGCCTGAGATGATGGAATGAGCCTGGATTCCCCAAATAGCTACAGACAAACCCTTGACCCAGGGGTTTCTAAAGCAAGATTCACACTCGGGGTGCAGGGGAGGCACCATGTCCTCCACATCCCCTAGGAAGGGTGGATGTCCTGAATGAGCTACAGATGAGCAGCAGGGATGCTTCCGGACCCACTTACCTAGGGCTCTTGGTGGGGGGGGTGCGCCATGCTCAGAAGAATCCAGACAGTGCTTATCACTGGCCATTGCAACAGACGGGCTGGGCTGGCCTCTGGCAGCCTCTCACCGACGCAGAGCAGAGGAGAGACAGGGATGGGCCCTTTTTCCTAGGCTGTGGGTGGCAGGCGGCCCTCCCTGCAACCCCCATCTGGTGATTGGCAGCTGTCTCTAGAGTCCCAGCCCCTGTCCCCCCAGGTAACAGCACAGCTTCCTGCCCTTCCTTGCCTGGCTGTCGGAGCCACCTTGCTTCAGGGGACAGCGAGTCTGCAGCCAGCTGAGGAGTCTGTCATCTTGTACTTTTTATTCGTTTCCCACACTGAAGTGATAACCAGGGGTCAAATTTAGAGGTGCTCTCACTTATTTCAAAACCTGCGAAGAGGGGGAGAAGGTGGGGGCTGGGAGGGTTTATCCACTCCAGTAATGAGGCCTTCTCAGCCCTCTGTCTGGGACCCTGTCTCTTACTCATGGTAAACGTGGCACAGGGGAGAACTGGGGTGGGGTATGAGAAGGAGGGATCTGGCAAACAGCCAAGCTTGGATTTCTGATCAGGAATCCAAAATCCAAAAACCTCTGAGCATTTTCAGATTTGAGATTTGCGGATAATAAATGCTCAGTTGGTAAAGTCCATGCAAATATCCCCTCATCTGAAAGACTCCAAAACCAGAAACACTTCTGCCCCAGACGTCTCTGATAAGGGATATTTGGCCTGTGCCCTGTGGAAGTTTGGGGTTTTGAAAATTTTACTATATTTTGTATACGTGTGTGTGTGTGTGTGTGTGTGTGTGTGTGTGTGTGTGTGTGTGTGTGTGTGTGTGTACACAAGATGACATGGTGTGTATGTGGAGATCAGAGGACCTGTCAGTTTTCTCCTTCCATCGTGAGGGTTCAGGGAGTTGAACTTGTGTCTTCAGGCTTGGCAGCAAGTGCCTTTATCCAAAGACCCATCTCATTGGCCCATCCTTTTCCTTTTTTTTTTTTTTTTTTTTTTTTTTTTGGTTTTTCGAGACAGGGTTTCTCTGTGTAGCTTTGCGCCTTTCCTGGAACTCACTTGGTAGCCCAGGCTGGCCTCGAACTCACAGAGATCCGCCGGCCTCTGCCTCCCGAGTGCTGGGATTAAAGGCGTGCGCCACCACCGCCCGGCTTTTTTTTTTTTTTTTTTTTTTAATCTTGTTGATTACATAGTGCGTAAGTGCGAGCGTGTGTGTGTGTGTGTGTGTGTGTGTGTGTGTGTGTGATATATACCATGATTACAGAGGTCACAGAACAATCAAACAGGCTGCCGGGCTTGGTGGCAGAAACCTTTTACTCACTGAGCAATCTTGCCAGGTCCCTTTTTGGAAGTTTTGAGATCTGTCTAGGTCCTTAAATCCAGGCTGGTCATGTTCCCTCTTCAGATCTGATTTTCTTCAGATAAAAACAACTCACTCAGCCCTCGGGAATGTGTCCCACCCTCTACCGGGAGCATCAGAGTCACCACAGTGTTTCTCATCATGTTCCAACCTTGGGCTTGTGGGTAAACGCCTCCCTCATGAGAGGTTGACTGTTTTTCCGGTTAGAGAAATAGAGACTGGACCCAGAGCCCAGACCAAAATGGCACGGCTCCGGGATTCTACCCTTGTAGGGAAGCACGATCTCCAGGAGGCACCGGTCCCCATCTCTGTGGGCTCACCTGAGTCTGGGTCCCTGGGCCTCACGTCCTCCCTGTGACCGCCCTGGCTCAGCCCAGTTCTTCTCTCACAGAAAAGCCGTTTGATGAGGCGCATGGAAAACCTGTGTGAGATCCTGGATTACCTGCACCGAGAGGTGAGGCGGTGGCTCCCCAGCGTTTGCTGGAGTGGGGTAAATGGACTTCTGGAGGGAGAATGAGACCCTGAGACATGGAAGGCTCGACGGACCCCGTCTTCTCGCCACCATAAAAAGGGACGCTCCTGACAGGGGCTTGGCAGCCCTTGGAGGGCCTCAGTGTCCTTGCTTTCTGACTGAGGCTGGCCCTTCTAGAAGCCGCAGGTTCTGAGCACCCAAGAATGGGGGGCTGGGGCTCACCTTCCCCTGGGCTCCGTGCTACCCCAGGATCGGGGCTGCACTGACCCGCCAGAGAGAGCGGCCGCTGCATTTCTAAGATGCACAGCTGGAGGGGTGACGGCTTTGGACCAGCCTCATCCAAACCCTCTAGAAGGGTGGCCCCCAAACGAAGCCCACAGGGTTGCAGAGAGCCCAGAGACGGCCACAGCAGCCAAGGCAGCGCCCGGCAAAAGCTCGTGTCGTGTCCCTTCCTATCCCTTACGGCTCTTTGTAACCCCTAGGTCCCACGAGCATTTGTGAATTTGGTGGATCTCTCTGAGGTTTTGGCCGTGTCTCATCAGCATCAAGAGACTGGGTTCAGGTAAAAAGAAAAAGAAAAAAGAGGCAGAAGAGGCACCATCTCTTGTGTGTGATTGTGGTTGTTAACATGCTGGTACTGCACAGGCTCTCCACGTACATCGATCCCCTGGGGAGACCCACGCATGGAGCCTGGGGACTTCAGTAGCTGTCTCGCTCACATACTAGTGAGTGGCAGAGCCGGTGGGGATGTTGCAATATTTAATTTGGTTGATGCAGTGGCAGAGCCCCACCCCCACCCCAACTGATTTGAGGGTTTAAACCACAGTTGGTAGAGTGCTCGCCTGGCACCCGGGGTTCGGTCTCCAGCACTGCATAAAACTAGGCATGGTGATTCACATCAGTAGCTGCTGCCCTTGGAGACAGAGAGGAGGGTCAGAAGGGCAAAGCTGTGTGCAACAAGTTGGAAGCAAGCCTAGCTTCTACGTGAGATACAGTCTTCAACAAAACAACCACAAACCCGTGCGAGTTTGGCAAAATATCCCTGCCACAAGAAGTATTAGTGACTAGGTAAAAAAAAATAACCTAAATATATTTTAATGCTTCAGAACTTGGTTCTCGTGTATTTCTGAAATTTCTCAGAGGATTTTTTGTTTTATCTTCAGAATCTGGTATTTGATGCTGAAAAAGAGGTTCATATGAAAAAAGTCAGAATGAGAACAGTTGAGAAAGGAAGAGGGGATTTGAAGGGGAAGGAAGATAAAAGGAGACTAGGAGAGAAATGATGGGGTGTGGGTTTCTGAGGTGGGGAGCGCGTGGAAAGGAAAGGAAGAACATCTTCACAGCATATCCTGACCCTGTGGACAAGGGCCCCATGGGGTGCCTTCCACCCTGAGCTGGCGATTTGTGGATTTGTTTCAACTTGACACAAGCTAGAGTCATCTGAGAGGAGGGAGCCCTAACTGAGAAAATGCCTCTATAAGATTGGGCTGCAGGCAAGCCTGTAGGGCATTTTCTTAATTAGTGATTGATGGGGGAGGGCCCAGCCCATGGTGGGTGGTCCTGGGTTCTATAATAAAGCAGGCTGAGCAAGCCACGAGGAGCAAGACAGTACGCAGCATCCCTCCATGGCCTCTGCATCAGCTCTTGCCTCCAGGTTCCTGCCGTGGTTGAGTTCCTGCCCTGACTTCCCTCAGTGGACTGATTCAGGATCTGTAAGCCACATAAGTCCTTTTCTCCTCAAGTTGCTTTTAGTCAGGATGTTTCCACAGCAGTAATAACCCTGAGAGAAATTGGTACCAGGTTTGTGGGGGTAGTCCTGTGATAGACCTAGCCATGTTGTTTGGGAGTGGGGGATTGTGGGAACACTTTGGAACTTTGGATTAGAAAAGCCATTCAGTCTTCAAAGGTTAGCACATTGTGAGAACTTGGAGGATGAACCTGAGAGCCGGGCAGATGACAGAGGTCTGGCTTGTGACGTTTCAAAAGGAAGTTTGAGAATCACTTAAAGACACCGTCGGGGCCATTGCATATTTTGAATTAAGAAATCAGTGGTTCTGGTCAGCTGGGGCTGGAGAATCAGCTGTGATGAACAAGATCCCAGAAGTGTTGTGTGAAACTAAAGTGAAATCTTTGCCTTGCTTGGACAATTGATGCTGATCAGCTGGAGCTGAGAAATTAGCCGTGATTAAGAAAGAGACCAGCATGACTGAGGTGAAATCTTCTGGGGAGTGTTGCTTGAGAGCACACAGAAACTGTGTTCCAGAGGCGGCCGAAGTTGTACCTTGTGCTGGCAGCCGGACTTGGTAGTGTAAGAGTCACCGAGGTGGTACTAGTTTTGAAGGCATGAAGGGGTCATGGAGAATGGCTGGAGTGTGGCACTGTATGGGAGGAGGGAGTCCCTGAAGAAGAGCCCAGAAGAGGAGAGGTTATCGGTGCAGTCCAGTTGCAGCAAGTGACCCCAGAATTTTGGAGGTGCCAAGGACAGCAGGCCTTGGAGTGGAGCCGGTCTGAGCTTAGGAGATGAACCATATGTACTGCAGAGGGCAGAGTGGGATAAATGACCCAGGCCCTTTGGAGGACCCCAGAAAATTGTGAGTGGATCCCCTCTTGAAGTAAGAAATTATTTAACTTGTTTTGATTTTACAGGAGCCCACAGTTGAGAGAGACTTTGAACTTTTAAAGAGATTTTGGAGTTTTAGGGAGGCTTTGTGTTTTAAAGGAGACTTTGGATTTTTTTTTAAGAGACTGAAGTGTTTCAATTTGTAAAGACTGTGAAACTTTTAATTTTGTGATATGTTTTATAATGTGATATATTAATATGAGATGAACAAGAAAGGAAAGGTTATGGCGTAACAGTGATGTGTTATGTGTCATGTGGACAAGGGGTCAGTTATGCTACCTAGTTTTATGTCTTCTTGTCCCAGCCAGAGTCATCTGAGATGACTGAAAAGATGGGGCTGTAGCAAGCCTGTAGGGCATTTTCTTAATTAGTGATTGACAGGGGAGGGCCCAGCCCACTGTGGGTGGGGCCATCCTTGAGCTAGGGGTCCTGGGTTCTATAAGAAAGCAGGCTGAGCAAGCCATGGGGAGCAAGCCAGTAAGCAGCACTCCTCCATGGCCTCTGCATCAGCTCCTGCCTCCAGGTTCCTGCCCTGTGTGAGCTCCTGTCCTGATTTCCCTCAATGGACTGGGATTCCAAATATATCAGGCCAATAAACCCCTTCCTCCCCCAGTTGCTTTAATCACAACACTTGTAACCCTAACTGAGATACACCCTAATCTTCCTACTCACCACTTGGGTCTTCTACACTCTCTAAATCCACCACTTCCCCTCTCCTCTTCCTAAGCAACTCACTGCACCCCCAGTCACACACACACACTCTGTTGGAGGCCCTCTGCATACCTCTATCCCACCAGCATAATCAATCATGCCTGGCTCCTTTTGATCCGCAGCAGCCCTGCACCAGAGCTTTGCAATTGCTCGGAGGAGACCACAAAGTTGTCCAAGGCTGTCATGCAGTGGTCCTATCAGGTGAGTCCCACGTGGAACTTGAGCTGCTGGCTCACGGGGGCAAGGGAGTGTGGAGGAGGTCAACAGGCGTGGTGGTGGTGGTGGGGGGGGGGGGGGCAAAGAGCTAACTAGCTCTAGCAAGACGTGGCTGAATTCAGGACTGTTGGGAGCCAAGGAGAGGTACCTTCATGGTACTCCCTGTGATGAGTCCTTACTGTTAGAACAAAGGAGAGGCACAGCCTGTGTGGGAGTGGACGATCATGCTGACAACAGCTAGTGAAGAGTTTGGCCCATTCATTCTGAAATTTGTTTTTTGTTTGTTTGTTTGTTTTTGTTTTTTTGCTGTCATTGTTACTGGCACTGCTACATGTGTGGCTCCCGAGCCTTTCTTTTATGAGATAGAACCACCTCGGTGATTGAGCTGTGTGAGGCATTGAGAGTATGGACAGTAGATGGAGAAGAAGCCTGGACCTGCCCCTGCCTCTTCCTCCTCTCCTCCCCTCTCCTCCACAGACTCCCCACCATACACACCATACAGATGGTGCCTGTATGGAGGCAAGCCACGGCTCCTGAAGCCATACATTTTAGTTGACCAAAGAGGTCAAGTAGGGTATAGTGGGCTCAGTGAAAGCCACTATCCTTGCTGGTAAACAGCTCAAAATACAGTGCCCGCTGACATGTGTTAACATTATTTGCATTCAACTAAGTTGTAAGTACAGTTGTGCGGCGCTGCCTACTCTTGATAGGATTGGAGGGGAGGGAGGCGGGATCTAATGGCACATGCCTCTGCAGACCTAGCCCCCAAGGAGACCATGGCGGCTCCTCCTTGGCATGCAGGGCTGCCCTGCACTTCTTGTGTTTCCAGAGAAGAGACTCCAGCTCTCAATCTGGTATGCCCTAGTGCTGGGGCTTCAGAGACAAGGGAAAACTCAAATTCAGTCCTCAAGAGCCCCAAAGTGTAAGGCAAGGGGGTGGGGGTGGGCCTTCCAAGCAGCACACAGTTGTCTATCATGTGTGGAGGTGGTTGAGTTGGGGGTCCTGGTGTGCGAAACACTCGGGCTGGCTTGGGCTCTTGAACATGCGCTCTCTTCTCGCTTCCTCAGGAAACCTGGCAAGATCTCCTGGCCTCCAGCAAGTTCAACAAGCATGAGTCCTTCACAGTGGTTTTCCAGCCTTTCTTCTATGAGGTAGACCTGCCTTTGGTGAGTGAGCCATGTGAGGCATCGTGAGTATAGATAGTAGATGGTGAGGTAGCCTGGGCCACACACCTGCCTCCCCGCCCCTCCCCTCTCCTCCAGAGAATCCCCAGCCTTTACCCAATATCAGATGTACAGTCTGAGACAATACCACAGTACTCTCTCGCCCTTTCTCATGCAATTCCCTCACGTAGGCAGATTCTGAAAGGCAGGGTAGCTCCAAAGTGAAGAGCAGGGCCTCAGGGCTGATAGCCTGGCCTAAAGCCCTGCTTCTGGAATGGGCCAACTGTGTGACTTCAGGCTTGACATCTCCGTGCCTCGGTTTCACATCTGTCAAACGAGGACTGTTGCTAATATTCCATCCACCTGGAGTGGACGTCGGGATCCCATGAGCTAACACATGGGAAGAGCTCGGTACCTCCCACCTTTGTGGTTATTGAGGATGGCATTTTCAAGATCACCACCTTTGGCTTTTCCCTCTGTGTGCTCTTCTACCTCTATCCCTGGAGAGAGGCATCTGCACCTTCCTCCCCAAGGTCACTCACTGGTCAAGGGACTATCTGGAGTGTATAGCACTGAAGGAGAGACATGCCTGCCTACCAGGGTCTCTGTAGCCCCTGAGCCTTCCGGGCTGTGTCTGGGAAGAGCTCCCAGCTCCTGCCTGTTGGCTTCATTGTGTACCTCCAAGACGCACCTGCTGTTTGAAGTCCTGGTTCATAAGGAGGAAAGGAACCCCTGCCCATGCCTCATGCCTCAACTGAGTCGCCTCCCTGTCACCTGCTCCTGTTCTGAGTTCAGTTTTGGAGGCACCATAACAATAGAGAACAATTGGAGACTTACCCTCTCCCTGCTGGCCCTGACCTCCAAACCCTAACCCCAGACAGTGCTCCTATACTCATTAAGGAAGGACTAGGGGACAGAGCTGGATGGGCCAGGGCCCTGTCCACATGGATCAATCAGTATGTAGAGGCCATCATATCCTGGGGGTGAGCGGTGAGTGACAGAGTCCTTTCTTACCTTATTCTCTTCCAGGAGAGGTCCTCACCCCAGGATCCCAGCACACTCGCCCTCAGGATCTGGAACAGCATGGTGAGTGTGGAGATGGGAGGCTCATGCCAGCCTGAGAGCTGATTCACAAAGGGACAGCCACTGCATCTCTCTGCCCATGGCACCAAGGAACAGGTGCGGGACGCTAGTGGAGATGCTGGCCAAGTTTGACCCCAGAATCTTGACAGAAGCTGGTGGGGAGCTCCATCCTGCTTTCCCCAGAGGCAGAGCCATGTCCCTAGAGGTTGGCTTCAAGTTTCATTTCAGGCCACAGGCCACCCTGCAGTTCCTACTCACTTTGCTCACTCATGTGGCACCATGCAGGTTTAAAGGTGTAGGTAGTACCTAGAGCCATCACGGTCTTCAGAGAGATGACCGGGGCTCGAATTAGATCCCGCCTTTCATGCCTGCATCCATTCAGGGTATCAACTCCCCCCCCCCTTACACGAAACGCATGACCCCTGACCCCACCCATTCAGCGTATCTCACCATTGATGTCATAGATTCTGTTGCTCTCCATAGGGTGACACTGATGGGCTTTCCCAGGTCCCCAAAGAGTCCCGAGGGCCTTTGGGATTCTTAGTGGATGGAAGGTACCCCAAAGCTTGATGTCCTTTCAGAGAGCTGCTTTTACCATTGTCTCCCCACCCACGCCGCCCTGTCTTTAGAATCCCAGCAATGTAAATTGGTTTTTCTTCTTCCTTGGATTAGAAACATTTCACTCTTTTCCTCCTACTGGTGAGCTGCGTGGAGTATATTGAGTTTCAGTTAGTCTAGGGTGACCCTGTGGAGATCAGAGCAGGGCAGAGAACAGCGGTAGACCCCATATATGAAACACTCTGCCCTTTGTCGATGAAACCCAAGGCCTCTTCCAAAGGCATTTGCTGGTAGGGCAGGTGCTGGGATGGGATAATTCCTTACCAGTGGTTCTCAACCTTCCTAATGCCGTGACCCTTTAATACAGTTCCTCACGTTGTGGTGACCCCAACCATAAAATTATTTTCATTGCTACTTCACAACTGTGATTTTTGCTGCTGTTATGAATTGTAATATAAATTTTTTTTTGAGATAGAGGTTTGCTAAAAGGCTTGCAATCCACGGGTTGAGAACTTCTGCTAGCCTTTCTTCCATGAAGGGCACAGAACCCACTGTCTTCCTGCCACCCTCTCTCAAGGAGATAGGGTTGACTGTGCCACCTCAGCCAAACCTCAGGCCTCTACCATGCCATGCTTCCTCCGCCAACAAGTGTATGACCTCACTCTGCCCTGCCTAGTACTAGAGGGGACAGGAGACGCCAGGACCTTAAGGTCTAGCTGGGAAGGGACCAGTACCTAGAACAGGGCACGTGCACCTGGGCCAGCAGGGATGTGCTGGCAGTTGCCCAAACTCAATACGGACCACGAGGTCAGGAGGGGCCCTGAAGATGGGCTGCAAAGTGAATTTGAAGTGGTGTGTGGGAGGAGGGCAGGGCAGACATCCTTGGCAAGAGGACCTCTGTGAGCAAGGGGTGTGGGGATAATGAGTCCAGCGGCGAGTGGCAGAGAGAAGGTATGGGGACGATGGGACCCAGAGCACAGACGAGTCCAGGAACTCAGGAACAGCCGACGAGAGCATGTCAGGGCGGGGTCCTTTCCCTTTCTCCTTCTGTGGATGTCCTCGGGTGTTGGCAGCAGTAACGGTGATAACCAGTTTATCAGGCGGCCAAGGGACATTCCCATGCTGCTGACCCAGTTTCCTCTCACCTGCTCAAGGGTCACGAGGAGCAAGCAAGTGCCCAGAGGGAAACAGAGGTCTCTCCCTTAAGGCCAAGGGCCTGGGGTACAGCAAGTGCCAAGAAGAGGGCTTCACAGAGGAGGTGACAGTTGTCCTAGACGGGCAGCCTCTGGTCTCTCTCCAGACCTGTCCAAACACCCACAAGCCCGCAGTTTCCCTCTAAGCCCCTCAAGGTGCCTGCAGCCCAGAAGGGGAGAGAGGAGTCCCGCAAGTATTTCAGTTCCCCAGTTCCCTCACGGGCGAAATACCAGGCCACCCACCACTCTGCTCAAACCCACCCACGCCTCCTGCAGGCTTGAATCTGCCCCGTGAACGATCTGGAATGTGACAGGTTAGGGCGAGGCAAAGGGTGTCATAGTGTTCTGGCTCCAGGCCCACTTCTGGCTGTTTCTTGACAAGAGTGACTTTTTTTTTTTTTTTCTCTCCTCTGCCAAGAGAATTTAATGACCTTCAGCTAGCCTCAGAGGGCTTGTGAAGGAATGGGAGCCCGTGGGCTCCCTACCTCTCTTTCAGTGCTGCTGCGGTCCCTTGAGAGCATGGGGAAGCTGGAGGCCCTGGTTTGTGGTTAGCTTACCCAAAAAACCATTGAGGCCAGTTCCCAGGAGTACTTGACTTGTTCTAGGCCACATCCAGACACAGAGCTCAGGGGGAGGAGGGCTTTCCTCCTAGGCAGGTGGTGGGGGTAAGAGGAACTGCTGTGATCTCGGGGACCCTCATCTGCCGTTCTCCTGACCACACACCCGGGGCACATCAGTGTGGAAAGGAACCTTCGCTCCGCAGCCCACAGAGCCATGTGCACGGGCCACATCAACGTCTGTCTGCCGTGCCTGCAGACCGCAGGTGTGAACTCTAAGCACCACACATAGGCAGAGGTGGTGAGTGGTGGTTTTGTCTGCACACACCTGGACTAGAACTCTCCCAGGTGCAGGATCCGCCTGGTCCCAGCCCTGGCTGCAGCTTGCACCCCTTATACAAAGCTGAAGAAGATTTGTGCTTGGGCAGAACTCACGCTCTCTGGGATCTTTCTGCTGCTTCCTCTGCAAGTTCTGGAAATTCTTGTATAGTGGTAATGAAGGGACGCACCCATGGGGACGTTAAATCCCAGGTCCTTCCAGCAATCATAAGACCCTATGTTAAGTCTCACAGTAAGATGCTAGCACCTCCAGGCAGGGAAGAGAATGTAAGAAGTGTTCATACTTCAGAACTCTTTCCAGATCTGATTTTTAAAAATGTACTGCGTTTGTTTGTTGAGGGGAGGGGATGAGCTGCGATGTGCATTTGAAGGTCAGAGGACCACCTGGCAGACTCGTGCCAGGCTCGGTGGCCAGTGCCTTTTCCTGCTGAGCCATTTCCCCAGCCCCCAGAGATCTTAAGATCACCCTCATCCATCCCCACGTACTAGCTAATTTCTCGGTGGCAGAGCAGAGTGGAGGAGACTCTTAGCAATTAAGGGACCAGAAGATGGAGCATAAAGCAAGGATAAGACCAGGGACAGATGCCCCCCCGGGGGGGGGGATAGTGCCTTTGTGTGCAGCGGTGGGTGGTGGAGGAAGAGGGGTTATATGAAGTAATTGGGTTTTCCTATCTTCTCTGAGGATTCAGGGTTAGAACCGGTGTGAGAACACTGGGTGACTGATACGGGAACCTTTAACTTAAGGCTTGCTGTTGCCTGGGCCTTGAGACATGATCCCAACTCTATAACCAGGCTGTCCTCAAACATAAGCAACCCTCCTGCCTCAGCCTCCCAAATGTTGAGATGATGGGTGTGTACCATCAAGCTCATTTTAAGATAAGACTCTAAACAAGAAGCAGGTTTCTTGGACAAACCTGTCAACTCTCCTTCTCTGGGGTCCTTAAAAGATTAGGAGATTGAGATATTAAGGGTTCTGTTGAATTCATTCCATTAGGATAGATGCGGTTTCTTTCCAGATTCTCCCATAGATTCTGACTTTCTTGAAAGACTGAGGAGGAGAAAAATGCAGTGTAATTGACCACCTGACCCTGACCATTAGCCATGCCCTCCCCCCAACCCTCCCAACCCCCCCACCCCCCCACCCCCGAGTGCTCCCTTTGTGAACCACCTGGGCCACCATCAAAATAAAACTGAAAGAGTTTGAGAGACCGTTTCCTCCCCCACTCCGGGCTTGGAGATGCAGACTGCCACTCCTTATCCAGAAGTGACTGTAACTATACCCCCTTGTCGGACTCTCCTTCCACTGGATCAGAACAAGCCATAAGTCCTGAATGTTCCTTCTGGCTCCCAGTGTCTGGGGCACAAATGCAGAATTATCAGATCTTGAGGGGAATCTGAATCTTCACGGTTTTATACATGTGCCAGCTAGACAGGGGTGTCCAAGCCAGTAACTAACTATGTCCCTGTCAAAGTCCTTGTAAGGGGAGAGGAGGAGAAAAGCTGGTCTAGAGCCTAGCACTGTGGGCGTGGTGGGGTTGAGAGCAAAGGACAAGGCTCCCAAACAGGAGGGGAAAGGCTTGTGCAAAGGACACTGATCCCTCCAAGCCACTGCAGGGTGGTTTTTTGTTTTTGTTTTTTTAAGTTCTCTCTCTGTCCCTCCCTCTCATCCCTTCCTCTCTGTCTTTTTCTCTCTGTCTCTCTCTCTGTCTCTCTCTCTGTCTCTCTCTCTCTCTCTCTCTCTCTCTCTCTCTCTCTCTCTCTCTCTCTCTCTCTCTCATATCTGCCTCCCTCATATCCAGGATCTTACGTAGCCCAAGCTGGCCTTGAACTTGATACGTAAGTGAGTTTCTGACCCTCCACCTCCAAGGTGCTGGGATTACAGGCACTTACTAGGTCTTTATTCAGCACTGGGATCAAACCCAGGGCTCAAGCATGCTAGGCAAGCGCTCTGCTGAGATACATCCCTAGTCCACAAAAACAAGTTTTAAAAACATTCTCCCTCGGGCTGGGGATGTAGCTCAGTAGTAGACAATTGCCTGGCGTGCAGAGGGCATGATCTTGATCTCAAGCGCTGAAGAAAAGCAACAAAAACTCTTCATCTAATTCTTCAATTGCCTTTATTTCCCTCCATCCCCCTTTCTCTGGCGCTTTGCCGAAGTTCTGATGTGATGGTTCCACCTGCTGCTGTTCTGAGCACCATCTGTCTGTCGTCAGGTGGCCTTGGTGGTCATGGTACCATGCCATTCATTCTCAAGTTGCTAGCCAGCCTGTTGTGAGTGTGGGGGCCGAGCTGCGTTCTCTGTCACTCTATCTCCATACCCCAGCTAAAGACTGGGACCTGTTTGACTTCCCGTGCAGTGGTGTAAACTTCAATCCAGAGGGTGGTGTTTCTTTTTTAATTGCACCTGGGTTTACGTGTATGTAGATCGGTGGTTCTCAACCTGTGGGTTGCAACCCCTTTGGGGGGGGGGTTACAGATCAGATATCCTGTATATCTGATATTTACAATTCATAACAGTAGCAGAATCAGTTACGAAGTAGCAATGAAAATAATTTCATGGCCGGAGGTCACCACAACACGAGGAACTGTATTAAAGGGTCACGGCATTAGGAAGGTGGAGAACCACTGATGTAGATTATAGCTACAGGCAAGAAGAAGTCAGGGCAAAGGATACATGCTTTTCACATGCTGCTCGGGCTTGACCTTCCTCCTTGCCTCGACTGTCCTTGCTATGGAAATCTTCATCAGTGTCCAGCCAACTGGACACAGGGGGAGGACATGATGCCAAGTATGGTAACCACCCTAGGGTGATCAGGAAGCCATGTGACCCACTGCAAAATAATCTGTTTGGATTCAGAAGACCAATGTCAGTCTTCCTTGAATACCTGCTCCAAACCACGCTGAGTCTCTCCTCCTGCACTCCTGGGGAGATGGGCTAGGAAATCCTGTCAAAAAACAAGGCCCCCCCAAAACCCACTCATCCTCACACAGTGGTCTTCACTACCGAATCCCCAGGAAGATGTAGGCTGCACTCCCCTGAGAGTTGAGCTTTTAACCCCTAGGTCTAGGACAGAGCTGGAAATGCCCACAAGGGGCTACTGATCCAAGACTCAAACTCTGGGGGACTCCCTGGTTGGAGGGGCTCATCTCAGTGCTGGGGGGGGGGCTACCTGCATGAGGCTTCTGTTTTAGATGTCACCTTCTTTTCTAGATGAAACCAGTGGGTCACAAAGATGAGATATTCGATGCAGCAGAGAGAAAGACAATTCAATGTCCATCTAAGGTAGGAGACACTGGACTGGGCGAGGCGAGATGTGGGTGGCGACGTGGACTTTACTGAAAAGTGGGGTCTTACTGAGACATTAGCCCCGAGAGTCTTGGGTCTGTTGCTCTGGGCTTGAGCATAGGTTGTACATGTAGCTGTCCTAAAACTTATTCCTATGGACTGTGAGAGCAGTACTAGCAGAGTGAAGGCCCTCCATATCTGTGGATGTCACAGGAACAAAACCATAGCTTATTGGCCTCCAGCTATGGTCCCTCTAATGTTCTTGGGGCACCAGGTACCAGTTCGAGGCCTTTCTCTTCCTCGGGAGGCAGAGTTGATGAGTTCCTAATGAGTCTTGAAGGCTGTATCCTAAATACATGCCCAATATGTAATAGACATATAGGTAGTCTTTCCAAATACAGGGATGAGGAAATAACATCAGTGATGGAAATTCCTTCTCTTGTGGAATGCAGGTTGATTTGGGGGCAGGGGGCGGGGTGCGTTCTTGATGAGTTAGTAAGTTTGTTGTGGCTAGACAAACCTCTTTTCCTCTTTGCTATGGCTTCCAAGAAGCCTACAATGAGGTCCTCTTCTGTCAGATACATGTGTTTAGCCGGTGATACAGACCACTGAGGTAGAGAGCTAGAGAGCATCAGAGATGGCTATCTTGGGAATGGGCCATTTCAAAGCCCCGGGAACCTTCTTCAGGGGATCAACAGCCAACAAGAAGAAAAGCTGTAGGGAGAGGTTTGGCTTCGTGGAGAAGAGACGTGTAAGAACGCCATGTTAGAATCCAGCCACTGCCCGGGCCACGACACCCATAGCAGCCTTTTCCCAGTCCCAGAGACTGACAGGCACCTACCAAGTCTCTAGCTAACAGACCTGTGGGGCCAGGGTCTCATTTATGGCCAAGGGAGTATTGATGACACATCCTCTTCCCCAGCCTTTTCCCTGGCTCCTGTCTGGCTTGCAGGCTTACACTGTGAACCCTCCCCCAATCTCACTCCGCCGCTTGGGCTCTGTACCTCTCTTGAGAGACCCTGCCATGCTGTGGGGTCTCTCTCTGGTGTTGGGCTCTGAACTGTCCTCAGAGCCCCTTACCATCAATTTTGTCTGCTTGCCTGTGATACCCCTTTTTTTAATGAGCTCCTTACTCCCCAATACTCCTCCTCAGTGTCTCTCTTGAACCTCCTGCCCACCCCCCCGCACCTGAAACCTTTCAACATGAATGTTCCAGTCAACCATATCGATGATGATGGGTTTGATTATTATGGGATGGGAGAGCTCAGGGGTCATGGCTACATGTTACCTTTCTCTGCAGGAGAGCCCCTATCTGTTCACCTACAGAAATAGCAACTACCAGGCCCAACAGCTGAAACCCATAGGAAGGCTTCAGGTAAGGGAAGGACAGCCTTGTATCTTGGTAAGCTTCCACTTGGTTCTCTGTGTCCTGAAAACTCCATTTGCCTCTGGGCATGCTGAAAGCTGCAGTTATGGGAACTGCAACAGGTACCTGGAATTCAGCCAGAGCGACCGGAGCGGGGCAGGGGCGGGCAGTGAAGAACCTCAAGGGTATGTGTGGCTTGCCTTTGGTGGCCTGGATCCACACCCTCTTAGACCTGTCTCCCTGCAGCTCTCACAGCATCATGAGATGTTGGGGTTCTGTGGCACTGTGACAAGATACCCCAAACCCTTCACAAATCTCTGGCTAGTCCTTGAACCTTTCACCTGAGGAGAAAGAAAATAAAATTGTCAGGATGGCGGGGAGAAGTGAGGCGAGGTCTAGAACCCAGGTAGTTTGGGGACCAGAGAGCCTTAAAGTCGACCTGTACCCACACTATTCACCTCTCTCATTATGTCTTGATTACGGTTTATTTCAGAGTCGCCTGGATTCTTCCTACTGAGATTAGATAGGGCACTTTGTACTCCCCAAGGGACTCAAACAGCGAAAGTTTGATGTCTTTGTTATCAGAGAACCAGGACAAAGGTAGATAAAGATGACTTGGTTCTTCTCTCCCCATGGGAACACTCACGCCAAGTGGTAGCCTGGACTTCTACTCTTAAGAGACCCAATGTGATTGATTCCCAAGTTACCAATGACCCCCATATTTTCTAATATCATAGATGCATCTAGAAGGAAGCAGGCAAGTGAGATGAAGTCACTAGCTCTACGTTCAAATCCAGAGTCTTCCATATCCTGGCTCTGTGTTGATAAGCAAGGCCCTTAACCTCTCCATGCCTTTGGTTTTTTCATTGGGAAGAGTAACTGTAATAATATTACCACAGAATTTTAAAGTGCATTAAGAAATAGAAAGCGCTTATTTCCATGCCTGGAATGCAGTGGCTCCTATTGAAGTGCTGGTATTGTTTTCTATGTATTGCTAATTTTCCTCAGGATACATTATTAAGTCTCTTGTATACCTCTAGAATGCAAGCTCAGAGAGGCAAGGACTCGGGGCCAGTGCCCAGGTATGATCTGTTAGGTGACTGAGTAGGTGGATAGATTGGATTCTAGACATGAGACTTTAAACCACAACTAGAATACACTGCCGCTCCAAAAGGAACATGGTTTGGTAGAGAAATGGACACCCCAGCCAGCAATGACATACACTATAACAACATGACATACACTATATGATATAATGCCATACACTATAATAACATACACTATAACAACATGACATACACTATATGATATAATGCCATACACTATAATAACAACTAGAATTAATATTTTGTGTCGGGTCTTCCGGGAATACAGAGGAAGAAAACCCAACTCAGAAAGTTAAAGATAACTTTCACAAAGGTACCTACCCATGGTCTCAGTGTTGAAGAATGATGAGGGATGAGCCTGGTGGATGGAAGGGTAAGAAGATGGAAGAGAAAAAAAGGAGAATGGCGTAGGCAAAGTCTAAGAGGTGTGGGAGAGTATCAAGCCTTTGGTCAAAGACAGACTAGAGTAGCATCAATGGATTCGATGCTGAGGTTGGCATATGGTAGCCATTTTTTTTCTCCAATCAACAAATAATATTAATTTTTCTGTGACGCTTAGCACCATTCTCACCTTTGGGGACACGGCAATACGCAGCTTACCCAGAACGGCCTGACTCCACTGAGAACTGAGGCAGGGGAGGGTCACAGTTAAGTCTTCCTGAGAGAGAGAGAGAGAGACCACTGCGAATGGAGAGGGGGGGGCCTCCAGCATGAAGGAGGGGACACCGTTGAGGACAGCGACATTCTGAGCAAGAGTATTAAAGGCTCAAGCTCAGGTGGAGGAGGCGGAGACAGACCAGAGCAATGTGGTGTGGACAGTGAGCAATGAGGGTGTGTGTGTGTGTGTGTGTGTGTGTGTGTGTGTGTGTGTGTGTGTGTGTGTGTGTGTGTGTGTGTGAGAGCGAGAGCGAGAGCGAGAGCGAGAGCGAGAGCGAGAGCGAGAGCGAGAGAGAGAGAGAGAGAGAGAGAGAGAGAGAGAGAGAGAGAGAGATCTTAACAGACATGATCGTTCTGTTCTGTTTTTATTGTAAGTGGTCTTTTTCCAGTATCTAGGTCCACCACCCACCACCACCCGCCATCCCCAGGCTCTACTCTGGTAGATGCCATTTATTTTTCCCTGTGTGTCTTATTCCAGGCGAGAGAAGGCACAGAATTCAGCTGTCCTGACAAGGACCCGTCGGACGCAATCCCCACCACAGGTACATGGCTATTGGGTTCCGTGAGTTCTCAACTCGCTTGAGGGCTGAAATCCAAGTCAGAGCAACTTTAAGACAGCAAGGATTCCCAAGATCTGAATCAAGATGGGTGAGAAGGTCCAAGCCGGTGTTTATGGCCCTGCATGAGGCCATAAGGTCATGTTTATGCTTGATTATCCTTTAACTAAAATAATAACATCATTATCAGGAAGCGTTTATTGAGCATTGACCCCATGTCAGGTCCTGTTGTGCAAGGAGCCTCAGGGTTGGTGAGTGCATTGTTCCTATCTTAAAACCTTGATGGGTGAATTCGTTTGTGTCATTTCTCACTGTTTCTCTCCTTTTCCTTTCTCCCTCTTTCCCTCCCTCCCTTCCTCTCAAGACAGGGTTTTATCTATGTAGCTCTGGCTGTCTTGGAACTCACTCTGTAGATCAGGCTAGCCTCGAACGCAGAGATCCGCCTGCCCCTGCCTCCCGAGTGCTGGGATCAAAGGTGTAGACCATCACTCCTGGCTTCACTTCTAAAATGTTGCTGGGCTCTGAATATGAGACTGATGGGATGTTCTGGGTGGTCATCAACAATCTTCCTAAAGAGGAAGGCACTTAAGCACTGTAGTTTTCTTGGCAGGTGAAGTAGCTTGGGAAAATGATGTCTGTACATACGGGAAGTCACACAAAGGTCTTCATGGGACCCAGATGACTCAGAACCTTAGCTAAGACGTTAGTGCTGTAGGCTCTCATGCTGGGCATTCGAGGATAATTAGATATGCTCACTTCTCAGTTTGTGTGTTTGTTCATTTGCTGGCGAGTTGCTGAGTATCTCCTATAAGCCGTTCAGGAGTGTCTGTCGTAGCTGATCCATGTTAACTTCTGACATGGATTACTGAAAAGAGAAAATTGAATTTGGAGAAGTCACAATACCTATCAGGACTCTGACATCCGTTGTCACATTGTCTCCCTCTCGCCAAAGCCTGGATACAAAACTTACTCTTCAAAGCTGTCATGTAACAAAGTGGGCAATCGTATTTAATCTGTTACCTGTTATTGTAACAAAATACCTGAAGTGGGGACCTTGAAAAGAAATCACGTTTAGCCCGTGGTTTTAGAGCCTGAATACCCAACATTAGATGGCCTGTCTCTTTGGCGATGCCCCGTGTGGCACAGTTAAAATGTGGTAGAGAAATGAGAAGAGAATTGACACACCGAGTCATGTGTTGGGGTCACCTTCATTTGTAACCACCCACTCTCATGAGAACTAACTCACCTTGCAAGGCCAGCATTAATCCTGCCCAAGGGCGGCCCCCCCCCAGCCCCCGGTGACCAGATTACTTTGCATTAGATCCATCTCTTCAGTTTCTACCTCCCCCACACCACCATATTGAGGGCCAAGTCTCCAGGACTTGAGTCTTTGGGGGACCAAACCACATCCAAGCCCCACAGAAATGGTGCAGCTCTTTCAGGAAGATGAGTTAAGTCTCTAGATGTCTTGCTCCGGTGTTTGATGACACTGCATTCCTATTGATTTATTTACTGGTGGACTTTAACAGCCGAAAGGAACGATCATCTATATATGTGTGCCCTCCCACAGTAAAAGCCCTCATTCTGAGACGTAGATAGAGATATATGTAGAGAGATTGGCATATATATAAATAAAGATAGAATATCAGCTGGAAGGTTTTAATAGCCATACTTTAATCTTATCATTCTGAAAGGATGATGTGTGTTCTGCAATCTCCCGAAATTGTGTTTCTGTCATGGCAACCATCCTTTAGAATCTGCCATCCATTAGAACCTGCCATCCATTAGAACCTATCTCCACATCTGAAAACCAGATGAAGTAGAGTCTTCCTTACTCCCTGACCCTTGTGACCATTGTGTTTATGAGTGCTGGAAGAAATTCAAGATTAGGAGATCTCAAGACTTTACGATCTGAGATACGTCAGTGATAGGCATTGTTAAGGGAATCACATAGATAGGTGATCCAAACCTCCTTCCACTGAGCTAACCAAATGGCCTAGGACTGAACCACACAAGCTCGTCCAGTGACATTTACACTCATTTAAGAGTGTTGGGGGGAGACCTCGGAGTCCCCTGGAAGGTATCTGTCAGGAAAACAGCCATAGATAAGTGGGCAAGAAGGAAACCACACTTCATTTTTGGGCCACTGATCTATGAGCATTCTAGCCATATTGATGACAGAAGTATTTCCATGTTAAAAAAAAAAAAAAAGCGGGGGGCGGGGGGAGACCTCAGCAAAAAACCACATGACTATTTTTCTTTGATTGTTACCATGTTTCTGGGAAGTTCTTCCCCTCTTCCGGAGCCCGTGATTGCTAAATGAAATGAGATCATATGATACACAATCCTAATCGAGTTGCCTGTTTCTTACACCCTCCGCTGGCTTAGCAAGTGGGAGGAGCCACTAAATACTTAGCAACTCTGAGTTACTGAGAATTTTGAATTCATCCAATGAATTCTCAGAGTTGACATGTCAACTAGGCCACAGTACTATCACTGAAATACTGTCACTGAGACTACAGTATAAAGTAACTATTGTGCCTTCCCAATTATTTTCAACCCTCTTTTTGTAGTCCTTTCCTAGTATGTCCCCCTCAACCCACAGTTGTGTAGATCAAAAACAATGTTACAAAATAGGATACTGTTTATCATCACAGGCCACGGTCCCTGGTGGCCTAGGAACCTATTCTCATACACCAGGACTTGAGGGTGGTAGGACCTCATCAGTTGATCTATGGGGTTTTGGGGATGAGATGTGGAAAGTTGGTGTAGGTAATTTTTTTTTTTATAACCAATCAGCATTTGGAATTCAATAAAGAATAAAGGCTTGTACACCTGCAGGATATGTCAAGCGCTTTATGACTTTATGAACGCTGATAGTTTGATATGAGCTGGCCCTTCCTCTCGTATAGCTGGGATGACTTAAATATCGACTTGGGGATCTACCGCTGACTTCAGTTTTTTTCCAAAAATGGCACTGAGGAGTGAGAGGGGACGTGGCTCATTGGCTGTCCGCTGAAGACAAGCTTCTAATTCTAATTCCACGCAGTAGGAACAACCTGTAGCTTTTGAGGCTAGGAGACACCAATGTGCTGCCTGTATGTGGCTGTCACGAGCAGTGTGAGTCAAAAAAGTACATCTACTTCAGTCACTGCTCCTTTCTAAACTCCCAATGCTATTTATTCACCCCAGTCGGCTAAACTGAGCTCTCCCAAAGCTAAGGTGAGGAATGACCACGTTCCAAGTAGGCAGTCACTCACCAGACCTTTCACCTCATTGTGACCCAAGAGCTAATGCTCAGTGGAGGTTGTGAAGCCATCTACCTGTTCACGAGACTTGTGACTTGGCGTAGTAGCCTGTCATAAGCAAGAAATGTTGTCCCATGAGAACTAAGAGCCTGTCTGTCCCTCAGTACATCCAGCCTACTGAGCAAATTCAGATTCTCCCCAAGAGACTCATTTATCTGTTTTCCTCACCCAATGTTGTTTTTTAAAATACATTTAGTATGTTTAAACAAATAAAAACAAATTGAGAATTTGATGAAGGAACCACCAAAATGCTAAAGAATCAGGTAGAGCTTTGAAATCTGAACATAGGATGGTAAGAATTGGGTCCCTAATTAATATGGAGAAATAATCATTGAAATTGGGACCCCTATTGCTATGTTAAACAACATGGCAAAATGAGTAGAAAATAAAATTAGTGAACTGGAGGACAGAGCTGGGGACATTCTTTGGATGTCATCATCCACTGAGGTGCGATAACTGTAGAAATGACAAAGTCCCACAGGTAAGTCAGTGGAATTAGCCTCTACAGCCATGGTTTCCATGTCAACAGATTCAAACAATAATGGCTCAAAAACGTTCAGACAAAAAGAGTGCTGTCTAGAGTGGAATTACAGGCTTTGTTTTAATAGTCCGTAAACAATCCATTATCATTTTTTTCTGAGATAATTACATCACTTCTTTCTCTTGTCCTCCCTTCAAACCCTCCTATCTATCCCTCCTTGCTCCCCAAGTTTCTTATTTAAACCTTTGAGATCTGTAAAATCAACCATCACAGGCCACATAACCTTTCAGTCAAGCTAATATGTTTTATTAATATACTTATGACTAATACATAGTAATCATCCGTACTCTTGGAGTGCAACGTGGCCTTTTGAGACATGAATACAATGTATAACAATCATATCTAGAAAACTGGCATATACAACACCTCGGACCTGTATCATTTCTAAGTGAAATTAATATGTTTCTTGCACTCCTCCTATGCACAAGGTTCCCATTTATTCATATACACTTAGATTAAAATCCCCAAAGGCAGAAATGGGGTTTTATTCTAATGTCAGTAAATCACCATCATTGTGGAAATCTTTTCATAAGACTCTTAAAGTTGCAGAGTAAATGGATTGGGAAGCCCTAGCTAACAAAGAGAGCAAATTGACTTTTTAGATTACAGCATCGGATGGTTCAAGTTGTTGGGCCACACAAGAATAAAACTCCAAACTGCTAAATGCTACTCCTGAGTATGGCTTTTCATGGACAGAGACCATTTCCCCATCGTTACTCGGGTGTAGACTGCTCACTGTTCATAATACCGCACCAAAGCTTAGATGGCCTTCTGATAAAGATTCTGTAGAAATGTTCATGAGTTAATGATGAGTATCAATCTTCTTTCAAGGTAGTAAACAGTTTGTTCCAGATAACATTAATCAGGCCACATAAATTTAATCTTATCTTGAAATACTTGTCTTTCCAGGGAGAGCAATTGCTAAAGTGTTTTGCTCAATTTCTGAGTCTTTATCATACACAATGGTGTTAATAAACCTCAAACCAAGGTCTACAGAATATAAAACCAAAGAAATGCCTGGGTTGTATCATAACAGTAGAATGCCAGAGAAGCCAACTCCTCCCACCAAGCCTTGCTTCATATGGCCTATTCTCTCTGGCTGAGAATACAGTGTCCAACTAGAGAAGCCACTCCAGAAACAAACTGTTTACACACACACACACACACACACACACACACACACACACACACACACACACACACACACACACACACACACACACACACACTGTGGGGGAGCAGAGGAGATCTGTCTGTGTGCATATAGTCTGTGTGCATATATTCTGTTCCATTTCTATCAGTCAAATTTAAGAGGAAATTATGATCTATTTGAGCTGCTGTTTACATTTTTTTGTAAGCTTTATTTTGCATGCACACGTATAAATGTGTGTGGGTGTGCTTGTGCCGTGGAGCAGGTGCGGAGGTCAGAGGCCAACTTGCAGGAGTTCTCTTTCCGCCCTGTGGATCCTCAGGTCTTTAGGCATGGTGGCAGGAGCTTTTTACCCATGAAGCCATCTGAGCTTCTTTTTTTTTCTCTCTTTCTCTCTCAGCCTATAATAAAGGTTGGAGCTGTGGAGGCACATCTGCCCATCGCCTTCACACTTTACCAACTCCAAAGACTTGCCCTGACCTTTGCATACCAGTCAGCATTCAGAGAATTCACTATTCTGGCCCTGCGAAATATAGCGATTGCCTGTCGTCAACACAAGCTAAAATAAACCACTTGGGAGTTGAGGGAATGGGTCTTATTTTCTGGTATGCTTTTTTTTTCCCCCTCCGACCCCCTCATAGCCTGATTTCTTTGGGAAGAGGTCGTTTTCAAGTTTCCATGCTTAGCCCTGTAGGCGTGTGTTAATGTGTACAGCTGGGTCTGTGATTTGATATTGTTCTGTTAACCACATAGAGTAGCTGTGGAAAGCTGGGAAAGGCCACATAGGCTGTAATCATGTGAAGGGAATGTGCGCGCGCGCGCGCGCGTGTGTGTGTGTGTGTGTGTGTGTGTGTGTGTGTGTGTGTGTGCGCGCGCGCGCGCGCGCGAGAGCGCACGTGCATGCATGTGGTAAATTCAAGACATGATGATGGGGCGTGGGGGGGAGAGGAAGACTCTAAAGATGCTTAGTGACTCTAGGGTCTAAAAACAAGATGACAAAGCCACCATCAGGCTTTGCAATGGCAGCCACGGTTGTGTGAGCCAATTTGTACCTAGACCTAGAAGGAAACAGTTGACGGTTTCTTCCACAAATGCAGAAATGGACCACACTGCCCATGGCTTCAAAATAAAAAAGTGTTTCTCAGTAGTACTCAAAATGTAATACCCAGATAGCACTTGTTGTAGCTATAGTGCCTAAGGATTAAACATGCAAATTCTTAGACTCACTAAAGACCTCCTGAATCTGAAGCTCTTGGGAGTTGGGGGGGGGGGGGCGGGCGGGGAGGAGATCATATGTGATTTAACAAGCTCTCCAGGTGATTCCGGCGCACAACCCAGTTCGAGGACGGCTAATCTATATATTCTCAAAGGCATGCGTTCACGACCACGCATGTGTTCGTTTACATCATGTCCTCGGAAACAGTAGGGGCGTTTTCCCTTCCCAGTGAAAGTCCTCAGTGGGAGTGGCAGCTGCCACTCTACAAGAAGCATGAAAGTGGTAGAGAGATGTCCAGGGAAGGAGACAGAGAACTGAGGTGCCTCTGAGCATTCTTTCCGTTGAGTGTGATGCAGCCCGCAATTGCTCGAGCCTGAGCTGGCTGCTGGTGGGAGCAAGGCCCAGGGAACCAGGTCCAGGGTCTTCCTGAAATCCTCATTTTCCATTCACCCCGGACTTGCTTTTCAGTTCACAGGCTGAGGCCGGCTGACATCAAGGTGATTGGAGCGCTGGGCGACTCTCTCACGGTAGGTGACCTCAGCTGTAGAAAGAGGAGGAGATTTTGTTGATGCTTTTGAGACTGGGTTTCATGTAGCTCAGGCTGGCCTCTAATTCACTATGGAGCTGAACTCCTGATCTTCCTGTGTCTACCTCCTAAGTGTTGAGATTACAGCTGTGGGCTACCAGGAGAGAGGAGATTTTAGTGTCCATGAAAACGTGGAACTGAAAGTTGAGGTTTTAGTCCTCGCCTGTTTCTGGTCCCGATCCCCAGACCCTCCGTATTCCCACTGTCTAGCATGTAGCATGCCTTGCACAATGTGATTTCCATTCCACCCTCTACCTTCCTCCCCCAATGCTGGGAAAGCAGGAGGGACCCCGAGGGAACATGAGTAACAAAATGAAGTTACATAGCCCGTGTCTGTAGTGGGACAGCATCTTCTGGCGTGTCTCCAAAGACGCAGCCAGTCCTCTGTTTGTCCCGGAAGAAAAGCTAAGAGGTTACTGCTTAGACAAGTCAAAGAGGTGATGAGCTCGGACCAATGGGTATGGAGGTGGGGGTGAGAAATGAGGGTCGGTGGAAGAAGTAGAGGTCCCAGAAATGGACAAATCCACCTCTGGAGATGCCCCAGGGTGATACCCTAAACAAAGCACACTTTAAAAAAAATCCTATAGAAAGCCTGAGGGGGTTGGTCCCCAGAGGTTCCAAGAAACAAGTTTCTATTTAATGGTCACTCCCAGTAGAATCCAGCTGTTATCTCCAGCTGCTATCCCCTGGATCAGTTAGAAGGCAGCATCTGCAGCTTTGAACTCTCCAAGGACAATTATGGCCTAGTCACGATGAAGTTAGCTCACTCTGTAGCCCCGTGACAAAAGTCCCGTGAGGTCTGGCATTCCTCACATCCGACCAATAAGGAGCTTTGCGGTGAGTACCCAAGTCGGCTTCTGAGTCTACAGGCCAGGCCCAAGAACTCAAGAGTCCTGACTCTGGGTTCAGAATGTTAGCCCTGTAGCAACCTCCTCCATGAGACCCCAGCAATTGCTTATCTCAAAGGTCCTACTGTGTGTAAACCCCCCCCCCCCCCGGGAGAGACTAGCAGGCTGGTCCTGGGCATCTTACCAGCTGTGTATCTTAGCCACTCCCTGCTGAGTGAGGTCTTGATATCACCCCACCCTTACCATCCTCTACCGTCTCCTAGAAGATGCTCTCTCTCGGGACAGAGAGCCATAGAGAAAAAGAATCACACAGGCATGGAAGGCAGCAAGTGAGACATGAAGGCAGGTAGAAAAGGGAATTAGGTACCAAACTGTAGTGAGTGTAATCTGGGGATTTCTCCTGGAGTTTAGAAATATATGCTTTGGGGGAGGAGACGCCCTAAAGAAACATCTTGCTGTTTCTCACCTGAGCAGACATAGATGTGATGAGGACCGACTTAGCGTATGCGTCCTTTGATGATAGGTTTCACAGCTTTCAAAAGACACAGCACCTTCAGACATGTGCTTTTGAGAAATATATGCCATGGGCTCCTGGATCTCTCAGTTGCTGTCTAGACAGGGTTTCCGGGCAGGAGGTACAGCTGTGGATGGCACCAGGCTTTCCCAGAGGGAGCGCACTATCATCCCAGAAAGGGCGGGAGATGTACCCATAGGAGGTTCCATCTGGATTCAAGAACTTTCCTAGGTGTCCTGCTCAGGCTAATGGTATGGGCCTTCAAACAGGTGGACAGCTGTGGTGTCCTGAGAAAAAGCAGGGGCCACCCACCCACTATTTGCTCTCTCTTCCAGGCAGCCAATGGGGCCGGGGCCGAGCCCGGGAACCTGTTCGGTGTCTTAACTCAATACCGAGGCCTGTCCTGGAGGTGAGCGAGACCCAGAAGGTCCCTGAGCCTTCTAGAAAACAGTACATCAAGTGGGGGGATGGGCTATCTCTACCTTTCTTTAACAAACTTCTAAATTCAATGTACTGGCCTCCCCAAAAGACTACAATCCCAGTAACAGAAGGTGTGGACGGGAGTTTTGGGGATGAACAGGCGCCAATGTTGTGTTCCTAGAAGCCGCACGTGCTATCTCCTTTGGAAGCTTGGGTCGGGAGACCCTGACGCAGGTGCTCTTTCAAAACGGGCTTTTCCAAGCTAAACAGGAACAGGAAGAGCAGCATCAGCTAGTAACAGTAACGGAGACCCTAAGTGGCACGGGGCTGGCCACAAAAGAAGCCCAGAAGCCCTGTGGATTGGGAAAGGCAGTGAAAGAGACAAACTTAGCTCTCCCTGCTCCGACATCAGAGCTGGGCTCAAAGCTAAAACAAAAGCAGCCCCAGCAGCGACAATTTAACTTCTTTTGTCTGTTTTGTTTGCGCCGGCGGACGTCCAGGGTGAGAGGAAAGGAGTTGCGTTCTGATTTGGGTTTTTAGTTCTGGTGAAGAAATGATGGGTAGAGGGTGAGTCCCCGAGCCTGTGACTCAGGCGGGAAATCTGTTTTGTTTAGGCTTGGCTGGCATATTAAACCTTCCTTTTCTTTCCTGCTTCTCACCAACAGCGTCGGAGGAGATGAGAACATCAGGACCGTGACCACCCTGGCCAGTGAGTACCCTGGTGCCTTCGGGGCGGGGTGGCTACGCCTGAGCCCTCTGCGCCCCCTCCTGGCGGCCGCCAGCCTCGCAAGGTGGCAGGACGCCGCTGAGTACAGTAGGGGGCGCTGCTTCCCCGAGGTTGCCATCCTGGCTGGACTCCTGAGCTAATTTTAAAAGCCTTGGAGGGTTTTGACTTTTTTTCAGTGTTTTTCAATGGGAAATCGTCTTTATCCAATAAATGAGTGTGGAAAAAAGAGAGAGAGAGCGCTTAGATAAAATCTTAGGACAATCATTTAAAAGTGATCCAATAAAGAAGGATTGGACTGCCATTCTGGACACAGAGCCTATCTGGGAAGTTTTCCACTCAGGCCTGGTAGGTTGGGCATCTCTGTCCACAAAGACTTTGCTGTATAAACCCGTAGCAATGGCAGCAGTGAGAGATGAAGTTACCTTGCTCAGGCTGTGCAAACAGAGCCTTGTTTGGGGCTCAACATTTTCACCCACTCGGATGATTTTTTTTTTAAGCTTGGCTACATTTTTCTGACAGGTCTGCCTTAATCTTTTTGGGTATGGCTATGGGCATTGCTTTCCATTATGTTATTTGATTGATTATTTTTAGTACTGCCCAATCCCAGTGTTTGTAAGTACACTTTCTTTTAATAAGGTGTTAGACAATATTTACAGTGAATTCTTTTCTTCTTAGAAACGCTTAAGAATTTTTGCCTGGGGTTGGGGGGGTTGATGGGTTTCATTATTGCTACTTTGGGGGGTACATATCCCTTTGATACATATTTTGAGCTGAGATATTATTTGAGTCTTAAGCCAGCAAGTTTAGACAGGACAGTAGAGATTCTTAACGTCCACATTGGCACACCTGATAGGACTTCATGTCTATTATCTATTTCAGTTCTTGGAAAACTGTGTTGAATTTAAGTAGGTACAGTTCCGTGTTCTGAGTACTCTCTGTCCCCATTTGCTGGGAGGTGACTTAGGTTGCTTCTGTAACTGTGACGATCTTGGCTTTGAGATGCCTCAGCAAGATGGCTGGACATCATGTTGCTCAAGATCATTTACCAAAGTGCTTTACAAATGACGGAGACAGTGTCACCCCTCAGTGACACAGTTACCTCTTCAACCTTTCCTAGTGGGAGGAAGCAACCTGTAGAGCTACATGGTTCAGGGTAAAACAGGTGTGTGGGAATGTGCAGTGACAGTGTGAGGTCAGGACAGAGCTTCTGCCCGGTGCCCTGCTTGATTTAACCCAGCAGATGCTCCAATACAGGGTGTGTGGGAGACAGAACTCTGCCCTGATGGTGCCAGCAAATCTCCAGGGTGGGGCATGCCACCCTAAAGATAGACGTAGGAATTGATAATCAGCAAGTGTGGAGAAAAAGGTCTGCAATGTGGAAAAAAGTCAGCAAGGAACTAGTCATTGAGATTGGGGGAATAGAAATGTTAGGAACGAAAAATCTCAGTGAAATCAATAACATATAATGGAAAGTATTGCCAAGAGCTATAACCAAAATGAAAAAAAATCCCAGGGATGGAGGACAAGATTGATGAAATCTTTGGTCAAATAACAATAAAATAATAAATGAATGTATGACCATAATGTCTAAGAATTCTGGGATATAATCAAGAGGCCAGACCTAAGAATGGCTAAGATAGAAGGAGATGAGATAAATACTAAATGAATACAGAATTATCCAATTCAATTTATAACATAAAATTTCTCAAGCCTAGAGAAAAATAATCAAACACAAGAGACATTTAAAATCCAAAATAGAACCTAATCACAATGTATTATAGACAGTGTATCGAAAGTTAAAAAGCAAAGAAAAAATATTAGTAGCTGTAAAGGGGAAATGCCAACTCACCCACAAAGGCAAATACATCAGAATCACAATAGATCTCATCAACAACCATAGAAGTCAGGAGAAGGTGGAATTATTTATTTCAAGCCCTGAAGGTAAGTAACTACCAATCAAAATTCCTACATCCAGCAAAACTACCTTTAAAATTTGATGAAAAATAAAACTAACTTTTCGGTGAAGAAAAGCCAAGAACTGGACCGATCCACTAACGAATTCTCCCATACCTTTGGAGGAGGGCTAACAGCAGTCCTAAAATCATTCTATAAAGCAGAGGGAAAGAGTACTACTCTACACTGCAAGCATCATCCTCACACCAACCCCGCTGCACACAGAGTAGCAAAAAAAAAAAAAAGACCCATTTCCTTTGTGATTATAGACGCAAAACATCTCAATAAAATACTTGCAAATTAAATTCAAGTACACATGGAGACCATATGCCAGTCAGTTTCATTCCAGAGATAACATGAATGCATTGACATATACAAATTAGTATGGACAGAAATCACATGATCATCTCAATAGAAGAGGAAAAGACTTCAACAGCCCTTCATGATAAAAATCCTTAAAGAAGGAGCTGAAGGAAGAAAAAAAACCCTCAGTGTAGTACATTATTATGTGCTGTGCCTGATGTAAAGCAGAGTTCTCAACCTGGGGGTCATGACCCCCGTGGGGGTTAAAGGACTCTTCACGGGGGTCATCCAAGAGCATCCTGCATGTTAGGTATTTATATTACAATGCGTAACAGTAGAGAAATTAGTTATGAAGTAGCAACGAAAATAATGTCATAGTTTCGGGGTCACCACAACACGAGGGGGCTGTATTCAAGGGTCGCAGCATCAGGGAGGTCGAGGACCACGTTCTGTTCCATGCTGGGCTGTGAGCTGGGGGCTGTCCTTTGTCCCCCACACTCAGTGGTCAAAGGAACTTGACAGTCGGCCGCGTAATCCCAGCACTCAAGAGGCTTAGGTAGGAAGATGACCAGCTCGAGGATAGCCTGGGCTATACCTGTAAGTGACCCTGTCACAAAACAATGAAAGAGTCTCGGGAAGGTTGCTGTGGAGGCCATTGGCAAACACGTCCCTTGTATTTCCAGACATCCTCCGGGAATTCAACCCCGCCTTGAAGGGCTTCTCTGTCGGCACCGGGAAAGAAAACACGGACAAGGCGTCCTTCAACCAGGCTGTAGCGGGAGCCAAAGCAGAGTGAGCCTGAATATCCCGGAGCGGGGTGCGAGCTGGGGAGGATGGAAGCACGGGTGCCCGGGAGAGCTTTAGTGTAGGCTCAGAGTCTTGGTCTGGGTAGAGTCAGGGTGAGAAGCCGGAGTGTGCTGTCTTGAGAGAGTTCTTCGCCGTTAGACACACAAATCTGGCAGGGTACACTCAGCCCTACCCTAGCAACTGATCAGATTCCTCTGATGCCCTGCATGCACTTCAAGGAGATCGCCTGGCCTCGTGGGTAAACCCTATCCCCTCACAAAGCAGTGGCTGTAAATGGACTCGCGGGGAGTCCCCATTATTAGCTTGTTCCTGTTGTTTTTGAGTCTTACACTCCCTGCCTTCTTTAGAGGGTTATTTGGGGCTCTGCATTCGCTATGCTTCTGGTGCCATAGGAAGCACACTGACATGGGAAGGGAGCCCTGAATGGCAGCCACATGTCTTCCTTGGCCTCTACAAGTCTCTGAAGCACATGGGGCAAGGCTGTCACAGGTTGACAGCATCTTGGATACAAAAGCTCTAGTGAGCTCTACCCTTGCATGGACTGGGTGAGTATGGCGGTCTGTTGTTTCGTTTTTACTCTTTGGCTCTTTAGCTCTTTTGGGGGCCCGCCACCCAGCTCCCAAATAAATCCACACAGAGTCTTATTATTACTTATAAATGCCTGGCCTTAGCTTGGCTTGTTTCTAGCCAGCTTTCCTTAACTTAAATTATTTTGTCTGCCTTTTGTCTCTGGGCTTTTTCCTTTTCTTACTTCTGTATATTCTTACTCTGTGGCTGGGTGGCTGGCCCCTAGCATCCTCCTCTCCTTGTTCTCTTGCTCCTCTTTTTCTTGTTCCTCCCAGATTTCTCCTATTTATTCTCTCTGCCTGGCAGCCCCACCTCTCTCTCTCTCTCCTGCCTCGCTATTGGCCATTCAGCTCTTTATTTAGACCATCAGGTGTTTTAGACAGGTAAAGTAACACAGCTTCACAGAGTTAAACAAATGCAACATAAAAGAATGCAACACACCTTTGCATCATTAAAACAAATGTTCCACAGCGTAAACAAATACAACCCATCTTAAAACAACACTTCATGCAAAGCTACACACAGAAACTCTGTCTCGAAAAACCAAAAAAATTAATAATAATAAAATGAAAAAAATGAAAAAAAAACCAACGCTTCACAGCAGTGGCCCCAGTGCTAACTCAGTAGGGCTGCAGGGCTCCCCTAAGAAAATGTCTAGTGGCTCAGAGACCATGCTCCATGGTGCTGCTGACCTGATGGTCCCTAAAAACTAGCAGGTCAGCGTTCCTGGTACCCCCAGCTCTGCTTGCATACTATTCAAAGACTGAGTGTCGGGGGGGGGGGGGGTGTCTTTTTCCTAGCCAATGAACACACAAATACCACATCCAATTAGGGAAACGTTTAAAAAGATCTTTTCTATTTTACCCCAATTTTTCTTCCAGATTTAGCACAGACCATACATCTCCGTGTGGGTCTGAAGATTTTTTTTTGTAGTTTGGTCCTAAGACTCAATGACGTTTTCCAAGCCCTGAAGGCGCTCTCTCCTGGAGCTTATAAATGTCCTCTGAGTAGCTTTCACATTAACTTTCCCTACAGGAAAGACAGCTCATGCCAAGCCTAATAGGCTTTAGAATTAATTTGAAGGCTGCTGCTTTCTTTGGGGGTGAGAGGCTAGTGGTTTACCACTTTCAGGCTAAAGCTGGCTTTAACATTTGTAGTTTCTCTTCCTCCAGTGTGTATCAGCTGGTAACCGCACCAGAAGAAAGGCAGTTATAAACATGATTAGATCAGGGAGACACGTAAGAATGGACATGCAGAGTCAAGGACCTATGACTAACAGCAGTAAGTGTGGCTCATACAGCCTGGAATCTGTGGCCGTACTTTTCCTTAGGCCTTAGGGAAGATATCTAGGTGGTAGAGAAAAGCAGGGCCAGGAGGGTTGTTCCCATATTACACTTGAAACTACAGCACAAAGAAGATACGCAGCCTGAGCAGGTACAGCAAGCTGACCCCAGGGTCTGGCCTGGGATCTTGCAGGGTTTATTCCCATCTTGATCATAACCCTCTGTATACACACAGCAGTGCCCAAGTTACAGAATACCCTCATGGTTGGCACCCTTGTGTTCCACACAGTAATTCTGTGAGATGCACCACACAGAGGGGTTATTACCTGTATTTCTAATCGGTTAAATAGAGCCCACCGAGTACCCATTCCAAACCAGCGTTCAGACAGCGGGGCTGCCCTGATAACTGCAGATCCACAGATGAGAAACAGGTTAAGAGACTCAAAGTATCTCCTCCCAAGTAGCTGCTACCCAGGGTTCTAGGGCCAAGATCAGAGCAACTGGGCTAGTAGTTAAGAGGGAGGTAGGACAGCTGGTGTTACCCGTTGGGCACAGTGCCTGGGGGAACTTTGAAGATGGTGTCAGTGCTAGTGTTAATAGAAATCATTCTAAGGACACTTGCCTTGTGTTAGGCACTAAGCTCTTTATGTGACCCTCATTCGGCTCTCTCGACCCCATGGAGGCAAGGCCAGTGATTGATTTTACAAAGGAAAGCACTGGCTTTGTAAGGTAAAGATGTCAGAGAGGTAGGTGGTCATGGGTAGACCTGGGACTCAAACCCGTGCTGTCTAGCAGAATAGGAGCTCTTACTCAAGGGGCTGCTTGAACCCCATTTGCATCCACGATGCCTTTCCTTAAGCAGGTTGATCTCCCTGGTTACAGTTTTTTGTTTTCCATTATGGAGAATATGAGCCTAAGGCCTCGTTCATGCTAAGCAAGCACTCTGACACCGAGCTCTGTCATCATTTTAAACTGAGGTCACCTTGTAGGGTAGGCAGGCCGTGGCATCTGCTAACAGGGGCATGAGTTGAGTGGCACGTGACGTAAAATGTTTAGGTGAGACCTCTATGCCCTGAACAAGCCCGGCTTGGAAGAGAAACCGGAACTGTATCATTAAATACGCCAACCTGAAAATAAAACCGCTGAGAGTTAACCCCCGCCCCCACAAAAATGTGCAAGCTCCTGCCCATCTCAGGTGGTCAGTCCTCCCTGGTGAAGCCTGGGTAGAGAAGGAGTTGTGTGTGCGTGCGTGCGTGTGTGCGTGCGTGTGTGTGTGTGGGGGGGGGGGGGTGGGGGGGGGGGTGGGCTTTCAGTCCTGCCCCGCCACCCGCCGGAAGTGGATTGTCAATTGCTACTGCCTCTACGCTGCCCTTCCTGTCACTAACCCTCATTCAACTCCTGTGTGTTCCCACAGTGGCTTAGTTACCCAGGCCCAAAAGCTGGTGAGCCTGATGAAGGCAGACAAGGTGAGTCTGGACACACTGAGGTAGGACTCCACAGAACGGGAGGAGAAATCCCGAGACACAGAGGAGTCGGGAGTAGGGTGAGAGGTGCAGAGGATTCCGGCCAGGTTTCTAGCCGATCTGAGCCCTGAACCTCTGTGCCTTTACAAATATGGTTCCCATTCAGTGTATTAACCAGCTGTACAAAGTAAACGTGTGTTACCAGCCAAGCCTGGGACTGTAGATACATGAGGACAATTCAACACGGTCCCATCCTCCAGGAGTTTAGAAGAGGAGGATCAAGATTCTGAAGCAGTTGGCTCAGGCTTTGTAAAGAGAGTTACGCGTAGAGTGGAAGAGGGCGCCATGGGGCTAGGTCCCCTGCTTGGTAGGATTCAGAAGGGAGACAGGTGTTTGGCTGGGTTCTAACAGATGAGTGTAAGATTGTCTCTCAGCTAAGAGAGAAGTGCAGACTCAGTGCTGATCTGGTTTGGGAGGTGGTCTCGGGTGGATAAAATAACAAAAAGGGATCAATATTGGTTATTTTTCTGTAATGCAATGCACCCCCTAAAAAAAACCCATTATTAGAATTTCAGAATGTGTCTATGTCCACTGTCAAACTGGCCAGCATCCCCTCTCTCCCTCCCATCATTCCCATCATTCCCATCATCCTTCTTCCACCTCATTTGGAAGCAGAGGCCAGAGAAGTGCAGCTTATGTGGGCCAGAGATGACGTAAGAGGCTGTGAGCGCCACAGCTACCCTTGGGCCATGGTGTGTGGAAAATATATATGTTCATGTATTTTCACATCCCCTTCCATGCAGCCTATGACTTCAAACACTTCTCTGGCTCTCTCTTGCAGGAGGGTAGAGTCTAGAGGTGGCAAACTCTCCCGGCCATGTTCTCGAGACCACAGTGTTGCTCTGACCAGCTACCCCAGCTGGAGCTTTTCTTTTCTTTTCTTTCCTCTTTCTTTCTTTTTCTTTCTTTCTTTCTTTCTTTCTTTCTTTCTTTCTTTCTTTCTTTCTTTCTTTCTTCCTTTCTCTCTCTCTCTCTCTCTCTCTCTCTCTCTCTCTCTCTCTCTCTCTCTCCTTCCTTCCTTCCTTCCTTCCTTCCTTCCTTCCTTCCTTCCTTCCTTCCTTCCTTCCTTCTCTCCTTTCTATTTTGGTCTTTCGAGACAGGGATTCTCTGTGTAGCCCTGGCTGTCCTGGAACTCTCTGTAGACCAGGTTGGCCTTGAACTCAGAGATCCACTGGCCTCTGCCTCCCTAGCACCAGGACTCCAAGCATGTGCCTCTAGGCCCAGCTCCAGCTGGAATTCTTCACAGGTGCCTTTAACTCAAGTGAATACCCGAGTTAGGAAATTTGTTCTAGAATCTTCTAGAAATCCAGAAGATGATCGGTCTCCTGTAAAGCTAATTGTGAGAACCCCAGATTTCTAGAAGATTCTAGAACAAATTTCCCTTCCCAGGGCCAGGACTTATTTCCCTATCTCCCACCCCTTCCTGGCCATGCTAGAGACCGAGGGCAAAACTCAGAGAGCTCCTCCTACTGATGTGGTTGGGGACAGACCAATGTCCTACTGTGCCAAGAAAAGTTTGAACTCTCTGGCATGTGGGGAACTGCCTCTTTGGGAGTTTCCTGCTTGACCCTGCTTGTTTTCTGTGCGTTTCAGACAATAGACTTCCAGGAGGACTGGAAGGTCATCACTGTGTTTATAGGAGGCAATGACCTCTGTGATTCTTGCAATGACCTGGTAAGTCCCCAGCCCCTCACCCTCGGGAAGGATTTCCGTAGTTGGCCACTGGCTCCTGGAACAGCGTAGCTAGGTCAGGACTCTGTTCATGGCTTGGCATGAATCCAACTGAGGACTAATTAACCCTAAGACCCCGGGGACGTTCCCCTGGAAGGCTGGTCCTGATGCTGTTGCTTAGCGAGGGAGCCTGATGATATCATTCTAGAAAACAAGACAACCTTGTGTTGTTTGAGACACTCTGGCGTGTTTTCATAGCTAGCGATAGGCCGGCTCCCCTCCACAGCACTGCCCAGCCCTGTCAGTTCTGCCTCTGTGCGGTCGCTAGAGAAAGTGATTTCCCACAGACGTGATAAGGCAAGGTTCAGGTCTGCACCTCTTGGGGCTGATGGGAAGCCCCCACCAGAGGCTGCTGATCTATGGCTGCCATGTAATCCTGGATTCCCAAGTCCCTCTGAAGGAGACCCCTTAGACCATACCACCTGTCTCACACCCGTACGCTGTGCCCGGGGGGTGGGGGAGGGGTAAGCCGTGGCAGATGAAACACAAGCTCTGTCCTTGGGGGTTTCCCTCAGCCAGGGGCCAGAAACAAGCAACTCTTCATAACACAAGAGACATCACCATGGGGTTCTGACGATACACAAATCAGAGAGTCCACAGCCAAAACAGCCTTGGTGTACGGAGGGCTAGGAACTTTAAAGCTGAGGTCCGACAAGCTGCTGGGGACAGGAAAGGCTTGGGGACCTTGGTACACGCCCCCTCTAGCTTCCTGAGGGACACAGCTTTACCCTGTTGTAAAGTGGGGTGCTCATAGAGCTGCCATCCACGAGAGGGGTTCCGCCCCCGTGCTCTGAAAATGGGGCTGGAGAGATGGCCCTGCCAGTGACATGTCACCATGCACGCATGGAGACCTGAGGTTGGACTTCCAGCACCCACAGAAGATGCCAGCCGTGACAGTGCACACCTGTGACCCCGGTGTGCTAGTGACGGTGCACACCTGTGACCCCAGTGTGCTTGTGACGGTGCACACCTGTGACCCCGGTGTTCTTGTGTGTGCACACCTGTGACCCCGGTGTGCTTGTGTTGTGCACACCTGTGACCCCGTTGCTCGGGAGAGACAAAGGTATTCCTGGGGCTTGCTAGCCAACCAGTTTAGCTGAACAGTAAAGCTCCAGATTCAGTGGAAGATCCTGTCCCAAAAGATGAGGTGGAGACCACTGAGGAGGCTGTCTGGTGCCAGCCTCTGTCTGCATACACATATACATGGATGCCCGCCTCTATCCATCCATTCTCTCTCTCTCTCTCTCTCTCTCTCTCTCTCTCTCTCTCTCTCTCTCTCTCTCTCTCTCTCTCTCCTCACACACACACACACACACACACACACACACACAATTCTAAAACCACAGATACAAAAATCAGAGCGTATTTATGTTTTGAGGCCCCACAACCCCCCCCCCCCCGTTTCCCCCACTACATCCTAGAGGCACTTGCTTGGATGTGATTCTAGGCACCTGAGGCTCAGCGCAGATTCTCTGATCACACAGGAAGGGGACAGAGAGTAGACCCAGAGACTGTTTACACTGCGGAGCCTCAGGTCATCTGCTCCGACACCCCCATTTTAGAGGAGTTCAGAGAAGTGATACGGCACAGCCAAGGCTCTACCTCTAGGCAATACAAAATCAGTTCCGAGTTTTCCCTGGCCCTAGGAAAAAGAAAGGACCCTTTCCTGAGAGTATTCCAGCCTACCCCCCATTTCCATCTCCAGGGCAAAGACTCCCCTGGGGATTGAGTTCAACCTGGTAGATTCAGTTCGGGCTGGTCCAGTCCCCTCCTCCCAGGCTGAGCCAAGTGACCCTGCATAGGCCCCAGGTTCCAAACAGCCAGCTCATGCACTGAGGACAGGTCCAGGCCCCATTGCCTGGATGCCTTCCAAACAGTTCAAGCCAATCAACTGTTTCACTCATCCAGAGGGCCTGATCCAGTTGGAGGCCCCTCAGCCATTGGTTCAAAGTTCATGTGTTTCCATTTGTTTGGCTATTTGTCCCTGTGCTTTTTCCAATTCTGGTCTCAATAATTCTAGCTCATGTAAACCCTCCTCTCTCTCTCTCTCTCTCGCCAATTGGACTCCTGGAGCTCTACCTGGGGCCTGGCTGTGGATCTTTGCATCCACTTCCCTCAGTCTTTGGATGAGATTTCTAGCACGACAATTAGGGTGTTTGGCCATCCTATCACCAGAGCAGGTCAGTTCAGGCTTTCTCTCAACCATTGCCAGCAGTCTATTGTGGAGGTATCTTTGTGGATTTCTGTGGACCTCTCTAGCACTTCACTTCTTCCTATTCTCATGTGGTTTTCATTTATCATGGTCTCTTATTTCTTGTTCTTCCTCTCTGTTCTTGATCCAGCTGGGATCTCCCGCTCCCAAGCTCTCTTTCCCTCGAACCTTGCTCTTCGTTAAACTTTGTCTCAATATTGCCAACTCGGACCAAAATACAGAAAAAGGAAAAGCCAAAATAAGAAACAATCTGGCTTAGTAGGGAGGAGATAGGGTGATTCATGGACCTCAGGAGATTCTTCCTCTGCCTGCAGGATCACTTTTCTCCTCAAAACTTCACAGACAACATCAGGAAGGCCCTGGACATCCTCCATGCAGAGGTACGGGGCTTAGACCACACGGGTGTTGGAGTAGCTCCGTCATAGCCATCATTTGTAGCCTCGGCGGCGGCCGGGACGCAGCTCTGGCTTTGTTCTGGGGCCACCTCCGCGGCAGCCTGCATGCACTGGCATCCTTGGAGAGCAGAGGGAGGAGTGAAAGGAGAAGGAGAGTGGGCGGGGTCAGGAAGAGGTCACAAGAGCTGAGCTCCAGCCCCCATGTGAGAAGCTGATGCTACGCTTCACATGTCGCCTTGGTGACTGACGCCATGTTCCTGCAGGTTCCCCGAGCCTTTGTGAACATGGTGGAAGTGATTGGGATCATCGCCCTGAGGGAGCTATACAAAGAAACTCAAGTCAGCTGCCCACGGCTCATCCTCAGGTCTGGTGGGAACTTCTCCCATGTTCCTAAAGGGTCATGGACCTTAGCATATTCTTTAGGAAACCCCAGGGTAGAGTATGGGAATTGCTAGGACCACCGCACATTTTAACCTGAAAAGGGTCTCCCTGGGGGCATCTCAGGATATTAAAAACAAACCAAACATCAGTATAGGCCTCAACAATCTCTCTGAGGGAGCACATGGGGCATCTCTTCCTGTTTCTGTTGCCATGGCAAGCCACAGGACCCCTTCATCAAGGAAGGGAGAAGAGGGTGTTAGGAATGGGGTCAGGTCATGGGTAAGACTTGGGGAGCACTCAGCCTACTACTAAGACCTAACTCACAGAATATCCAGAGCATAGTCACCACCTCCAGAGGCCCATTCCCAGGACAGTGTTTCTGACTGGCATGTGGATGCTCCAGGTGGGACCAACATAGGGCTATGTCACTCCTTAGAAGAAAAAGAGAGATCAGAATCGGCAGGGTCTAGAGGACAGTCTCCTCTCAAAACAGAGCATTCTAGTCATCAGAAGGATGCTCCTGAGAGGCTGGCCTCAGCCTCCAGAACCCACCAAAGATGGCTTCCCTCTTGCACCATTGTAAGTGTATGGCTTTTGGAAGGAAGCTGCTCTTCTAACTGAAGCATGGCCATTCCCCACCGATTCTGCCCTGAAAGCCCCTCTCTGCACCATTTGCCTGGGTCACAGGGCTGGGCAAACCTTCCTCCCCTGCCCTCCAGCTCTGTGCAAGCCCCCACCGCATCCCCGAGCACACCACGTGGTCATTAGTCACCGGCTGGCGGTGATTATCTCCCACAGCCTGTGAGCACTGAGTCACTGCCAGTAGAGCGGAGGGGCTGTTTGCTGAATAAGCGAATGAATAATTCACAAGGGCCAGCCAGCCTTGTTCTTGGAAATTAAGGGGGTATACTGATCCCTGGAGAACTCTGGCAGACCGTCCCTAAGGGAGTATAGGCAGACGGCACAGGTTCCCTAGAGAAGGCTTCAGGGTACTGCGGAGCAGGAACAGGCTGCCTGTCAGGGACGCGTGTCTATTAACACAGCTGGTGCCAGGCATGTTATTTTCAACCTGCTGACTCCTCTGCCGGCTTCCACTTTCTCCAGTCACTGGGACATGCAGGGGGTTCAGTATGGAAATGCTTTCCACTCCAGAGAGATCCCCCAAAAGCCTCCCACTGCTGGCCACTAGAACTCGACGTTCAGAGTAAGGCATTTGCCAAGCCCGTTTGAAGACGAGAATGTCAGTGTTGACGAAATCAAGGGCTTCCTTCTCTTGGGACCACACTCTCCACCCTTCTGCTGTTCTGTCTCAGTGGCCAAGCTTCTTCGGTGGTGCTACATCTATGCTGAGCCACCTGGGCTATTATTACCTTATCCCCCAGGCCAAACATCCAGATTTACCGGCTGGTAAGCCAGAGTGGAGCTGCAGACTGACGGACACAGTTTAGTTCAGAGACTGAGTTTGAAGTCCTCACTCCAATCCACGTCTAAGGCTGTGTGATGTTGAGAAAGTTACTTAACTACTGAGCTTTGGTCATTTCCTCTCCCCCGACCCCTTGGAACATCTGCTACCACTGAACTATATCCCTAGCCCTTTTTACTTTTTTCTTTTTTTTTTTTTTTTGACAGCATCTTGTATATCCCAGGCTGGCTTCAAACTTTCTCTGTAGCCGAGAACGACCTTAAACTTCTGATTTTCCTGCCTCTACTTCCCAGAGTGCTAGGATCACAGGCAGGGACCACCACGCCCGGTTTTGGGGTGTTAGGGACAGAACCCAGGGTTTTAGGCATGCTCGACGGGCGCTCTACCAACTGCGCCACATCCCCAGCCCCCTGTTCATTGTTTATGTTAAGAATAGCATCTTGTTAAGGTGCCCAGGCTGGCTTCAAACTCATGATCGTCTTCCTTAGCTGTTGAAATAACCAGAATGATAGGCTGTGCCAGCTTCGGATTTCTCTCCTGTAAAATGAGGTCAATAATGATTTCTGGAGTGGCTAAGAGATTTAAACGTATCAGTACATGATGCTTGGCGCCGTTGGCATGTAATGTATACTAGCAATTATTGCTCCTGTCACTATTGCCATTTTGGAGGAGGTGTGTCGCGCTGCACATCTCTCCCCAACCATCAGATGACTCAGCTCCATAAATCACTCCTCCAGACATCAGGCATTTGGTTTCCAAGAGCAAGTTCATGGCCGTTTTCTGTGGCTTCCTCTTGACTAGCCTTAGATTCCTGATGCCTCCTTCAACTTAAAAAGAAACACATTGAGGCTCATGGCCAGAGCCTTTGCATCACCCATTCAGGATGATGACCTCGGGCTGGGGGTATCTTTTTGGTTTTGTCCGGCAGGACCCTGTGTCCTTGTGTCCTGAAGTTTGATGATAACTCAACAGAATTTGCCGCCCTAGTTGAAAGGAACAGGCAGTATCAGGTAAGCCGGGAGAGGGTTCTGCCACTGCGCAGGGATCGGGGAGGTCTGTATCAGGCAGAGTTAGTTGATGCTAAGTATCTTGTCTTTGACTGAGTGAGTGGGGACTGCCAAGGACTGTGCCAGTGGAAGCACATTCAAGGATGATAGGGATCACAGTGCAGCTTCTTAGAAGCTTCAGAATGAAGTCACAGAACACACTTCACCGGACCCCTTCCCCTCATCGCCGCCTCCTCCCTTAAGAAGGAATTCAAGCGTTGGTTGAAAGTAGCTAGTAAGACATGAGACTGGTTTCATTGTGTTCCTCCAGCTGTTCCAACCTCTGTCTCTTGTCTCCTCCTGCAGAAAGGCACTGAACAGCTGATTGAGAGCAGGCGATACGACACTCGAGATGATTTCACCGTGGTTCTCCAGCCGTTCTTTGAAAATGTGCCCATGCCTCGGACCCCGGTAAAGAAATGATGCATTGGGGATGAGGGGGGGACCCCAGAGGGTACGCAGCTGCATTTTTCTGCCATCTGTAACTGTTTCTCTCTTTCTGTCCGGTGACTAGGAGGGCCTGCCCGATAGCTCTTTCTTTGCCCCCGACTGTTTCCACTTCAGTAGCAAGACTCATGCACGCTCAGCCACTGCCCTCTGGAAGAACATGGTAAGAACTACCGTGTAAGAGTCCTCCCTTCCAGTCCAGCTGCCTGCCATCTCCTCCTCCTCCCTCCCACCTCCCCCGCCCCCTGCATCTTGACCAAGCCACCAGGTCCACATTCCTCGTCTTCTTGCTTGTTTGTTTAGCTGGAACCTGTTGGCCACAAGACAAGACAACACAATTTTGAAAACAAGATCCCTATTATGTGTCCAAACCAGGTAGAGTGGGCTGTTCGGGCAACGCCCTCTGACTACAGACGGGAGAGTAGAGAAGGGTGGGGGGCTAAAATGGACGCTTGAGCTAGAAAAGCAGATTTTAACCAGCAGGAAAAGCAGACCAGGACCCCAGTTTCCACTCACAAACTGTCAGATTCTTGGAGTTTTGTAGTTGTCCCCTCTGAGGCTTCTGAATTCTGCTGGGTCCCCAAAAGGATCTCAGGCTTCTCACTGGGAACTGCTGGACCAGGGCTTGCATGGGAGGAAATTAGACGTGGAGGAATCTGCTTTTTCTTGCTTAAGGAACCCAGGTCACTGTAGGACAAAGTGGGTGGTGGGTGGCAAGGCAACCTATTGGGAAGGGGCAGGGTGGAGAAACAAGACCCAACTCCCTTCGCCAATAGGCTGAGTGTGGGAAAGAGTACACACGCCTTCCTAGTAGCTACTTAAGGGTTCAGTCTGCGTCTTGGGGCTGGGTTCAGGTTGTAGAGAAGCCCCTGGTGCACGTGGTGGTCAGTCTTTCTGGAAGGGTCTAAGCTCTAACTGTGGCACTGGGCAGGCTAGGAAAGGGCATGTCTAGGCTGGTGTGAAGCCAGACCCTGTTCCCTCTCCTCTTCCCACAGACCTTGCCATTTCTGAGCACCTACAAGAACAGCAACCAGGTATCTACCTAAGTCTCCCTTGGGATCACCAGGCAATGGGGTGGGCAGCCGCTACTGATGGGAAGACGGATGAGAACCCCTGACAGAAAGCAGAAGATGGTTCGGACCCTTTCATAAAATCATCTCCCCACCCACACCTTCCAGTGGGGTGGAGAGCAGAACAAACGCCTTTCATATCAAATTGCAACCCCACCAAGAACAGAACAGAGCTAAAGGGGTCTTTGACAGAGTAAAGAGAGGGCAGAGGGTGGGGTGGATCATTTTTGAAGGCCCTGAGTCTTGCGCTGGATGAAAGAGAGGTCAGAGTTGAGATGAACAGATCCCAGGTTGGCTGATATTCAGAATCATCTAGGGTGCCATCTTCTGGTGCCCCTGGAGGACCCTCCCCAGGTATAGGACCCAGGCTCTGTGTTTTTCAAGCCTGCTTACTAAGTCTGATGCCTATCCATCTTCTCTGCCCGTCACCCCCTTAACTCTGAGATTCTGGGATTGGCTCTTTGCATTTAGGGTTATGGGACCTGGACGTTATGCAAGGACAGAGCCCCTTCCACCTCACCACCAACCTCGGGTAAGCTCCTGTGACCCACTGGGATCCAAGACTCCCCCCGCTACAAAGGCTTACCTACCAGTGAGCAAGCTCTCAGGCTTCGCGTGGTGACCACTCAACACAGTCCTGAACAGCGCTTGTTTTCTAGCCTGGTCTAGCTGGGCTTTGCCCAGCTCTGGCCTTCGGCAGTATCATGCCTGGCAAGCCCCAGTGCATTCTGGGTCAGGAGCTGTTTCCTAGCCTACTTTCAGGATCTAAGCAGGGACACACAGAAGACATGGGAGCTTGCCTCTTACTGGCCCAGCCTGCAGGGTGGCGAAGTCCAGAGGGGGATAAGGGCCAGGGAGTCCCGTTAAATGGATAGCTCTGTGGAAATGTGTCCTCCAGCTTTGCCTGTGGAAGGGTCTAGAAAGTTCTCTGGATTCTTCAGGACAGACTTGAGGGGAGGGAAAGGTCTGGCATGACTATTTCTTAGATTCTTGTGGAAATCTAGAACCCAGTTCGAAGTGGGCTATACATGGGCCAGTGTCTTTCTGGGTGGGCACTTAGGCCACAGCTGACTTCTCACATGACTGCCAGCACTAATACCTCTTCTTCCCTGCCCCCCTTCCTACTTGGTGCCTTGCAACATTCCTGTCATCTATTTCTTTATCTTCCGGCCCGATGAAAACCTAAGATTTGTTTGTCTCTGATGAGGAGACTCTTGTATGACATTCTGCCAACACAGTTTGGGCTCCCCAGCTCTACGTGGCCAAAACACACATGGCGTCTTGTTTGGGGTGTTGGCATAAAGCAGAGGCTCTAGCCTGTGCCGGCAGCTCCCTTCCCAGACTCACGCATGTCCACTTATCTTCCAGTGCATGCCCTGAGACCTGCAGACATCCAAGTTGTAGCAGCTCTGGGAGACTCTCTGACCGTAAGGACTTTGGAGCCCTTGGGGTGGGAGTGGGCGTGGTGTGGAGGGGGTAAAAGTGGGCAATGGGTGTGGTGGGGCCATTCCAAGTCCCTGCCCTCCTAACTCCAGAGCCTGCACTCCGAGCTTCTACAAGCCCTTGCCCTTCTGCCCTGGCTCTGTCTGTCCAGGAGACTGGCAACAATGTTATTTTTACAACTGCTTTATCAAGTAGGTGTGCAGGGGGAAAAAAAATCTTTTTCAGGAATGAACTGAATATTCTCAGTTGGCTGAGGTTTTGAACACCCAACACCACTTTTTGACATATGCAAAAGAATATGTCATGTTGACTCAAAATTCTCCTAACGATGCCAGTGTGGGTACTATTCTCCCTCCCTTGTGAGCAGCCCAGACCCCCATCTGTTCTCTCCGCATCCACACACAGCTTTATCCTTCAGCGGTGGCTCTGGCTCCTCCTCACCTTCAGCGTGGGACTGTACTACCGTCCCAGGGCACCACCTTCTGGTGGCACAGCCGGGGCTTTGGAAATGCCTTTCTGGAGAGAGAGAGAGAAAGAGAGAGGGGGGGTGTTTATTGGAAATCTCCCCATCACAATGGCTCCAGCTTAAGCGCTTTGTCCATAAAGCCCTGTGTGGTACTGATGCTGGTAATAGTATCAACATCACTCCCATTTGTAAAGCACTTGAGAGTTTCCCAGACTTCACAGCTGCGATCCAATTGAGTCCCAAGCCTCTCCTGTGGAAAGGCTTGCCGTGGTGAGAGAAAGCACAGCTGGGAAGGAGGGTCGCAGCCTGGGTCCCCTCGCTACCATTCTTGCCTCTGTGAGTGCACTGGGGGCCACGCCTTCAGACCCCATCTTCACGGCTCCCCATTTCTCTCTGGCTTACTGGTTTTCTTGTGGAATTTGATGTTCTCCAAGGCTGGCAATGGCATTGGCTCCCAAGAAGGTAACCTCTCCGATGTCCACACCCAGTATCGAGGACTGTCATATAGGTAATGTTAACCTTTGACCTCCTCCTCCCCAGAGCTTAGCCTCCTTGTTGGTTTTGTTACCTTTTTGGTTTTGTGGATTTGTTTTGTTTTATTGCCAGTGTCTCGGGGAATCAGGATTGTCCTTGAACTATGTAAGGGAAGATGACCCTGGGCTTCTAGCCCTCCTCTTTCTACCTCTCAGCTGCTAGGATGGCCAGTGTGCACTGGCTAGGTTGTGGGTTTAGCTCCTATAAATGCGCAAATCTCAAAGAGCAAGGACCAGGTCTAGAAGGGGCTTTCAGAGGAACCGCTGTATGTTTCTGCAAACTATGAACATTTACTGAACGGGGAAGATAATTTTGCTGTTAATGATCCTTTTATCTTTAAATTATGCAGAAAAAATAAGCCAAGGTTCTTACCAAACTCCTGGGTCAGCAAATCCAAACTGAAATGTGCCCGAAAAGCACCAAGTCCTTGAGTCTCCACCTGCCCGTTTGCATGTCTGTGTTCGTATGTCGATGCTACTCTGTTTGTCTTCATGTATGTATTCATGTCATTTTGTAGTAACACCTCTGCTTGTATATATATATGTATGCGTCTATACAGAAAACTGCCCAGACCCAGTACTCACTTCCAGAGGAAGTAATGGATGCAAGTTGCAATCAGTGGGCATCCCTGAGCAACTCCTGTGCGCTGGCATGGGATTAAGAACCGGATGGGTGTCCGAGGGGTGTGGGCATCAGCTGCATACTCGCCTGGCTAGTGTTTAGAAATGAAAACTTCCTGAGTGCTACAGGATGGGAAAGGAGAGAGGAACCAGCCCTCCTGCCAGCAGGGATAGAAGGTTTCCCAGAGAAAGTGGTACCCAGCATGTCATTAGACAAAGTGGAGGGATAAAAAAGGAAACCCCGGCTACAGATACAGACGTAGAAAGGAGCTCAGGCTTGGGGTGTCAGGTGAGCAACTGAGTGTCGGTGGTGTTACGTTTTGTTCTTTCCTAATAAAGTTCGAGGTTTTGCATGCTTCAAAGTAATTAGTGAGTGGTTAAGGACTTATCTGGGAAAACCAAACCGAAGCCTGCCACGAGAGGGCGGGGTGTTAATGAGCAGTTGCCGGCTCAGAAGCAAACTTATTGTTTCCTTTCGCGGGGTGCATTCATGTCAAGGATCCTCCCTAAGAAAGGGATAGGGGACAAGGTGGGGTGATCCAGAGCCAAGGAAAGCCCCCAAGAGAGACCCGTTTCCCAAGGGAAGAGAGAGGCAGGATCACAGAGCTGGTAGCCACCCACCGAGAAGTTCCAATGCACACCCTCAGCATGAGGGTGATCTTCCCTAGGGCGCTGCTTTTCAGCTCAGAGGCCCCCACATTCCCACGCCTCTTCAGCCACGTCAATGGTCTCTAGCGGGCTACCTGGAACAAAGCAGACCCTCCCTTACTCAGCACTCTCCAGAGTGTTGCTGAAGCTGGGAGGGAAGAGAAAAAGAGAACAGAGTGAGGTGGGTGGGGGGAGCAGGACTCACTGAGGTGAACCAGAAGAGGCCTGGTTCACAACAGCAGCTGCTTTGTATCTCAGATGAAGGAGGCAGTGACACATCATTGTGTGAGGGAAACCACACACGAGTGTCTGCTCCAGAGGAACACCCCTTGGGAACGGAAGTAACTGGCCCAGCCTCACAGGTAGTTGAGATAGTGCAGCTCCCAACCCAGATGCATAAGCCTTCTAAGAGATGTCTTGCACGGTCGTGCAAATGTTCAGCCACTCTGTTCTTTCCTAGGAATGAAATGCCCGAACTTTTCTAGTTATAATCCCAATAACCCATGGCCAATGACTGCTGGACTTTAAAATCTCCCCCCCGCCAAGCGTCCCTATGTTGAGGATGGAAGCTCTAGGTTAGCTCTAGGTTAGCATTTAAGTGACAGTGGTAGACTACCAGACAGGTGTTTCTTGGGGTTGGTCCATGGAATGTTAACTGTCCAAGAGGGGCATTCCTTTGTATTGGAGGTAAAACATTACCTACTATTTCCTTCATGTGCATACTAGCATAGTAAAGGTTCTGAGACGTGCCGCACTGAAGACCTCTCTTGATGGTTTATGTTTGAGTCAGGGTTGCCCTTAATTCTGGACTTTTGTGTCTCTGAAATATGTTAACCCCTGGGAAATGTCCGTGAAGTAGACTGATCAGAGAAAAACCATTTTCTGGAGCTCACTACATTAGAAATACCGGGCAATGAAATGGTGCTAGGAAAATTAAGAAAGCACCTTGGACCTTTTCCTCCAAGGAAACAGGAAAAATGGACCTTACATAAACGGGAAAAGGGGCCCCAGGATTCTGTAGGGATGGATGGTTGTAATCATGACCTATAGAGGTTTCCAAGGCCCCTTGGCCTATGAGACCGCGCACCTATGGGCATCATTGTCAGCTAGCTTACCAGTGAGTTGGTCTGAGGGCTTTCTTCTTTAGAGTACAGCTTTTTCCTTGATAGAAATGCATTGGCTTGTTTGGGATTATTCTATGGCCAAAATAAAATTTACTTAACCAAAGCAAAATGCATCTCCTTGTTTTTGTTTTTAATCAGGTCTTTAACCTCACATTTCTGACACTTTGAACACACATTCCTAAGCATCTCCTGTACCTTTCTGCACCCTGGATGACCACAGAAGAAACAGAGTCTAGCCATTGAGCTCGTGTGTCACAGATTACGTTTCCTGAAGAGTCTAACGTAGACCAGATGTTTGGCATGAGGGTTTCCTTTCATGTTTGGGTAGTTCTGAACAAAATGGTGGCTTCAGTATTTTGACTTCTCTGTGTTTATTTGTGTGCTTATCTTTTATCTTCTTGGACACTGACATGGCACCAGGAGAGCCTGTTGGTCTTGTTCTGCCACCACCCTTTTTTAAGTACCAATCTACCTTTAAGAAATGAAAGTAGAAGGTACATGATAAATGTACGTGTTTATATATGTTTTCCTGTTTGTTGAGGGAAATATGCAGAAGACAGCAGATGGGACAGTATATGGATTTCTAATTTCCTTCCAAGTGTAAAATGCTCCAGTTTGGTGACTTGGGCTCAGAGACAAAAGGATTCAGAAGCAACACCGTCATGTAGAGCTAGAAGAGAATTCAGTAGTGACAAAAGCCCCACCTGCTAGCCCAGGCCCAGACATCTGATGGGCCGTGGGGGAGAAAACTCAGTGATGTGGAGGGCGGAGCTTAGCAACTTTGAGTTATGGCCATCCTTGAGAGGTCTCTACTAGGGGGCTAGATGCTAAGTCTATATTCTCAAACTCCCCTGGCCTGGAATGATATACTGGGACTGAGGGAAAGGGCACAGAGAAAAACACAGTAAATACCAAATATCGGAACATCTAGATTTTTTTGTTTGGGTTTTGGGGTTTTTTGTTTTGTTTTGTTTTGTTTGTTTGTTTTGTTTTTCAAGACAGGATTTCTCTGTGTAACAGTCCTGGCTGTCCTGGAACTCACTTTGTAGACCAGGCTGGCCTCAAACAGAGATCCACCTGCCTCTGCCTCCCAAAGGCTGGGATTAAAGGCGTGTGCCACCACGCCTGGCTTGATTTTTTTTTTTTTAAAGAGAGAAATGAGTATCTCCTTAAACACATGGGAGGAAATGACCTCTTATGTGCTGTGTTTTGAGGTTAGGCCAGATCCAATGAGATGGGGCACTGGAAGGCAGCAAGCTCCCATCCTCTGAATCTTCCATTGGAATCTACCTGATACGGGGCAGAAAAGCTTATCTGTGTTCTCAAGCTTCCCAGCTCAAGCTGGGTTTTAGTTACCCGTAGCCATTAACCTCCCAGTACCTCAGCTTTTTTCTCTGTCACGTGGAGATGTCCATATCTAACTCTAAGCTTGGGACAAGAGAAAGAGCCATGACCTACAATACAGTCCATGCAGGGCACACCATGTCCTCCTCAGCTGAGCACTCACCACCCAAGTAGATAAAGGAAAGTCCTTGACCTTCAGATCCTAGACTAAAGGGGAAATCAATCGTCCACTGGCAAATCTAGAATGTTCTTAGGATCCCTCACATTCTTAGAACGGGTGGGGACTGGTCTTTGGTAAAGTTCATATACTGACTTGGTTTCTCTCCTCCTCTGCCTTGCTCACTCCATACAGTGCTGGCGGGGATGAGTCCCTGGAGAATGTGACCACCTTGCCCAGTAAGTAACTACCCAGGGCTTGAGTAGGAATGCTCTAGGAAAAAAAAAAAAAAAAACACATCCTTACGGATGAGCCCTGGAGAGGGAGAGGAGACCCCAATAGCCTGAGGGGGTGGAATGAGCACCAGAGACAGAGCCTGAAGACCTGAGTTCAATCCCTGCTCTTTCTATGTTCTTGTGAGGTGACCGAGGGCAAGCCGCCAAGTGCCCTTGGCCTTGAGCTTTTCAAGAAAAATGCTGAGACAAATCCATAGGGCCTTCACTGGCCCTGTAAGTAAGTTGGGCAGAGGAAAGAACTTCTGTGAGAAACTGCCAACCTTACCCCGTCATGCTTATCATCACGTCATTCCATCTGAGAGAGGCCCTAGTTTGTGTCGGGCCTATGCGCAACCCACTTCCTGTTCCCAGGAAGCATGAGAATGCCGGTGAGCCCCTAGGACGCTTTGTACTACTGCAGAATGCACCCTAGTCTTCTGTCTTGAGTTCTGTGCCTAGAGTCTCCCTTTCCTCTTGCAGATATCCTCCGGGAATTTAATGGCAACCTCACAGGCTACGCAGTCGGCATGGGTGACGTCGATTCTGCAGGCGCATTCCTTAACCAGGCTGTTCCTAGGGCGAAAGCTGAGTATGACATTGGGGGGGGGGGGTGCTGCAGAGAGGGGGAACAGAGGCATGCGGTCAGCCCCTCAGAGATCCCCATAGAGACCCACAAAGGGGCCCCATCTGCAGCAATGATTTTGAGGGTGCTCTTTCCTGTCCCCCCATAACTAAAGTTAGCGGGTGGAGTTTGGAGTCGCCTTGGATGTGTCTCTACAGCTGTCACCCAGCTCCTTCCTTGGTCAGGCTTTCACACACCTTGGCATCTAAGGGTTGGACTAACTAAGCAGTATTTGCCAATTTTTGAAGCTCACTCTGACATAATGCTGTTAGAGAAATCCTCCCACGGGTAACACTTACCCTATGTGATCAGGGAAGGCCAACTGCATCCAAGTCAAGATCTCCAGCCTGAGGGGTCCTCTGGACAAGTCTCTTGGTCTCCCTAGTCCTGGAATGGAGCTAACAAAACCAAAAACCAAACAAAAACAAAAAAAAAAAGCAGACTAGAGATATCCAGGGGGCTGCCGAGGCAGAACTGCCTAGCCTCCTGGGATGGTCTCTCAAGGAGGTGCTAATTCTTCTAGAGACCCCAGAAGCCTGGAGCTCCTGCTTCCCATGGTTCTTGGCCCACCCATGGTTCCAGCCCACATCTCTAGTTGGTGGGCGTGCCCCCAACACCCGTTAACTGGGCTCTACAATAGCAGTAGCCTGTGACATACAATCCCCCACTGTCCTACCCAAGGAGACCATCATGCTATGGATCCATCACTCAGACTTCAACCGGCAGCTCATGTAGTATTGTGAAAACCTGCAGTGTGTAGGCCCTAGAGGGTAAGAGGACAAATATGGGCATCCTTCCTCAACAGAAGGACTGACTTTCTCTCCTTAGGAACCTTGCAAGCCAAGTCCAAACTCTGGTTCAGAGGATGAAGAATGACCACGTGAGTCAGATTGGTGGTTACTGACAAATGTTAGTTTGTCTAGCCCGGTAAAGTTTTCCCCAAATGGAGTGGTCTGCCATGAAAAGCAGTGAGTGCCCTTTTGCTAGAAGCATTCAAGCAGAGATAGGAAAACCCCCTTGTCTGAGACCTTCTAGAGGATATTATAAGGGGTGGGGGGAGAATGACTGCTGGTCACAGTGACCTTGAAGGTCCCTCTTGCTGCTAAGATTCTGGTCTATAAATAAAGCCTCTAAAATGTCATCAGCTCCAAGGTTCTGATTGTGTTATTTCAAGTGGACAAGGAAGTCACAAGGGGCTGACTGGATTTCCTTGAGCTCCTGATGAGCATTTTCCTCCCTCCTAATATAGAGAGTGAACTTCCTCCAAGACTGGAAGGTCATCACAGTCATGATCGGGGCCCGTGACTTGTGTGAATTCTGCATGGATTCGGTAATTGGATAGGGTCTGGGTCTGATCCTGCCTTTGACCATTAGGCTTTTGGAGATCGAGGTCCCTACAACTCACCCCAGGCGCGGGCATTCAGCTCCAACCACATTGTGCATGTGTACACATGACTTATGCACGCACTCATGTGCTCGAGCTCCTTGGGGTCGACTTTGTGACTGGCACCACATGCACATCCCAAGTGGGGAGGGGCCAGGTGGCACATGAGTGGTGGCTGCTGCTTTTACGACTCTGGAGAGAGAAGGAACTGTAGACCCCCCAAACATTTTGGGAGAGCGGTCTTCATTTTCGGCTCTGGCCAATGGCTCTGATCTCCTAGCCCCTTGTCCCTGACGACAGTGAATCACTGGGCGTTCAGCTCAGAGTCTAACATGCTGATATACTCACGGATGGTGGGCAGGGGGGTAACAAGTCCTCGGGGCTGGACCCAAAAGGGAAGGCCACACCTGCCCCTCTGCCCTCTCACCGGAACCAATCCCTTCCTTCCCCTTCCCTTTCTCTTTCCAGAATCGGTATTCTGCAGCCAATTTTGTTGGCCATCTCCGCAATGCCTTGGATATCCTGCATAAGGAGGTGGGTTAGGGCTTCTGTAACTTGGCTACAGCTCTAGTATGGTGGAGGTGCGGGTGGGAGAGGAGAGGAAGGATGGAGCCAGCCAGGGGCATAGGCTCTGTCCCCATCCAGAGGCTCCATCCAGTCTTATACCCAAGTCAGCTGCATTCTATTTGGAAGGAGCCCCAGAGATCTCCGGTATCAAGAAAGGAAGGCACTGTGTACTAACATCTCTCTCCAGGACATTCCTTGGTGTTAGCCACTGGCCAGGCTTGGCATTGCATGTTAAACACAGAGTGTGTCTTGAGTAAACCTCTATTTATACCCAGGCTCATTTCTTCCACCTCACTGCTATTTTGTGGGCAGCAAAAAGCTGCCCTTGCTGTACCAGGGAAATAACATTCTAACCACTAGATGCCCTGCTGGGTAACTGAGTCCCCGTGTCTACTCAGAAGTAGTTGACCCGAGTCAAGCTGGCAGAAATTGGTCAGGAGCCAACAGGCTGGCAAACAAGTTGTCTATCACGCCATATTCTGGCTCACTAAATGATGGCTGAACAGAGCTGAGCTCTTAGCATTTACTGTCCCATCCTCGAGGTACTATCTATGCTGTAGCTGTATAGGGCGCTCCCCACCCACTGGTATACCTTACGTCACACATGGGCTGCAACACTCCGTGAAACAGTCCTGTGTAGACTTGTCTCTTGAACTCGGGGATGAGCTGAGCTCGAAGTCTAAAGGGAGCCTCTGTCCAAACCCCGGGAGGGAGCCCTTGTCTCACCTGCAGCCTTCTCTTTAGGTCCCCAGAGCCCTGGTCAACCTCGTGGACTTCATGAACCCCAGTATCATACGGCAAGTGTTCCTGAAGAACCCAGACAAGTGCCCGGTGCATCAGGCCAGGTAGGCAGGCACTGGTCATCCCATCCAAGAGATCTCCTAAGCCTTGCCCTGGCCTGCCCTTTCAGCAATGTCTCCCCAGAGTCTCAGCAGCAGCTTAGTTCTTCCTTGTCTATAAACAAGGACCGTGTTAGCATCATTCTCTTCTGGGAGGTCAAGACCCTTGATCTTGTCCCTTCCCTATCCCAGGTGCCAGGCAGGAACTTCTGTGATAGCAAGAATCATGGGGGCCACTATTCAAGAGATGAGTAGCCCAAACTGAAAATGGCAACACAGACTGGTTTTCTGTGTGGCTAAACTACAGTGGAGAGCAAGAGACAGAACACCCAACCCAGACTTCTTGAGAAGAGGGGGGTTGGGGAAAGGGAAAGATGACTGTTCAGCTTCTGTAACTGGGTGGTGGGTACACAGGTGTGTGAGTCCTCATCCTTTACACCTTCATGCACCTATTGACTTAAATCTCACAGGGGCTGGAGAGATGGCTCAGTGGTTAAGAGCACTGGCTGCTCTTCCAGAGGACCTGAGTTCAATTCCCAGCAACCACATGGTGGCTCACAACCATCCGTAATGAGATCTGGTGCCCTCTTCTGGCCTGTAGACACACATGCAGGCAGAACACTGTATACATAATAAATAAATAGATCTTAAAAAACAAAATCTCACAGGATTTACTGTGCCCCAGGCACAGTCTTGAAGGCAACACAGATAGCCTTGACTTAGGATTCTGACCTATATAATGGTGCGATAGCCACATGTACTCAAGAGAATACAGTCTTTTTCTGGGCTGGAAATATGTAGTCCCATGGTCTCAAGTGACTCTGGAAGCCCCAAGAAATACTCCAAGAAAAGCCCCTCCCCCCAAATGGAAACCAGCCAGCTCCCTATGGCGTATGGGGCTGCTATGATGAAATATTTGGTAGGTAGGTATAGCAAATGATTTTTTTTTCCTTTTTCCATTTTTTGAGGGTATGGTGCACATGTGTGCATCCATGTCTATATGGGGGAGCACACATGTGAGGGTACACATGCGCATGCTTGTGTGTGCCTGTGAAGGCCTGAAGTTGGTGGTAGGACTCATCTTTGAGTGATCTTCCACCTTACTCAATGAGGCAGGGTGTCTCAGTCAAACCCAGAGCTCATCGATAAGGCAGGTCTCACTAGCCAGCTTGCTCTGGGAATCCTCTGTCTCCATTTCCCCAGACTATGATCTCAGGTGGGCCGCTATACCCACCTGGCATTTCTGGTGCTTCTGGGAATCCAAACTCTGCCCCTCCCACGTGTACAGCCAGCGCTTTAACCACTGAACCATCTGCCAGCCCGGAACACGAATGTTAACATATGCTATTATAAACTTACCATAGGCTTATTGGAATGTCGCCTCCATCGTATGTCAAAGGTCATCTTTAACTTTCCTCTGAATGTAAAGTGCATATGACTGAAGCTAACTCATAATCAAAGGAAAGGCATTGGAATAACATTAGAGGAGGTATCTCAGGATATGAGTATCAGAGTCCTGGTGTGCCTGCTTTAATACCAGGATGCATTGCTATTTTATTTTTTTAATTAAATATTGCATTCTTGTTGCCTGAGTTCATTGACTGGACAGAATGTGACAGGCCTAGCCTCTGAAGTCCAATTCAATACTTATTAAAGCAGACTCATTCAAACTGCAGATTCCTCCTTCTCATCACTATAGCAGGAATCTTAGAGAGTCTTTTAATAAAATCAAACCCAGGGCCAGTTCTTGGGGTGAAATGCTGGAAGGTCAGAGAGACAGAACAAGCCACAGCTAACCTCACCTGGCCAACTTCTCAGCTGGTCTTGTTTCCTCAGACTGGAAGCCTCTGTGTCCTCATTTCCAAACAGCTCTTAGCTGAACTGTGCTGCTTGAAGCCTGAAAACTTAACCAGCCAAATGCTGCTAGTTTCTGGTCCTCACGCCTTATATACCTTTCTGCCTTCTATCACCACTCCCTGGGATTAAAGGCTCACTTTCTGGGATTAAAGGCGTGTGTCACCATGCCTGGCCGTTTCCAATGTGGCCTTGAACTCACAGAGATTCAGAGGGATTTCTACCTCTGGAATGCTAGGATTAAAGGTGCGAGTGCCACCATTTTCTTGCCTTTGTATCTAGTGGCTTTTCTGTTCTCTGACCCCAGATAAGTTTATTAGGGCACACAATATTTTGGGGAACACAATACCACCACACATCACTTTCTCGAGGACCTGGGACAGATGCCTCAGAAACTCCAGGCGCTTGTGCTCCCAAACCAGGGCTTGAGTGAGTCTTGCTACCCCACTCAGCTCTGGGTGGCCAGAAGCAGTCCCTGAGTGGAGGGAGCTTCAGCTATGGACCTTCTTCTCTCCCCTTCTTTGTACAGTGTCATGTGCAACTGTGTTCTGAGCCCGGGGGAGAATTCCTACGAGCTGGCCAGGTTGGAGTCCTTCACCCAGTCCTACCAGGTAAGGTAGAGGAGAGCCCCTTTCCATGTCCTCCTCCTGTGTTCTTCTTATTACAGCCCAGAGGCCCCCTCTAGGCAGGGGGTTGGGGGACATGAAGGAAATAGAGCAAGACATCAACCATCCTGGGCCCCTCCCTCTGCCCCACCTGGCTGAGGGTCTTGGTTTCCTTGGTTGGAAAAGCCCCAGTAGCATCCAGGTGACATTGGTATGGCTGAGCCACCTTTGGGGTGGAGGGTGATAAATCTCATTGTTAGCCAGTAGGTCTGGGGTGTCCCATGAAGCCACACTGGAGGCCAGCTTCTCCCCATTTCTCTGGCCCCCACTCTCACACGAGTGCCCACAGACAAGCCACAAGAAAGGGGGTTACAGGATAAGAACCTGGGAGCCTGACGAGCTCTGGAGTGTCTTCTCTGTTTTTTGTTCATTTCCTTTTCTTTTTCTTTTTTTTTTTCCTTGTGGAAAAAAAAAAAACCCTTTAGAGATGGCAGGTTTAAAACAAAACAAACAAACAAAAGAAAACCCTGAAACCGTACACCCATTTCCAAACTGTCTAGAATGGGATTTGCCATCAAAAACATTTGCATCAGGCTGAGAGTCAGCTCCCTTGTCTAAGGGGATGGGGACAGGGATGCTGTCTGCCGCCTGTCCTCACCCTATCCTGTGCTAAAGGCTGCTGTTGGTATTCGTGTGTGTTCCCAGAGTAGCATGCTCCAGCTGGTGGAGTCTGGCCGCTATGATACCCGGGAGGACTTCTCTGTGGTCCTACAGCCCCTTCTCCTCAACGTCAGGCTCCCCATCCTAGAGGTACGCTCCCCCCACCTTGGGCTCTGGAGGGAGGAGGGGCATCCTTGCAAGAGAACCCTCAAGGCAGGAATGCATGAGAATGGGAAGGACACAGAGAGCTCCGCAGATGCTAGGCCAGCAGCCACAGTGCCCTTTTACACCTGAACCCAGGCATTATGCATCCCACAGATAAGATTGCCACAACTGCCTTGGGGGATACTGAGAACCCCATAGAACAGAAAGTGAATAGATGTGCTGTAGCCTTCCCAGAAAAATCAGAAAGAACGTAAAAGACAGGCAAGACTCACAGATATCCAAGCCTACATTAGTGACTTGCTGCCACATGTGGTCTCCCTCACATGTGGCCCTGTGGCTATGAAAGGGAGTTCCTGTGCTGTGTTCCCACCCCTTGGCCATGCATGTTGCCTGGCACTTCCTCTCAGTGCAGAAGAGCTGGCTGTGTGGGCGGAACAGGTAAGGCCTCTATCCCAAGACCTCAGACAACTTGGGGGGAAGGTGGAAGGAACACAGAGTGGTGTGTCCAGAGAGAAGAACTGGAGTCAGGTGTCCTGCTGGCCTGATGTCAGCCCTAGCCAGGCCTACTTGGTCTGCCCTTTCATCCTCTCCGCCTAATTGTGGAGGCTGAGAATTAGCAAGGAAGTTCCCCTACCCCACTCCCCATCACACCCTAGCTAGTTTACTATTAGTTACTTTTCTCTTCGTTGCGACAAGCAGCTTAAGCAAGGGCGTGCTTGTTTTGGCTCACATTTTAGTTTAAGAAGAGACACAATGTATCCTGGCAGGGACCGCAGGGTCAGGAGCATGAGGCAGCCAGCCGGGCATATTGCATCTACCGTCAGGAAGCAGAAAGCCAGGAATGCTGGTCCTCAGTTAGCTCTCTCCCTGTGCAATCCAGTACCCCATTCCATGTGGGTCTTCCCACCCCAAGTCACCCAGTCTCTGTCAGGTTGACGTCAGTATTAACCAATACACTACCCAAGACTCCCTGGAGAGCTAAGAAACTAGCTTCTTCACTTACAGCATGAGTTAGAGATTCTACAAATGTGCCCAAACAGAGCACTTTTTAAATAAAATAGGGAGAATGTGGAGGCCAGAGAAGGTATTGCTTTAGGTCACCCAAAGCTCTTTATCTGTGGGAATGCCCTTATGTCCCTGGCATGTTCTTCAAAGGGAAGAGGGTATGTTGTGGTCATTCCCCAGGATCCCATGGCCTCTGGCTCCCTCTAACCCCACAGGACCTTGAGGAAGTGTTTGTCTCTTTCAGGATGGGCGTCCAGATACATCCTTCTTTGCCCCAGACTGCGTCCTCCCTAATCAGAAGTTCCACTCTCAGCTCTCGAGAGCCCTTTGGGCCAATATGGTAAGATAAAGGGCGGCTTCTGGCAGCGTAGTCTAATGCAAAGCACCAAGCTTAACCGATGTGGGTCGGGCCCAGAGGGACAGCAGCTGGCACATCAGTTAGATATCTACAGAGTGGCCATGGAGAATCCTGGAAACTGACTTGGCCAGCTTGCACTACCAGCTGCCCCTTGTCAGCTGTCAGGAGGGACGCTGTCTACATAACCTATCAGAAGGGCTGCGGACATGACTCAGTGGGTAAACCTGAGTTCAGATCCTGAGGGCTCATGTAAAAGCCGGGTATGGGGGGCAGACCGCTATCACGCCAGTGTTGGGGGGACAGAGATCCCAGGAGCTTGCCGGCCAGCCAGTCTAACTGGAACAGCACACTCCCAAGTTTAATCAGAGTCCCTAACTCAAAAAATAAGGTGGAAAGCAACAGAGAAAAAAACCCTTGACACACTGACCTCTGACCTCCATACACAAGCATGGTTATCAACTCCTAAATGTGCGCGCGCACGTACGTACGTACACACACACACACACACACACACACACACACACACACACACCAGCAGAAAACCTTCATTTATTCAACCTTTTCTGTCCACCACTGCATATGCTAGGCAGTTGAAACCACGTAATCTCCTTTCAGCCCCTCCACATACACGCACTCTCACAGGAAGCGTTTTTGAGTTTCCAGAGAAGCTGCCTGACTTGCTCTGGATCCTGCTTGCCAGCACCTGACAGAGCCTCCAGTCAAAGCCACACCCCCAAAATGAAGTTCTGATCTTCACTTCTTCAGCAGGAACAAACAAGCCTGGTGTATTTTTCTTTTCTTCCCCGATCAGCTTGAACCTCTGGGAAAGAAAACAGATACTTTGGATCTGAGAGCATTCATAGCCATGGCCTGCCCGACCCAGGTAGTAAAGGAGGGACTTGCTTGGTCTGTCCTCAGAAACTGGCCAGACCTGTCCCTCCTCCTCTTTTTCCTTCTCTGTCTCTTCCTCTCCTCCTCTTCCTCCTCCTCCTCCTCCTCCTCCTCCTCCTCCTCCCCCTCCTCCTCCTCCTCCTCCTCCAACTGAGCTTGCTCAGCCCTAGGCGGAGAGATGGACTTGGGAGATGGGGAGAGGGAAATGTGGCTGAGCTGCTTCCTTGGAGATGGGTGATAAAGTTGGGTCCTCACAAAGAGGAGCCTGGGCAGGAGAAGCCAGGAGGACAAGAGAGTGTGGAGTGGATGGGAGGGTCTAAATATGGGTGGAAGGGCCAAGAGAGGGACCCGGGAGCCCAGAGCCTGGACTCGGTGTTCTCCCCACGAAGAGGGCCAACAGCGGGGGTCACGACGGGAGAGCCCGAGCTACCCTCCGGGAGGGCTCGAGAGGACCAGCCTGAATTGGCATCAGGAGCAGCACAAGGGCTCCTTTTAAGGAGGAATATGTTCAACGTGACTTCAGGCCTGGAGTGGGGGCAGGCTCACGTTCCCCTTGCCTTCAGTTTCTGGTTTTGTCTTATGGCTTTTTAACCAAATAAGGCCAAGGCTAGAGAGCCCTTGGTGGCCATAAAAGCAGAGTGCCTGACCTAATGTGGGAGGCTGGGTTTCCTTCCAGTCTGGGTCAGGCTGCAACCAGCACCCCGCCCCCTGCTTACCAGGCAGAGCCTCGGCCTAGGCTTGCAGCTCCCTTGGGATATCTGCTGGGGATCCCAAGAAAAGGGGAGGCCCCTATCCTGCTCCGTGCTCCCTGTCAGCTGTCTTTTCCATCTCAATCTTTAGTACCTGGCTTCCTCTGATATACCATGAGCAAGAGGGGCCGGAAGAGGGGATCAGGGCAGTGGTAGCAGAGGGTTCAATGGCTGGATCTAGTGCCCCAAGCAGAGGAGAAAGTCGAGTCATGTAGTTATCAGCGTGCATGGGTAGCTTGAGTACCAACGATTGATCAGATGCTGGGCAAAAGGGCTTGGGTGAGGCCCCTCAATGCCATGTGTGAGGAGATTCACTGCCGCTTCCTGAGGCTGCCCAGGGGCATTGAGGGGGGAGGGACCTGGACAGCTTGGGCAGTAAGGGGCATTTGAAGACTTACAGCAGTGATCATACCATAAGAATTTCATTTTCCTTCTCTTTGTGAGCCCTTGTATGTACGGGTGTGCATGCATGCGTACACGGAGGCCAAAGGTTGATGTTGGATGTTTCCAGCTGTTCTTCACCTTAGTTTTAAGATAGGCTCTCCTAAGGACCCTGGAGTTAACCACTTGGCTATAGACTGGCTGACTAGGAAATCCCATGAATCCCCCCATTTCTACCTCCCCCGGTCTAGGATTACAGGCTCAAACTTCTACATCTGGCTCCTTGGATGGGCTCTAGATCCAAATCCAAGTCCTCATACTTCGGTGGCAAACTTTACCAACTGAGCCATCTCCCCAGCCTATAACTGAGGTTTGCAGTACTTTAATAATGGATATGAACACATTGGATATCAACTACAAGAGTCCCCTCCAAAGTGTCAAATCTCAGCCATCATGAGCTCTTCCTCCCTACAAACATTATATGCCAAATTGAGGTCCCGGCCCTGGGTCAGGGAGGTCCCTTCACTGTGAGCCCCAAGGCAAATTATGCCCCTCTCTGTCCCAATTCAGGCAGGGAGCCCCAAAGAGGTGAGGCTCTACCTTAGGACTTCAAGCTTTCTTCCTCCATTCCGGACAGAACCTGACCTAACTATTGATGAACTGAGGAAAGATCCAGCTTCCTAGAGCCCTGTAAAAGCCCAGCCCAGTAGAAGCTGTTGCTAAGCAACCCTGGAGCCCATTCCAAAAGGGTCCATCTGTTGGCCAGCCCAGCTTCACAGCACAGTGTCTCAGGTGCCATCTGCTCTCTGCCATGTGCCTCGGAGCCACACAAAAGTCCACCCGTCTCTCCGTGTGAGCTGATGAGCAGGACAGGCAGCGCATATTTTCATCCAGGCTGTGTCTAAACATAGAAGCCACAAGCAGGACCTGGGGGATGAGGGAGGGGCGGAGGCAGCGAGTTGGGAGTGAGTACTTCCAGAAGGGCCCCTCTCCTCCTCCATTCCCAGCCTCACGGATACCATGATAACACATTCCGCTGCGCCGGGTAGGGTGACTTCACAGTACACCGTGGTTTTAGGATGTATTCGCAGATTGGGCGAGTTCTGTACAACTGAGTCTTGATTAGCTCTCTGCCCCTCCTTTACCTCACTCCAGAGCTGAGCTCTGCCCTTTTCCAGCTTTTATTCTTCTTGACCTCGGTCATAGTTACGTTTCTCTCCTTTGGAATCTGTCCCTCCCTGACTTGGGAAGGCTTAAGCACCTCCATTTTTTTTTTTCCTGGTTGCCTCCCTTCCTACCTCTTCATGGCATTCCTCTCTCTGGCTCTGAAAACGAGGCCCCTCCCAGACATCCTGGTCTTGGTCTTATTGTGTACATCCTCACTCTGAAGTTGGTCTATTTCTAGAGTTCTCCCCCCCCACTTGAACTTCATAGCTCCAGCTTCCACAGTCTCTCACCCTTCCACTGTTTTATTTTCTTTCCCAGACACCCATCCTAGATTTCCAAACCCTTAAGACACGTTTCCTCTTGGAAGCCACATATGGCATAAGATTGCCGCTCCTACCCAAGACACGGGGGAGGAGATTAAATGTATACATAGCCCATCAGAAAAGTCCCTTCCTTCTCTGCAGACCTTTCCATCTAGCTATGCAGCAGTCGGGTTCTCCAGCCACTGACTCAACTGCTCGCTCTTGCCTGGACTCTGCCTCCTTGGCAGCCCACGGAAACCGCCGGGCAGTGTCCCTTCTACCTGCTCAGGCTCGCAGCCAGGAATCTCACATGTCATCAGCCACACCCCAGGCCTTTTAAACCAGCCTGACTCATGTGCACCAAGCAACCAAGAGCCAATAAAAGCAGAATTCCAAGGTCCCTTTGTCCTCTGATCCCTTTGGCATATTCTCCTCTTCCCCAACTCAGGCTTCCTGGGGTCAGATGAATAGTTTTGAGACTCCTAGCTCTTCCAGAAAGGTAAAAGTGGACTGTGCCTTTCCACTCCAGCCAGGACGTCTCTGTGGAGGGAGAATCATAATTAGCGCCCCCACGCCCAGTCTTGTCCTGAGGGATGCAAGTCCCCAAGTCTTGTGTCGGTTCCCTCAAAAAATTCCACAGTTCTAGGTCTGCTGGTCTTTATTGCTTAGGAGTGTCTCATGTCTTTCTTCCTTGTGCCTGATGGATGAATCTCCCCCTGCCCTCCTCTCGGTATTTCTCTGGGTACAGGAGCCGGACAGGTGTAGGTCGATCGTTTGTAGAAGGCACTATGGCTGCCCTCCGGAGTGACTGTTGAGGCGGATGCTGACGACACTGATCTGAGGCTGCCTAATTAACGATGCAGCATGCCATTACGAGCTTCTCTGTCTCTCACTGGCAACGTTGCCTGAGTGCCGCTCGTCTCTGTTTCAGACTGGAGTGCTGAGACTGAGAGAAAGGGGAAGACAGGCCTCAGCATTGAGGGGCGGGGTTTCAAGACAGGTATCTCTGTGTAACTGCTCTGGCTCTCAGGGAATTCGATTTGTAGACCAGGCTGGTGCCTCAGACTCGCACAGATCTGCCTGCCTCTGCCTCCCGAGTGCTGGGATTAAAGGCGTGTGTAACCACGCCCCCACCTAGCTAGCTTCAACATTTTAACCCTCCTCCTCATCATCCTCCTCCTCCTCCTCCTCCTCATCATCATCATCATCCTCTTGCTCCTCATCTCTTCCTTCTCCTCCCCTCTTTCTCCTGCACCCCTCCGTGAGCCAAAATAAAACCCCTCCCAGCTGAGTTTACCACGGAGACATAGTTTACAGCACCTGGAACCGATCTCTAAAGACCTCTTTTCCAACGGTCTGACTTTCCCCTCACATCTCTCCACACCTCTGACTGTTGGCTTCCCATTTTTCCCCCCCAGCCTTGGCCTTTCTACTCTATAAGCATGTTCTCTGAGTGCCCCTGGGTCTGGTCGACCTCACTGTCTCCTGGTCCAGGTCTTAGGTTGACTTGGCTTCGCTCGGTTGTGGGTTTTCTCCGAGTTTGATTTTCTCCTTGGCCGCCGCCTCCACCCTTCTTTGATTAACCCGTCACCTTCCACTGCGTGGCCTGGGGTGTCCCCCTGGCTTGCAGCAGCTTTGGCTGTACAGCAGAGAGGTGAGGAGGGCCTTCCTGGAGAACAGGTTAGTCAAGGGGGGAAAATGACCTAAAACACAGGAAGCCAAATTACAGTGAGTCATAAACACATATGGCACAAGGAAGAGAGAAAGAACAACAACAAAAAAAAAGACAGGTAATAAAACACACTGATCATCATAACTTTTCTCCAGAAAGAAAATTGCTGAAATGTGAGTCTTTTGCCAGAAAAAAAAAAAAAATAAGAAAATAGGTAAGACCGAGGACTGTGGAGATGTGCGTAATTGCTATGGTCTACATGAGATCATGGAGCCCAGACCGCAGAATGTGTTGAACTTTCTCTAAGCCTTTTATTTGTGCCTCCCTGGCTAATAATGGTTTATAAAAACCCTTCTGGAATGGCTGAAATTGTGTCTACGCAGCTCTTTGCTGTTCGATGCAGAACTCTGTTAAATAAACCTAGAAGGCAGGGTGGTTAGCTCATACATAGCCTCCATGCTGTTAGATAACCTCCCCGGGTCAATTTTTTTTCCTCCTAGGATGAGCCCTTCCTGAGAACCTTCCAGAACAGCAACTACACGTACCCTTCCAAGCCAGCCATTGAGGTAACCTCTGACTCATGTCTGTGCCTCTCAGACACAAGCTAGTCCTACCTGCCAGGGACTCGGGGTGTGGTGCAGATTTCACTGTTAGTTTAAGCCCAAATATATCCTTCTGACATACTGGGAACTGGAATGTACAAAAAAAGGGTCCGGAACTGAGGCCCCAGAACGGTCCTGACATGTTCTCAAGTTGTCTACCTGACGTCAGGGGCCAAGCAGAGGAAGTGCCAGGGATCAGCGTGCACCGACCTTTGCTGTCCTGGGCTCGGCGACATTGTTCGTAATTAAGCGTCTCAGTCTTGCAGAGGTGGACAGTGGGGGTGTGGGGCAGGGGTCATGAAGTGCCATCAGCTTCCTGAAGGTGGAACCCTAAACTGAGTGGGAAGGAATCTCTGTGCCAGGGGTGGAGCATGACAGGAAGCTGACGCATATCCACACCAAAGCCCCGACCTTAACTGAATACAAGTCACTCAATCCCGCTCGGAGCTTTCAGAGAGCTCTTTGGCTTTAAGGATCGACACTCCAAAGGTGGCTTGCCAGATCCTGTGCCATACCACACCACACCACACCACACCACACCACACCACACCACACCACACCACACCACACCACACCACACCACACCACACCACACCTTGAAGGACCTAGGCCTGGTCAGAGACTCGAGCATTTCACATTCATGCTGAGGGCTGGTGGGGATTTAGAGACGCATGTGACATGGTCCTGACCTGGGTAGTTAGAGCCCAGTAGAGAGTTCACAATTGTTTATTAAGCACCTACCATGTGTCATACACTATTTCAGGGCGGTAGAAACTGATGGGACTCAGCTTTTACAGAGAGTCCCATCTGCTGAGCTGAGACATCTAGGACATAACTAAAGTGATCATTTCAGGTAGGGACAGCCATTGCTCAAAGGAGGGAGATGGGCCGGCCACAGGAAGGGTGGCCAATTCTGATGCATCATGGTTGCCGAGCCTGTCTGAGAAGGGGAGATTTGAACTGAGAGATGCAGGTCAAAAAGATGCCAGCTGCCTGGAGGACCAGAAAATGCCAAGCAAAAGGGCCAGAAAGCATGGAGGCTGGGGGGGTGAAGCAAGTTGAGTATAATCGAGGAGGAGAAGGAAGTCAGAGTGGCTGGAGTCAGGGCATGTGGCTGTGGTGAGTAAACAGTGTGGGAGATAAGATCACATTAGTGCGCAGGGCCAGGGCACACAGCCGGGATGCCTGGGAATGAAGGTTAGGTTTCAGATGGGAAGCCATGGGAGGTTTGAGGATTTGGTACATGCCTTTAAGAGACCTCTCTGGCTGCAGCATGGAGACTGTACCAGACATCCGTGACTAGGGGGACCTTGCTTTTTGAGTCAGAGTAACATGTAGCCCAGGCTGTCCTAAAACTTGTTATGTAGCCAAGGATGACCTTGAACCCCTGAATCTCTTATCCCACCTCCCAAGTCCATGGGTTCTGGGCGTGCACCACCACACCTGGCTTTTACTTAAATCTGGGTTTGGTTTTTGAAATATGATCTCACTCTATAGCCCAGCCTGGGCTATAATTCACCATGATCCTCCTGCCTCAGCTTCCTAAATGCTGGGATTACAGGTGGGAACTGCCACACCTAGAAGACAGAGCTTTCATAAGCCAACCAAAGCACTGAGAATAGCCTGTGTGGAGGTGCCAAGGAACTGTCAAGTGGGACGTCCTATTCCAGCGGTGTGGCTGGGAGCTACATCATCTCCAGGCTCTCTGGATTCTCTCTGACTCACGTTAACCCAAAGGTGTCGAGTCCTGCTTGAACCAGTGACCAAATTCCCGTGTGACTGAAAAGTCTTGTCAGCCAGGCATTCATCTGTTCATTTTCCACTTCCTTAACAGACTACGAGGAACAACCACTATGCTAAGTACTGGATGGACAGTAGTGGGTAGTGGGGCTCGGCCTGTTCTCCTGGATCTTTGTTCTTAGGGATCTTTCCTTCCACTGTTTAAAGCTCAGGGTAGAAAGGTATGTTCTCGTTTTGATAGATGGCTGCCTAAAGTAGGCAACATAAACACTGCCTTTGTTACAAAGTCCTGGGTGGTTTCCTGGACCCACTTGGTGTACATAGAGCAAGATGGCAGACCCCTGGCAGGTCCTGGTTGAGGTAACAGCATGGTGTCTTCTCCTTTGTGACGGATGTACACACTCAAGTCTAATCTGCGTGTGTCACAGAGAACATGCTCAACCATCAGCGATTCCCATGATGTGCTTGGTAGCTCTAGAACTTTCTTTCAAAGTTGCACTTTTCCCAAGTATTTGTGTGACCGTTCTTGACTTCCATCTTACATCTAAACAGATGGGGGAAATCACTGTGGTCTGTTGAGGAGGCCCCGGGGATACACGGATCTACCGGAGTAAGCAAATGTTTGAGAGACAGTTTGGTGAAGCCCTCCCCCACCCCCACAGAAGCCACACTTATGTCAAAGAGTCTTGAAGGTTGATTGATCACAATTTCAGGAATGTAGAGAGTTGGAATGTTACAGATCCAGAGCCAAACAGTCTTGTGTTGTCTTTAGTCCCCTTGGGAGCTATTCATTGTCCAACTCTGTGCCCAACCTAAGTCCTTGTGACTCTCGGGGGGCGGGGGGGGGGGGGAACTTTTTAAAAATACATGAAACTAAGCAGACAACCACTACCTTCCATCAACCCAGAAGCTAAAAATGTCATTAGAGAACATCTGAGAGGACATTTTCCTTCTTTACCCGGACACCTGATGTCTCCGTTAATGTATTTCTTTGTTCTGTGACTATAAAAACTTCACAGAACCATTTCTACATTAGAACATATTATTTGGGGCAATCTAAATCTATGTTCCTGGGCTATGGTCACTTTTTTTTTTTTTGGCTGAAAAAAAAAATCACCTTTTTTTTTTTCTCCCTTTAAAGGGGAGTTGTGTTTTGATGGAAGGTTTATCCTCCGTCCCTCTGAGGTGAAAGCTGTGTTTTGATTGACAGTTCTTCTCATTTGCTCAGGAGGGACATGAGAAGACTTGTCTCTGGATGACCTTTCCAAAGCTCTGGCAGTCACTCACACTCCAAGAAAATCAGTCCAACAGTTGTGGGGAGGCGTTACTCCACACCCAGTGTGCTCGTATTTGGAGAAAGTTAGTTCACCGGTTGGCTTGAATTGGCATTTCTGTGCCTTCTACCTCCCACCTGCCCTGACTCCCCTGGCACCTGGAAAATCCACCCTTTATCAGAGACAAGGACAGTTGACCAAAAGTATCCAGTGTGCCAGATGTTTGTTTCTGCACATGGCAGGGATTGATGGCTCTGGGTTAAATAGCAAAACAGGCAAGATGGGCAGAAGCCAAGAGCTTTGCTATTAAAAAATTCAGCATTTTCGTAAAAATATCTTAATGGATGGTTGTGTAGACTCTGGTGTCATAATTAATGTCAGTCAACTTAGTGTTAACACACATCAAAGCATGCCTATAATTGTTCATGTTAGATGTATAAAACCTGTGTCCTTTGAAGAACTGGTTGTAAGAGTTCATTGCTTTCTGCCTTATTTTGTGGCTGCTGGCTCCATTCAAATATAGATAAGTCAGGAAGGAAAAGGCTGTGCTGTGCACACATGTGCACACATGCACAGAAGCCCACTTCTAATTTCCTTTTTCCACACCTGCAGTTAACTATACATCCAGGGATGTATTTCTAGGTTCATTGGCTGAATCTTCTTGGATGCACCTTGCTTGCATGTGAGTGATTATCCTCTATCTTTCTCCTTCTGACTCAGAACTGGGGTAGTGACTTTCTGTGCACAGAGCAGAATCCTTCTGGCAGTGTGCCCAGCTCAGGTAAGTGAAATCATCACACCCCTTTCACAAAATACCACATTGGGTGAGAGAACTATAGGTAGGTGCACCCTGGAGCCAAGTTGAGCAGACCTTGCTGGTTCCGTTTCAAGGCAGAGCTAGATGCTCAGAGGCCCCCGGAGAAGATGGTCTGCAGCTACTGCTGGGCTCCAATATGGAAGGATTCAGGCCTCTCCCCCCGAGTAATACTTTTGTCTCTCTGAAGTTTCAGCACAGCTCCTCAGGCCTCCCCGATTGGTGAGACAGGTGCAGGCAGGGATGTGGCCCTAGCTGCCTATTCCATGTGAACCACACTGGAACTCTGCTGGACCACCACCTATAGCGTGCCGGATGGTAGCCATCAAGCCCACGCTCTTCAGAGCCTTAGCATTCTGAACGAATTGAAGAGGCAGTACCAGTAAACCTTTAGGCTAGAAACAGCATAAGGGAGCCGTAGGCTAGCGCAGACTCCCTGGCCTTGTTGAACGCACGCTGTAAAAGGCCAACACCCGTCCACTCTGCTTTTGCCTCTTTCTCCTAGTCCACGAGCTCCGACCAGCAGACATCAAGGTGGTGGCAGCGATGGGTGACTCCCTGACTGTGAGTACTGCGCCGTGGGCCAGGGTGGCCCCCACAAAGTTTCGCCTGGCTCGGCAGAGTCAGCTCTTCCTTAGCATTCAGCAGGGAGTCCCCTTCCAGGCAGGAAGCATGCATCCCAGCCCCCCCCCATCTTCCTTAGCCCTACTTAAACTTCACCCCGTGCACAGGGTCTCCCTGCACCCCACCCTGCTCCCTCACATCAGTATAACGCACATGCCCAAAGTTGCCTGAACTCAAGTCCATCGACACAGTCCTAAAGAGTGATAGGTCTTAGTGACGCATTGCCTCACCCCACTTATGACATGTTCCTTAAGGACAGGGGGAAACCCAGTTTGGTCCTGGCTCAGTTGCATTAGTCAACTGTTTAGCCACTCTGCTCTGTACACCATGCTCTCTCAGCAGTTCTAAAAAGGAAGGTTGACACAGTCACAGCCCTCCGGCTAAGACAGCAGGAAACTTACCGGGGAGGAAATCGTGAGTGAATGGGTGACATATGGGACTTTCAAAAGGCATGTCCGTTCCTGTGGAAACCAAACCGCCCCACATGGACGTGAAAGTGTTTTAATTGTGGTGTAGACATGGGAAAATGTAGTGAAGAGTGTACACCAGGCCCCAACAACCATGACTTCACCCCGGTGGGACATGTGTACGGGTGCAGGGGAAGGAAGTAATGTATAGTAGATGCAGTAGACTGTCAGGGCCATGATTCTTTCAGTTTTGTTTTGTGTGTTGGGAATCTCAATAAATAGCCCCGACTGACTCCAACTTGCTCTGAAGCCCAGGCTAGCCTCAAACTCCCAGTAAGCCTTAGCTTTTCAACGGCTGGTATTACCGGCATGAGCTACCAGGGCCTGCTGAGGCAATATTGATTTTTTTTTTTTTTAATTTGAGAGAAGATCTCAAGTAGCCCTGCATAGCCTCAGGATGACCTTAACCCCTATCCCTCTTGGCATCGGCCGCTGGAGTGCTGGGATTATGGGTATACACCACTGAACCCAGTTTATTCGGCACTGAGAACTGAACCCAGGTCTTCATGCATGCCAGGCAAGCCCCCTACAGGATGAGTTGCACCCCTAGTCTTGGGGCAAGATTCCTGTGGTGAGATGAAGTTGTTTTTTTTTTTAAGTCTTTGTTTAATTCCCTGATTATTGCAAACGTGTTACTTTGGTAAATTCCAAAGAGAGGTTGCTTCTTTTGTTTTTATTAAGAAAAAATTTTTAAAAAGGCCGCTTCAGAAATGTTCATAGAAAAGAAAGTAGAATAAAGGAAGCGACAAGGGGGGGGGATGGACCACAGATGATGATGTCCCCACGGGATAGGGGTTTGACTTTGACCCTGCCTTGACCGGGATAGCAGGGAGCGATGTGGCCAGAGATGGGAGAGAAGGAACTAGGGATTTGTGGGCCTGGGGAGGAAGAGGTTCAGCAGTCCAGGAAGGGGAAGGGAGGGGAGGACAAGGACAGGGCAGAGCAGCTCAAGGCCTTCAGGCTTTGGAGGTAGTGCCAGGTCAGCTTGCGTCCATCTGAGGCGTGGCCTGGTCAGAAATGCAGGATGCAAACCCTGGGATCAGAACGTGGATGCTGGATGGTGGCATCCAACACCAGGGACGGTGTTTTTGCTTTAGACCCTGAAGGCAAGGTAGACACGTGGAAGTGTCAGAGTCAGAGGTAAATGGCAGAAAGAGACGTAGGGCGTCGTGGCAGCCCTGGTGGCAGGGCGGGAATGTGTTGGCCTCCATGAGGTCAGATGGGATACCAGTGTTGTCCGCAGCAGACATGTGAGCGCCTCCAAGAACATGAACAGTGTAAAAGAGAGGACCTTTACTGGGGAAAGGGGAGCGGGTCAGAAAGAGTCAGCAGGACCACGTGAAGGTCTGGGAAAAGAACTCAGACTTTAGACGTGTAGACACAGAAGAAGGGGCCTTCCCTAGAAAAGGCCGAGCTGAGTACTGGCTGCTACGCACGAGCCAGAGGGCCTGCCTGAAGGCCCTCTAACTCATCGCCTTGTGGCAGCCTTTTGAAAGCTTCCCTTTGCTCTTCACAGACAGCCTTTGGAGCTCGACCAAGTGAGTCCAGCAATCTAACCACCCCCTGGAGGGGGCTGTCTTGGAGGTAAGAGTGCTCTCGGCTCACTCTCTATAGAAAATATTCCCCTAAAGAGGTACAAGAAGTGGGTTCCCCGCCACCTGCTCGGGGGTAGGCGTAGGTCCCCAGGCCCAACTCTGATATCCAAGGAGACTCTGTGACGCTGTGTTAGCCCTGAGGGTGGTAGGAGCGATGCCCCGAGGGTAGAATCTCTCCGGCCTGTCTCCTACCTGTGGCAACCCCGGAGGCAGCAGGTCAGCGTGGCCTTGACAAAGTGACTTTCTCTTCCCCAGCATTGGAGGAGATGGCACGTTGGAGACCCATACCACACTGCCCAGTAAGTAACCCATGCCAAGAGGTCCTGGTACCACGACCATCATGACCCTCACCCAGGCCAGGGCCTTTTGCCTAGAGTTGGAGACACAGGAAGTGATCTGCAGGGAAGGGAGTCAGCTAGCCCCTTCCAGACACACACCTGTGACCCCCAAACTAGAGGCCCACCTCAGTTCCTGTCCCCTGTGTTCTCTGCCTCACCCCTCTTTAAAGACATACTGAAGAAGTTCAACCCTTCCATCCTCGGATTCTCTACCGGTACCTTGGAAGAGACGGCGGGATTCAATGTGGCAGAAGAAGGGGCCAGAGCTCAGTGAGTTGACATGGGGACCAACAAAGAGATCGAGGTGGGGATAAGGGATCAGGGTAAATGCTGACAGGTCAGAGAGACAAGGAACAAGCCACTAGAGAAACTTCTCATCACTACCGAGTCCTCAGGCCAAATGAAAGGCGAAATCCTATCTCCACGAATCCTCAGACTGGAAAGCCCGAAAAGGGATCTAGTTCTTATCTCCTCAAGCCTTATATGCCTTTCTCCACCCAGCCATCTCACTTCCTGTCTCAGCCTCCCTAGTGCCGGGATTCAAAGCAAGGGGCACAGTGTCTAGGACCTAGTTTGGCCATGGTCTCAGTACCCCGCACTCCTTGAATGCTGGGCCCACACCAGACCTTCCACATGGATTATCTCCTGTAATCCTCACACCCCTGGACACGGGTACTGTGCTGCGGACCTTGTGGCTAGAGAGTTTCTTAAATAGCAGAGGTCACCTCGCAAGTTATCAGGGATGCCCTAGATCAGACCATTCCTGCACATAGCGCTGACCACTGCACTAAGAAGCCGAAGGCGCCATCCACTTCCACACGAGCAGACTGTCCCTGCTGATGCCAGTCCCACCTCTTGTCTATCAGGGGCGTGAGTCGCCTGTGCAGGGTGGCTCTCGGCATCAGGGGCCACTCAGTCCTCTTCCTCTGTGTTTCTCTGTCTTGCCTCGTATCCCTGGATCTCAAAGAAAAAAAGAAAAGCCGTGTTTTGACACTAGAGAGTCAGATGTCGGGGCCCCTCAAATAGCATGGTACTGGTTTGTTTTCACTGGGCTCTCTGTTGTTGACGGCATCCCAGGTAATTAAAGCTGAAATGCCCGACCGGGTTCATTGATTTCCTGCATGGAGCAGAGCGGAGCGTGCTGGGTATTTGCTCTGCAGGAGGATGCTGTGTCCTTGTCACCAGGGAGACGGCACAGGCTTGACTCTCTGCTTACAGAGAACATTCCTTTTGGAAGCCTAACCGAGGCCCGGGGCTCTGCTTGAATCTTGGTGCCACAGAAGTGTTGATACTTTCTCAGTGTCACAAGAAGGACCTATTTGTCTACAAAACACTGTGGGCCATTATTCCAGCACCTAGTTACTGTTAGGATTACTGGAGCCCAGGCTTTGTTCACCGGGGGGGGGGGGGGGGGGGGGGGGGGGCTGGCTCCCCAGTCTCTTCCTCGCCCACCCCCTCATGGGGTTCTGGGGGTGGTATGGACTTGGGTGTGAGTGTGTGCATTCAGGTGCACACGCGCGCACACACACTCCAACAAGGAGAGGCCAGAGGACGATGTCACACTTTCCTCAGTAACTCACCCCCTTAAATTATTTTTTTAAAGATTTACCTTGTGTATGCGCATGTGCGTGCATGCTCCCGTGCCCACAGAGGCCAGAAGAGAGGATTGGAATCCCTGGAGCTGGAGATACAGGAGGTTGTGAGCTGCCTGGCATGGGAACTGGATGCTTGTCCTGTGCAAGCAAGCATTTTTAACTCTCGAGCCATCTTTCCAGTCCTGTAATTTTATTTTGTGTGTGTGTGTGTGTGTGTGTGTGTGTGTGTGTGTGTGTGTGTGTGTGTGTGTGTGAGAGAGAGAGAGAGAGAGAGAGAGAGAGGTGGGGTACACATGGGAAGAGCATGTGTGGAGGTCGGAAGCCATCTTTGAGAAGTAGGTTCTCTCCTTCCATCATGGCTTCCAGGACTCGGACTCAGGATGTCTGGCTCATGTGTAGCACGCGCTTTCTCCCACCCAGCCAACTCACTGCCTTTCCACCCCGTATTTTGAGGCGTGGTCTCTCTCCGAACCTGGAGCTCACCGATAGATAGGGCTAGGTTAGCCGGCCAGAACCCCAGGGGTACACTGCCTGCGCCTCAGCACTGAGGTTACAGGTGTGCACCATTGTACCTGGATTGACGTGGACTCCGGGGACTCAAACCCGGGTCCTCACGCTTGGATAGCCAGCACGCTACCCCCTGGGCCATCTTCCCCCGTCTCCCACTTTTCCCTTTTCTTACTGCCTTATTTAGCATCCCTGCCTGAGCGAAGGCCGTGACAGGAGATGTAGCTGACACCTGCAGGCATCACCCGTGTCCAGTGTTGGGGGGGAAGCAAGGGTAAGCCATTGGCTTAAGGAAGGGCTGAGAATTGTTCTCTCTCTTTTCCTTGTTTCTACCCTGTCATTCATTGGTGTGGAGAAGTGTGAGTTCATCTGAAGAGAAAGGTAACACGTGAGGGACCCGCGTTTGAATCCCCAGGACCCATGTAATTGTCAGGTCCACAGAGATCAGATCTTCTGTGTTCGAGTCTCCACTCAGAAACTTGCTGGCTCTGTGGCCTTGGCCAAGTTGCTTAGCATCTCTGACTTAGTTTGCTCCTCTCTAGTGAGGTCAATCATAGTACCTGTCTCTCAGAGCTGTCATGGGATTAAAGGGGATAAATAAGCCTTGGAAAGATTGAGTACGGCACATAGTCCGTGTGCACACGAAAGTTTGCCATTGTTGGGATATTTAGTTTCAGGGTTTTACTCAACAGCTAATCTCCCTTCCATTAATCATCAAGCAAAAATGTGTTCAGTAATTCACTGCATTACTGAGTGATACCATAGAGTCAAAAAGTGCAATCCTTGCTCTGAAAGAATTAGTCCCGCCAAGGAACTTTCCCCTTTTGGGGAAAGGAGGTGATTTGTACGGCAACCGTGCAGACTGGAACCTTCTGATTCTCACTTAGAAAGGCAGGGTGATGTCGGGACATGCTGTTTGAGGCCTGGGACCTGTGCTAACTCACAGAGCTGTGGGAACAGCCGCAAAGAGAGACCCTGGGCCCTACAGGGAAGGTGGGCGCCTGTCACTATAATCCCAGGTGCATAAGCTGTCCATGAGAAGGGCAGGGATGGCACCCTGAGTGCTGGCCAGTGTCCGTCTGTTGTGTCTGCCCACTGTGTCCACACACAGCCTGTCACCATCTTGTGTTGGCTCTTTAGGTCGGCTATGTGTTCTTTGCTCACCTAACTTCTCAGATCAATTTTGTTGTTTTGTGACAGGGTCTCGGGTAGCCCGGGTTGACCTCTCATTCACCGTGTAGCCAAGACTGGCCTTCAACTCCCCATTCTCCTGCCTCTACATCCCAAGTGCTGGGATGGCAGGTGTGTGCTACCACACCCGCCTCAATACATGTGTCTTTTTAAGGAAACTGCTTCATTGAGGTAATATTGACCCACAATAAACCACACATATTCAAGGGTATACAGTTTGGTAAGTCTTGACCCCTGTGTACCTGTGAGACAATCACCGCTCTCAAGCCGTGAACGTATCTCATGCAGTGAACATATCTGTCACTCACACAGTTATCTCAGGTCCACCTAGGCTGCCGGGAACAGCAAGGTTTCATTCCTTTTCACGGCTGCATACTATTCCACTGCCGTACGTGACTGAGTATCTAGAACAGTGTACCTTTTTGTATATCAAACAGTGGGGAGACAAAAGGAGTCCCATCCTGCCCGTATTGTCTCTCCTATCCTGTCTTGTTGGAAGAGGGGAGGAGGAAAATAGTGTCACAATCCAGGTAACAGTGGAGAAGACTAAAGGGACCAGAGGCTTGCCCACTGGGGCTCAGACGTAGCAGTGGAAGGAGCCGTCATGCCTGGAAAGAGGAAATCTGGGGAATGATTTAGGAACGTGACTTTTTCAAAAATTAAAAAAAAGAAAAAGATTATTTTTAAAACAGGCACCCGAGTAAGAACCAAACAGGCTCAGCTTGTAGTGAAAAGACTTGATAAAGGGGGGGCGGGGGGAGGGAGGATCTCTGAGAATGGTGTCCAAAGCCTAGATAAGAGGCCAGTGAGGCCCTGTTCCTGTCCCAACCAGGGGCAGCAGGATCTGGAGCCGTGGTCCGCCCCAGGTCCCTGGTTGAGAACCAGCCTGCAGCTTCTGCGGAACAGAAACTCACAGGCTGACCGGGAAGCCTGACTTCCATGGGGTTAGTCTTTCTGGAGTCCAGCTCAAGGCCGCCATCCCGAGCAACTCTGATAGTGACGTCTCTCCCTTCTCCCTAGGGACATGCCGGCCCAGGCCCAGGCCCTGGTGGAGAGAATGAAAGACACACCTGTGAGTACAGAGCCCCACCCCCACCCCGAAAGGTGCTCTTCTCTTTAACCGGGGGGAGCTGCAGGGCCTGATGAACCCCTCGACTGTCCCCGCAGCTTGCCTTCAGGTGATCTTCCAGGGAGTTCACAGGAGATCTGCCTGGCACCCTGCCCCGGGGCTGGATGCAGGAGGACGAGGTGGCGGCGGCGGGGAGCTGGCCAAGATCACAGGCCTCGGGCTCTTTATCCCAGAGTTGGCTTCCCAGAGCCCTCTTACATAAACACAAAGTGCTAAAAATAGGCTGCCCGGTCCAATCCTTCCCCATCCCCAGCCCTTCAGAATCTCACTAAACTCTTTTTTTGGATGCTCTGTTCTTGTGCTGTGGACTGTGGCTCCTGGAGGGACTCCTTTTATGGTGGAGGCCGAGTGGAGAACCGCAGCTCCTGGGCCTTCCTGGTTTTATCCCACCGTACGGACCCTGCTGGGTTCTCCCTCCGTGAACTCAGGCCCTAAGAGCCCCGACTTGGTCTTCAGGCTCTATCTTTTGACACAAACTCCTTTGAACGCCTCAGATCACGTTTGAGGAGCAGGATAATCCAAGAGGCCTTTCAAGAGCTTGGGGAAATGTGAGACATGTCCATTCTAACATTTTAAGAGGATCTGAGGGGAGAAAGTAGCCTGCCTCCTGTGTGTGAGCAGATATATATACACACACACACACACACACACACACACACACACACACACACCTTACGGGGGAGCTCCCATCATCTCAGGGCACCATAGTAATAGAGGAGTTACCACCTCATACTCTGGGTGATACAAAAAAGATACCTGAGAATCAGCTGACCATATAGCATGACTAATATCACCAGCAATTGTTCCCAGACCTTAAACTCAGGATCTGTCCCCTCAGACAATCAACCTGGAGGAAGACTGGAAGCTGGTTACACTCCTCATTGGGGGCAACGACCTGTGTCATTACTGTGAGAACTCGGTAAGCTGCTGACTAGCCCCACTGGGGGCACGAGAATGAAATTGCTGACCCCCAGCCTCCTCCTCACCCTGGACTCTGACATACACCCTGCAGAGTGTCAGACTAGCCTGGGTTCCAGGAACTTGATTCTACCCCGGCAGCCTCTGGTTCACACAGAGTGAGGCTTAGCTTTTCCGAAGTGGCACTCCATTCAGAAGAAAAGTCTAGAAGGACTCAGTCTTCACGCATTGGGGGTGTGGCCTCTTTGGGGCATACAGATGGCACTTTCTGGTAGACAGGTGGCCAGTGATTCTCTGTCTTGTGCCTGTTTGGAGTCTGCCCTCTCTTGGAAGGGGAGACAATACAATCTTCTAAATGGAATTGGGAAAAAAAATAGACACACACTTGAGAGTGTCCTCGCTGTCCTTCAGGACCGTGATAAGTTAACCAGCCAACCCCAGCCAGCTGGCCTGGGAGCTGACCCCATTCCTGATGTGTCTCTGTGGGGAAACATGTCCAGACTTACAAGCCTTTGCAAGCTGTCCCTTCTAGAATACAGCTTGTTCTAAGCTGGGGACATCCTGTATTTTATTCGGCCAGGACTCTGAAGATGTTGTAGAATGTTTGACAGTCACTGTTGGGGGTGGGTGGGTGGCTCTTAGCTCCTGGTGGATCACAGAGAGCCTGATTATCTTCCCTCACACAGGCTCAGCTCTTCTAGACTCTTCCCTCAGTCCTTTCCCTTACTACCCAGAACTGGGGACCTGGGGTATGCAAGAAGGACCTAACCCCTAGAGCTTTATAATCATATTTTTTCATTGGGACGGCCAGCCCACAAATAATAACATGGAGACTTCTAATTAATTATGAAAGCTCGGCCTATAGCTTGTGTTCGTTCCTTACTAGCTCTTATAACTTAAATTAACCCATTTATATTAATCTATATTCTATCACATGGCGTTACCTCTCTTCCATCTTGTACTTTCTATTTCTTCTCCATCGGGCTGGTGACTCCATCCTTCTTCCCAGAGTCCTCTCTGTGGCTGGCAACTCTGCCCTTTTTTCCAAAGACACCTCTGTCCCCAGAAGTCCTACCTAACGTCTTCCTACCTGTTGGCCATTCAGCTTTCTATTACACCAATCAAAGCAATACATTTTCATACAGTGTATCCCACAGCAGGGCTTTCCATATTTCTGGGTCTTGGATCGTAGGATTCACTGGAAACCAGTGGATACCCAGAGCTTCCTGTGGATACGTGATGTGGGGAAATGCCTCTCATGTAGACAATTTCAGCTTTGCTCCTTAGAGCATATATTTATGAAAAAGGACGCCACTAGGTCTCTCAAGAATGCAAGAAGGCAGGGCTCTTGGGGACAGCAGTCACTCAGTTCACCCTCTGGTTCTTCCTCCCAGAATAGAAATCTACAGAGAACCTCCTTTCCCTTTACAGGAGAACCACTCAGCCAATGACTATGTCAAACACATCCAGCAGGCCTTGGACATCCTTTATGAGAAGGTAGGAATGGGCAGTGAGCAGTCTGTTCCCTGGTCCCGCAAACAACCCTGCTTTCCCACGACTGCCGTGTGTGGAGGGCCCCTCCTTGGGTACATCTAGGCAAGTTGTACTCAATTCCCTGCAGGACAGCGTCTAGCTGGCTTGGAAGCTGGACAGTGGCCTAGCACAGAGCTCCTGCTGGAGCCGGCAGGCCTGAGTCTGAAGGCAGGCACTGTGGTTTTCATTAGCGCTGGGGTTTCCCTGAGTCTCAGCTTTCCTACCCGATGAAGTGAGGTACTAAAGAGTCGGTGCGATCACATAGGCCCCCTCCCTGGGCGTCCATTTCTTCTCTGGTAATATCAGGGAGGGCAAGGTTAGACTGAAGACCTGTCCTCCAGGCTTCCAACCCACTACCTCAAACTCAGGAAACCCATGCCTCTGCTTCCTGCAGCTTCCCAGGGTTTTCATCAATGTGGTGGAAGTCATGGAGCTGGCTGGCCTGCACCAGGGCCAAGACGGGAAGTGTGCCATGCCTCTGGCAGTTCAGTAAGTGTGCGGGGCATGGTTGCCTGGGGTGGGCAGGGCCGGAAGCCAGGGACCTAGAAAACCCTTGGAAGTGCCTGTAGAACCAGAATGCAAGGGACTCTTTTTTTTTTTTTTTTTTTTTTGGTTTTTCGAGACAGGGTTTCTCTGTGTAGCTTTGCGCCTTTCCTGGAACTCACTTGGTAGCCCAGGCTGGCCTCGAACTCACAGAGATCCGCCTGGCTCTGCCTCCCGAGTGCTGGGATTAAAGGCGTGTGCCACCACCGCCCGGCCGCAAGGGACTCTTAATCCCAGGGTCGTTCCTACTGTATACAGTTTTGTGTTAAGTTAGTACTCTCTTATTTAGATGAAAAGGGAGATGTGGTGAGTACCTGTTCCACCTGTGACCTGGAGGCCCCAGCCCCTAGGGCATGGCCTCGGGGCTAGCTTAAGACCTGAGGGGCACGTATGCTCGCCCCTTCTTGCCCTCGTGGGCTTGGATGGTGTGGACTGACTCAGGCGGCAGGAGCAACATGGATCAAGACATCAGCCTTCCAGGACTCTGCAACAATTTTGTCCATCTTGTTTAATGAGTTATTCTCCCCAGTTTATAGCATAACAAACTCCCTAATACCCTTAAACAGACACCCTTGGATTTCTCGCTGTAGCTGTGACTACTTCCTTCAAGTAGGCTACACCTCCTAAAGGATCTACCACCACCCCATAGTGCCAAAAATTGGGACCAAGCCTTTGTTCGGCACTTGAGATTTTAGGGAAAGTTGATGGTCCCAGCCATGGCACACCTTTTTTTTAACCTCAATCCTGAGTTAGGGCTCGGTGACTTGGGTCCAAATTTTGTAGGGATAATTGTATGTCCAGCCCCGCCCCATTCCATACCCATTGAGCAGCACAGGCAGCTCCCTGTGGGCAGAAACTCCTGTCAGGAGGGCAGAGCTGAGCCACCCCAAGGAGCCCCAATGCACGATTTCTTGTCTCATAGGAACTGCAGTTGTTTTAAACACGCTCAAAACCCCATGGCGATGCAGGAGCTGAAAAAAGTGAACTGGAACCTCCAGGTCAGTCCTGGCGCTCTTCCTCCCGTCCAGGATGGGAACCCACGCTGTGCTCTGAGGACGACTCAGACCTTGTGTGTGCACCAGGGGTTGGCTGAGAGCCAGTGACTCCCTAAAATGTAGATCCTCTCTCTCAAAGTATTTATCTGGGCAAATTGGATACCAAGGTCAGGGAAAGATGGCATGGAGATCTCAAAGGGACAGCTGGAAGAAACCTTGCCTGCTGGCTCAGGGTCAGCCCTGAGCAAGTGACAGATTTGCCGTCAGTAGACGTCACACAGCAGAGGCCACTTTCCTTACCTCTAACCTTTATGAGGTGACTGGTTAGTGTACCTGGCTCCCACTTCCTTCCACTTCCCCCTCCCCAGGAGCAGAAAACTTAGCCTACTGATGTCTACTCCCCTAATACTTCTGCACATCTATGTTACCCTTTTGGGATAAGCCTACCTTAAGCCTTGTTTCAGACTAATCCCTCTTCATGAGGCAAGTAATATTCCTCTTTGAAGTCCCCGTGACTCCCTCTTTACCTTAGCAGCCTCCCCAGATCAAGTTAGGTCTGCACCAGAAGGACCTTCGAGCTTCTCACGCCTTCTGCTTTTGCCTCCATTTACCAGATGAATCGTGAAGTCTTTATTATATGTGCTTATAATTTAATCCTTTTAATATCCCATGTTTTGATACTTAAGTTCAAAACCCATAGGCTCTCTACCCTGGTCATCCTACATTCTTAGGCATTTTTTCGAGAGCTGATGAGATACTCCCCATGCAGTGAGGGCAGCCAGACCCATGGCCAATGCAAAGTCATCAGCGGCTCAGATGTAGCCTCTTGAGAATGAAGCTAATAGAGCCTGTGAATGGAGAACTTCTCTAACCGGGGCTCCTTGACTCTGATCCTGATGGTCAGCACAGGGCCCCAAAGATGTGGGTGTTCGTTACAAGCAGGATGAACCCATGTGTGGGCCAGCAGAGTCCCTTTAAGTTCCTTTGGTCTAGGGTGGGTCCACGCCTGTCACAACCATCCCATGGCAGCTAAAGTCGATCCTGTCTAGCCTTGCCAGTTGGGTTGAACAACCTCTTCATCCGCAGAGTGCCATCTCCGGGCTCTCCTTCTGGCCCCAGTACATGCAGCGTGAGGACTTTGCAGTCATTGTACAGCCTTTCTTCCGGCAAACCCTCATCCCGCTGACTGAGGTAAGCTGCAGCTGCTTCTAGGAAGCTTTTGAATGCAGCTTCGTTTTTTATGATCTTGCTCTAGGAAGACTCCCAAAGGAATTTTTTTTTCAACTCTGTGTGCGTGTGTGTGTGATTAGAACTTAGACATTCTTAGAAACAATAAAATGAATTGTGACCAGGCAGTGCACCCCCACCAAGTTAGCTCCCGCCCCAGAATGGGAAAATCATCGTATCTTCAATTCCAGGCCCGGGATGAGCTAGGGAAGCTACAATTCATGCTTGCTAAAAACAAAACCCTAAACCCAGGAGGTTTTCCATCAGCACCTGAAGCAGGCGGAAGCAGAATTAAAAGGATGGGAAATGCTGTGTCACGTGCTGGGAGGGGAAGCAGGCAACCATGTCCAGAGGGTAACCTCCCCTTATCTCTTCCCACAGCTAGGGGGCACGAACCTGACCTTCTTCTCTGAAGACTGTCTCCACTTCTCAGAACGTGGGCATGCTGAGATGGCCATTGCCCTCTGGAACAACATGGTAAGTGGCCGAGGGGGCAACCTCAGGCTATTGGCTCATTCCTACAAGAGGACAAACTACTGATATGGTTGGTTGGTTGGTTTTTCATGTGGATTCTGGGAATTTGAATTCAGGTCCTCATGCTTAGCACGGTTTAGCAGCAAGTTCTTGCCCTCAGAGCCATCTGCTCAACCCCTAATATATTTGAGTGTGGAAATATGTGGACATTAGAGCACAAATCTCTCCTTCCACTGTGGGTTGCAGGCAGAGTTTTTCATCAGGCCCGCCAGTCAGCTCTGTCCCAGCAGCCCACTCCCAAATAACCACACAGAGATTTATTATTAATTATAGATTCTTAGCCAGTAGCTTAGGCTTTATACAAACTAGCTCTTACAAGTTATTAACCTGTATTTCTTATCTACCCTCTGTCACGTGGTGGTGCCTTCTTTCAGCACTGCATGTTTATCTTGCTTGTCTCCCTGTCTCCGCCCTTCTTCTTCCCAGCGTCCTCTAGTTTGGCATTTCTGCCCAATCTCTTCCTGCCCAGCTATCGGCCAATCAGCTCTTTATTAACAATGAGAGCAACACATCTTCACAGTGTACAAAAGGATTACTCCACAGCAGTGGGTTCCGGAGATCAAGTTCAGCTCATCAGACTTGGATGCCAAGTGCTTCTTTTTAGTTCCTGAGCTATCTCACTGAAAAAGAAAAATGTTTTACTTATTGTGTGTGTGTTCACATACCACAGCATCTACGTGGGGGTCAGAGCAACTGGTAGGAGTCAGTTCTCTTCCACCATATGGTTTCTGGGCCTTGAACTCAGGTCAGAAGGCTTGCCAGTAAGCACCTTTACTTACATATACACACCACGTACACATACCTTTTTAAAGGATGTGTATGTATTTATACACACATTTGCACACTTGTGACATTTCCTAGGCATTGCTAAGAGAGTAGCTTTGCAGTCAGACTGAGACTGGATGAGAGTACCAGCTGTACATCCTTGAGCAAATGGTCTCTCTGTTCACCTGTATCAACATCTGTATCAACATCTGTAAAATAATGATAGTCGGCACAGTAATCGGTTTAGACAAATGTCAGCCCCATTACCCTTCAGTACCTAGTCTTTTTCTATAGACACCATAAAGGCAACATCCACACAGCCTGCTCTTCCCGGTGGAGACCTAGTCCAGTCCTTTCCACTGGAGAGGGAGAGAACCTTATGAAATGAACATGCAGTCCTGGGCCCCCAGGGGCAGGTGTCCTTGTGCCTCACCCATCACCCCTGATGCCCACATCATCTGACTCAGCAAATGGAGCGCTTTCCCGGCCGTTTGATCTAGGCTCCACGGCAACCCAAAACCCCCCTGGCCTGCATGTTTCCCATGGTGACTGAACCATCTACACCCATGCTCTTTATTGCGGTTTCAAGCCTAGGGTGGCTGTGCCAACCACCTCTGGGCAAATATTCCCACACCTGTCAGCAATTCCACGTTGCCCGGTGCCTTCCTCAGCTGGCTCACAATATTGACTTTCTCCCTAGCTACATCACCTCCTCCTCTCTAGCAACCAAAGTTCCATGTAAGCCTATTTAATTGCAGACTCAGCTTTCTTCCATTCGTGTTGTTTTGGGGTTTTCCTCCCATTGACATCATCTGTCTGCTCAGTTCCAGAACTTCCCATCATACTCCTTTCAGCACAAGATTCTCAATTGCCATCCAAAATCTCTGAGTTTCCCTCCACCTGCTTCCCTCAGTTTCTCTTGATTTTCTTGGTTCTTGTAGCCCAGACTGGCTTGATTCTTGCCTCCCAAATGCCAGAATTATAGCTGTATCTGGCTTTGATGGGGGTGTTTCATTGTTTTCTTACTAGGTACTGAACTGAGGGCATCACATGTATATAGCTCTCTGCCACTGAGCTATATTCCCAGGAGTCATCTTTTATTTTAAAAAGAATGTCTCACTACGTTGCCGTGCTTGGCCTTGAACTCTCTCTGTCTCCATCTCCCAAGGGCCTGCACTCTCGACCTGGGCATTTGCACAAGTTTTTTTTGAAATCAAAGTTAATAGACCATAATTCCTAGTTGTTTCTTTTGGTGACTTTGTTATTGAAGGACAGCTGTCCTTCAGTGATGAAGTCCCATGACATTTTTTCTTTGAACATCTCTTCATGGAATGGGAATCTGTTTCCTGTCTTATGTTCCCCCCCCAAAGATCTGAGGGGAAAGCCAAGTTCCTGCTCTTCCCTTCCCAGCTTTTCCATCAAGCCACATCTGCTTACAGCTGGGACTCTTCAGGGTCTCCTGAGGCTCAATAGCCAGATGGATGCTCAAACACAACCACGCCCATTGGTCTCTGCTGTGAGGATTAACACGCTTTGCACCTTTTCTAGGGCCTTCTGTTCCATGAAGGCAGGAGGAAATGGTTAAAAAACACTGGTAGCACAAGACAGCCTGGGTTCCCCAGCCAGACCCCAAATTTAAAAAAAAAAAAAAGCTGAACTACCCCACTGTCCCTTGTCCTGTATAATTTGGGGGAATAATTACAGAGTCCCATGTTTTCATCCCAAACCATCTCAGACATACGGCTCTAGCGTTCTGCCAGTTCTCCAGTCTTCCTGGAATGTCACCCCTAGAGTCAGAGCAGATAAATGGGCTGTCAGAGCTGGAACAGATCTGAGGGGCCATCCAGGCGGAACACTTTGTAACTGAGATCTGGAGACATGAGCCAGTTTGCCTAGGCTCACATAGGGGCTTGGCCGAAACAAGAGTCCATGTTTTCCATGTCTTCCTCTGGTGGCCCAGCCATAACACCAACCTCGCTCCCTCCCACTCCCAGCCTGATAAGCACATATACAGCCGGTGAATTCATGTCTCATAATTAGTCTTATGACATAGTGTCTGTACTTTGGCTGATGTTCCCAGGGCACCTAATGTACTTTATGTCACGACATCTCTTGCCTTCTCCTGGCTTAATAATCCGCTTCTTCCTCTAGAGACCTATTCCACCACTGCTACACAATATACCCTTATCTAAAAACACTACACCAATTGTAATCCCATCTCCTCCTCCTCCTCAGCATCCCTGTCTCTAGACTCACAGCCACTATACAACAGTTCTCAGCCCCTGCTACATAGGACAATCCTCTGGAGCCATCTCCCTAGACCGTCCTCTGGTGACTTTTCAGTGTAGTTGAGTGTTTACAGCCACTTCGACAAGCTCTTGTGTATCTATCTAACAATGCTGAGCCTGTGTAGTTCCTGAGACCCACCAATTCTATCCTGGAGAGAAGAGTATACAAGTGTCCACTAAACAGATACATACTATAGTTTTCATAGCAGCACTACACACGTAACCAAGCGTCTATCAACAAACTATTGAACATCCGTAAGCTAGGGTATTTTCACACACCAAGAGTAAGCAAACTTTAACAGTATGTGCACACACACACACACACCCCTCTACCTCAAAGGCAAGCAGCTGACTGTAAGGCCTTAAAAGTCTTTCCTGGTGATCTCTCTTTGAGTGAACAGGATTAGGGGGAGGTGCAGGAGGAGCCCTTCTGAGTACTGGGCATGTTCTCTTTACCCAAATGATCAGCTGCGTATTTGCAATGTATTTGTTTCTCTCTTTGTTAGCTTCCAGAAATAGTACTTTTAAAATATAGCAATGGGGCTGGAGATGTCTTGTCATATAGCTTAAGAGTGTATACTGCTCTTGCAGAGAACCCAAATTCAATTCCCAACTATGTCAGACAGTGTCAGGGGATGATGTTTTATAGCAACAAGAGAAACCTAAGAGAAACTTGGGGTTTATTTCAGCTTACGGTTTCACAGCACAGCTCAGCCCATCCATGAAGGAAGCCAGGGCATGAACTCAAGCAGGAACCTGGAGGACCACTGCTTACTGGCTGGCTCAGCCTGCTTTCTCCTATCATCCAGGGGCACTGCCCACAACGGGCAAGGTCATCCCCACATCAATCACTCATTAAGAAAATGTGCCATACATAGGCTTGCCTACAATCCAATCTTATGGAGGTATTTTATCAATTGCGGTTCCCTCTTCTCAGACAACTATAGCATATGTCAAGTTGATTAAAAAAAAAACTATCCAACACAGGGAGTTTACAATTGCCTGTGACACCAGGGGATCCGGTGCCCTTCTGGTCTTTGAGGGCAACTGTTCTCCTATGCACACACAGCTACATCCATTGATGTATAATTGATAATTTGTCTGGAGTAGGTCTCAGAGTTGCTGCTCTTTTCCTTTCTTCCTTTTGAGACAGGGTCCCACTCTATATCCCTGACTGGCCAGATAACGAAGCTGGTCTAGAACCGACAGATCTAACTGCTATGATTAAAGTCATGTGCCACTATGACAGATGGGAAGGAAACAGGTTAGGAACCTTTGGCATAGCATACAAGGCTTTTGGGGACTTGGTCCCAATCCCTTTCTCTGGCCACCATACTAAGGAGACCCTGCCTTTCCTTTGCACTTTCACGCTGGCTTTTTACCTTGGGTTTTTTTGTTTTTTGTTTTGGAGGCAGGGGCGTCTCACTCCCTTGCCTAGTCTAAACACTCAAGAGGAAGCTACCCCAGGGACCTCTCTTTTACCTCCCTGGGCCAGTGGCTGCCACCTCCACTGCGCCTTGCCAAGCCCTGAGATTGGCTGCATCATTGGTACCCCACAGCGCCCGTGCCAGAAAAACAACTCCACTTCCTGGGGCTGCACCAGGCCTTTTTTCCTTCTTAGTATTTCCATTCAAGACCCTCAGACTTCCATTCATCAACTACTATCCAGCACTACTACGTGATAGGTACTGTTCCAGGTGCCAAAAACATAACAGAGTAAAGAATATCCCTGCTCTCATGGAGTGTGAACAGTGTGGCCAGGAAAAGACAAAAGATAATCAAGTTAGGCCAACACAAGGTCCTGTACAACCAACTGCATTGAGCTTTACAAGAAGTAAAGCAGGGAGGTGAGGACATAGGGTGGTGGTGGGGGTGACACTGATGGCCTGTGACCTGAATGTCAAGAGGTTGCCAGGCAGGCAGAGGTCTGGGCCACAGTGTTCCAGGGAGAAGAAATAGGAGCCATGTGGCATGGAGTCAGGAATGAGCGTGAAGCTTCCGAGGCACATACAGGCCAGTGTGTGATGCTCCAGCGGTCAGGAACCAGGCTCAGAAAGACAGGCAAGGGCCACATCCTTGGCTGTTTTAAACAAGGGGCTGACATGTTCCACTTTGCCCTCTAGTCACTGTGCAGGCATGGGCTGGGATCAAAGCGTGGCTGGGTCCAGGGTGACAGCCATGGAGGAGAGCTGTGATCATCCTGGGGTGTATTTAAAACTGGCTGAGGGGGGTGACTAGGGAGAGGCTTCTGGGTTTGGGGGTCTAAGACATTAAGCAGATGGTCAAATAGCAAAAGAGACATCCATCTACTTGAAAATTGAGTTCTGTTTTGGACATGGGAAGGGGGAGCTGCCTCCTAGACATTGACACAGAGGTATTGGGGTCTGCCACATGCAAGAGCTCAAATGGGAAAGTCCGAGTGAGATGGCAACCACGACAGAAAAGTGACCTTAGTGCAACCAACGTAAGTGTTCGAAAACCAGAGAATTAACTTGACATGCCCTAAGGGAGGAGTAGAGATCACAGGGCCAACTACCAAGGGGCAGGTTAGGGAGGGACTTTCTGTGAATATAGTATAGCTGACTGCAAAAACAATAGCCTCTATAACAATAGCCAGGTGGCGGTGGCGCATGCCTTTAATCCCAGCACTCAGGAGGCAGAGCCAGGCAGATCTCTGAGTTTGAGGCCAGCCTGGTCTACAGAGTGAGACCCAGGACAGGCACCAAAACTATACAGAGAAAACCTATCTCGAAAAATCAGTCAATAACAACAGCCCAGGTGATGGAGGCTTAAGGATGGAGTAGATGCACTCTGGTGGGAAGCAACAGGAAAAGGAAATTGATAGAGGCTCATTGAACCCGCGGGGTCACCGTCATCCTCTGTGCCAGTAAGTTCTCAGAGCAGCCCTGGGAATCAGCCAACCTGACCTTTAACCTTCCTTCTGTCCCTAGCACTTCTGTTTGCTAGAGTGCAGTTGTGTTCCCTTGACTCTGAGAAAGTGGAAATAGATCTACATCCATAACCCATCCCAGTCCATGGATGCTTCCATGTCACCATTTCTCTGGAAGCCCTAAAATAAATGCCCTAGAAATTCCACCACAGTTAATACCAGCCATCCTGCTGCCTTGGAGAAGGCAACCGGCTGGCCCTGCATGGTCACTGTCCACTGAGTCAGGGCTCTGGCATGTGCTCATGGCTCATCTCTTCCAAGCCTACAGCCATTCCTCGGAGTTCCTAAGAAATGGGTGTGGAAGGCATTCAGACAGAAGACAGTGAGATCAGGCCCCAGGTCTGTCACCAGCATGGAGAGAGTATTTACTTCCTGTGTTTGTCAGGGCTTGGTGGCCAAGAACAGACCTGAAGCAAATCACACAGTAGGTAAAGGCCAGACCAGTTCAAAGTGCCCGATCTTCTCCTCCTTTGGGGACACACGCCCAGGACAGACGACTACCTAAAGTTGCTAGGGTAGGGGTATGTCATATTCCTGCTACTTCTCCCAGAGTCTGATATGGAAGCTTTTAACAGCACCCCACTGAACCACAGCTGCTCCCTGGGATATTTCAAGTCAATGTTTTCATCTGTGTGACAACCCATAAAACAGTTCCAGGAAGATTCCAGTTTAAGGTTGGCAAGCCAAGTGTAGTAAGGATGTCATGGTAACCAATATGCTTTCAAAGTTCTCCTGAAACTGACTAGCCGCACACACTGGGATAAGTTGGTAAATATGATCACCATTTGATAAAATTGAAGATACAGTGTCTGCAGTCACTGCCACCCACGAGTAGAGAGGCAGTGGGCATTCTGGTCCCAGATCTTAAGAGATTCACAACAGACGCATCATTCTTTCCTGGGGCCCTGGGGTCCTTCTGGGTAAGTCTAAAGGCATCAACTCAGGGGTCCTGCCCTATTCAGACAGACTTTTCTCCCTGTGAGTCAAAAGTCAGCTCCAGTCAGAGGAGCTATGCTGTGCAGCAGATGTTAGCAACCCACCCTTCCAAAAGAGTATCCCATGTAAGCCGGATCCCAGCTTTCCACACCATCAAGGTCAGCTTTCCACACCATCAAGGTATCTTTTTTTCCTCTTTCCAGCTGGAACCAGTGGGCCGCAAGACGACCTCCACTAACTTCACATACAGCCGAACCAAACTCAAGTGTCCTTCACCTGTGAGTGAGCAATGAGTACCCCACCTGCCCTACGTTGACTGCATGTGTGGGGGCGGGACTTAAACATACTGCCACTCACTAACTGCATCACAACTTTCCCTTCTGACGGCCACACCATAGGGGAAGCAGGAGCCAATAACGCAGTGGCAGAGAGGAGTCACGCTAGACAGTGCTGGCTAGATGCCCGAACTACTTTACTTCAGAAGGACTTGAGGATCGTGTAGTGTGCCCAGCCCTGTGCTAGGAGCTCAGGGAAGGGAGGGGACCGTGAAGACTCAGTCTGCTCCCCCCATCCCTCCAGCTCTCCTCTCCTCCGTCATCCTTCACTTGCTTCTAGAAATGTCCTGTAAAGTAACCCCAGCCTTGTCAAGGATGTTGGATCCTTATCTGGTCACCGCTGCCCAGAGGGGTCACCTGCCTCCCGCTATTACACACTTCACACCCAAGGCAAATGGACCCACTTCCCAGAGGAGTCCCAGTAGTGTGCATGTGTGGTTTACTCCTGTTTGCTGTGGACTTGGCCTGTGCACATGTCCACCTCCTCCTGACCCCATTGCTCCCTTATCCCCTGGACTTCTCTCCATCTTCTTAGTCTACTGCCCCTGCCTGCAAACATCTCCCTGTGGTGGGCTCCCTCTTCTGTGTGCACCCTCTCCATATCTTCCTCCTGGACAGTGAGAGGATAGTCCTCAGGTGCTTATCGGAGCTCCCAACCCAGGCCCCTAGAGCAGTTGCTTGAGATTTGTTTAGGAAGAGGGCGGTAGGAAGCAGGCTCAGATGCCTGCCCTCCCATCCACTTGCCACTTGGGTGCTTAACTCCACTACACGACCAGGCCTCCTGTTACCTTGACGTTTCCTGAGCCCTAGACACTCCTGGGATGGGGAAAGACCCCAATCAGCCAGCACCCCAAGACTCTTCCCACAGTAGCTTACCAACTCCCCACCTTCCAAACTCACATTTGAAAGGAAAGGCTGGTGGGAAACCAAAGAGGTCATAGCTGGGTGTTGATCACTTGAGACCCCCATCCTCACAGGGAAGGTTCAGGAACAATGTGAAGGAGATTTACAAGGACACACAGCAAGGAGGTCGTTGCACTCTTTTAGAGATGGGATTGGGGCAGATGGATGGGTGGATGGAGCCCGTTAGCCTCTGATCCTCCTACCTCCTTCCCCAGGAAAGCCCTTTCCTCTACACCCTTCGGAATAGTCAGCTCCTTCCAGACCAGACGGCTGAAGCATCCTCCAAGGTGCTGTACTGGGCAGTACCAGTGGCAGCAGTCGGTGGCCTGGTGGTTGGCATCCTTGGGATGATGCTGTGGAGAGCCATGAGACGCCCCCGAAAGGAGGTTCCGAACACTGTCAGTTTCTAGGACCCTGAGCGGATGGATGGATCTTCATCCAAAGTCCCAGCTACAGTCCTCACCAGGCCTTCAGCTGCAGCAGCCCTGGACTGTGGCCAACCTTGCTTCTATCCCTGGTGCCCTCAGAAGCCAAAGGGACTGTCACAACTTCTTGGGAGCCTGCCTGCTCCCAGGTTTATGGGGGCGCCAGAGCCTTTACTGAAAGACTGTTTTTTTCTTAGCTGAGCCTGGCCCTGGCTCTCGCCCTCCATCTGATGCATATACAGGTGTGGGAGCCAGAGTGTCTTGGGTCCTATGCCAGGCAGGGTTGCCTGGGGGATAAGACCAGAGTCTAGACTGGCCCTGTCCAGCTCCATCGCAACCCTATGACAAGCATATCTTGTCACTCACCAAACCCACAGTTGAAGTGAAAACCCTGGTCACCTGATGGTGACTGGTCCCTGTTCTATTCCACCCAACAGGTAGGTGTGCATGCACTCAGCGCCTGTTTTGCCTTGTACCCGAGACCATGAGAGCATTGTGATAGCTTCTGAGCTATGCATGTCACAGTCCGGCTGGGAAGACAAACTCCTTCCAACTAAGAGGCGGCTCTTCGATAATGTAGTTAATTACTGGGAGATGTGTCTGGTTGCTCGGGGAATTTCCCTGGAAGGGAATATGCCATTTTGGAAGAAAACTAGATTGGGATATGAATTATGTCATGTCCCCTCAACCTTTCAAATGGTGCTAATTTTAGGTAATTAGCTAGTTCTACATTAGCTGACATCTGAGAGAAATCGGGATTAAATCTGAAGATACAGACCATTGGTCAGGGGCAAGGCCAGAGCTGCATGCCTCATATACATTCTCCCTTATATTCTGCACCTAACGCCAGGGGAGGATACTTTGAAAATGGTGGTGGTGATCATCACTGCAAATGTACTAAGTGCTGATGAGTTCTTTTTAGAAATAATTGTATGCCATGTGAATTTCACCTCAGAGGAACCCAGTAGGAATCCAGAAGGTCCACATCGTCATCTTCATGTTAGCATCTCTACAATTACAAAACCTGGGGTGACAATGCATGTTAAAACCCTGGTCTCCAGCTCAAATTCTCAGATCCTGTAGTAATAAAATTGGAATGCAAGCACCCATTTTTTCTTGCCTCGCAGCACTTTGTTACCCCTAAAAACTGCACCAATGAAAACGTGTCATTCTTAGTAAAGGGTTGAGGCAAAGCCCAGAGGTGGGCCCTTGGTACCAGGCAGTAATCTCAAGGCATAGAGACCGACTGAATTCCTCTCCTGGGAATTCATCTCTCTTGGGGAAGATAAACTAGAAGGGCCATGCTCAGTGTCTGTTCTCCTGGGCTTCCAGGTCTGACACTATGAATAGTGCGTCATGGCCTGTTCATTCCATGAACTGTGTCAACACAGCCCTAGGTGCCTCTCGTTTGAGATGACTTCCCAACAGAGATGACCTATTAAATCTAGGAGTCCCAAATGACACGTCTCTTCTTCCAATCCCCATTTCTCTTTCCATCCCAACCCCAGAGAACACCTGACTCAAAAATCTGCCACTCAACACCAACAAGGCCGCTCAAGTGGAAAATTCCATACTTGACCCCATAAAATTGGTGCATTGAAACATTGTGTGGAGTTACCTGCAGACTACTTGTAGTAGGTGTTTTGTCTGGAACAAAAGTGGGTCTCATCTTTAGACTTGGGTACCATCCTTAAAGCATCTCAACTACATACAAACAAATACTCAAAAAAAAAATGCAGATTCCAAGACACTCAGATCCCACACATTTTGGATGAGTGACTCAGGACCTGTGTACACCAATGGTGTACCGTGTCCCTTTAGGTAAACAGTCTAGGTAGGACTACGCCCAAAGTCACACCATGAACAAAACCTATCATTTCCAGGGAAGCTACCTCTATGGTACACCTTATAGAGGCTTTTAAATGCATAAAGGAAAGATTAAGGTGGATTAAACCTAGTCAGAATCCTTCAGCGAGGCTTTTGGAACATTAATTGAGCTCTGAAAGATGGAGTGATGATCTTGTTAGAGGCCCTAAGGGAATAATAGCCATTAAGACTGGTAATTCTGCATAGGTAGAGAAAAGGATGTGCCTGGTCTGTATCAGAGGTGGTAGCTAGGGAAACAAGGGTGAAGATGAGTCAGCTACTCGGAGGACCACTGTGGAAAAGGCAAGGGGTTAGCAATGATTTGTGTTGGCTGTATCGGACTGCTTCTGATTTGGGACTATAAGGGGTAGTGAAAAAGATTCATTCAAAGGCAAGTGTTCTCAAGAAGGTCAAGGGCTGGGGCTGCCACTCCGATGGCAGAGTGCTTCTCGGCATGGAAGGGTTGAATCCCCAGCATCATATAAGCCCGAAGTGATGGCACACACCTATAATCCCAGCACTCAGGAAGTACAGGCAGGGGAATCAGAAGTTCAAGGTCATCCTTGGCTACGTAGTGATTTCAAGACACTCCAGGGCTGCATGGGACCCTGAAGAGAGAGGGTGGAGGAAAGAGGAGAAAAGAAGAAAATCGACAGCATTCCAGCATTTGCATCAGGCCAGACAGGCACCCTAGTCTAGAATAAAGGAACTCCACCCCTTCCTGTTACCACCCTCTTTGTACAGAGAAAGAAACCAAGATTCAGAGAAGAGGGAATTGGCTCAGTTATGTTTTCATCACACACAGTGGAAGATTAATCCATGGTAGAAGAGTAACCTCCAAATAGAAAATGGCCACCAAGTCCAGCCATGAGTTGAACCCAGCTGCAAATGAATCGTCTATAAAAATCAAAAAAATCTAGAAAAGTAGGCCATGACTAACATGACAGCTCTAGCATTCCCCTGGGCAGAAGAACTCACCTGATTAACCATCTGTGATTTTAAAAATTAAACTTCAGAGTCAAGACTTGTAGCCAGTCTTTTCATAAGCAAAACCAAACAATCCCGGAAAGCGAGAATCAGACTTCACAACTAGACCCACGACGTTTTACAATCCCGGAAAGTGAGAATCAGACGTCACAATTAGACCCACGACGTTTTACCTGACGCAGCGCTAGAGAGGGATCACAGCCTTGTTACCCGATGACAGCCAGGTTCTGAGACTTATGCAGCCGGGTGATTGTGTTGCTGTGAGATCGTGGAGTGTGCTTACACAAGCCTGAACAGTAAGGACCAACCAAGAAATGTAACAAAGCTGGACACTGTGAACTACGGCTCTAGTCCCAGCCCTGGGGAAGCTGAGGTAGGAGGACCCAAGTTCCATGCCAGCCTGGGAAACGCTATATAATGAGACACTTTCTCAAAAAGGAAAAGAGAGAGAGAGAGGGAAGTGAGGGAGGCAAGGGGCCACAATGTATGAGGCTCCTCATAACGTATCATGGCATACTGTTTTATAACGAATGTTTTGTTTATAAATACAAAGAATACACTCCAAAATATGAAATAGCACGGTGTGTAAACTAGTGGCATTGTATGTTTATTACTGAGTGTTGCACATGCTCTACTTGCATACACCACTGTTAGTATTGTGTGTTTGCACCAGTAACACTAAGAACACATGAGTGATGTGTTGCACCAAGACATCGGGGCCGAGGGCTGGAGAGATGGACGCTTTGCTAAGTGTCTGCTGTGCAAGCCTGAGGCCCCGAGTCTTGGGCCTCAGTTTGGATCCGCAAACACCCACGTAAAAAGCTGGGTGTGGTGGCGAGCATCTATGACCCCAGTCCTGGAGGAAGAGGGCAGAGGCAGAATGGCCTCTGGAGCTCATTGGTCTGTTCGCCTATCAGAACTGATGAGCAGTAGGTCCAATGAGAGACCATGTCTCAAAAATAGAGAGCAATTGAGGAAGACACTCAAAGTTGGCCTGTGGCCTCCGCATGCACATACATGCACATGCAGCCACACTCACTTGTACGCACGCTGTGATGGATTGAATGTCCGCCGTAGGCTCATATGTTTGCACACTTTGTCCCAAGTGGATGGTGCAGTTTGGGAGGTTTGGGAGATACGGCCTTGCTGGAGGAAGTATGCTGCCGAGCGTAGGCTTTGAGGTTTCAAAGCCTCACACTATTCCCAGTTCACTCTCTCTGCTTCCTGCTTACACTGTAAGACATGAGCTCTCAGCTTGTTGCTCCAGCCACTGGACCTGTCTGCTGCCACACTTCCCATCTCTGACGAGGAAGAACTCTTATGTCTCAAGATCCATAACATATATGGAAAAGTTACTAATACACATATATACAAATAAGCCTTTCCTTCTGTAAGTTGTTGTCTTAGTTTGGGTTCCTATTGCTGTATGAAACGCCATGACCAAAGCAACTTGGAGAGGAAGGGTTTATTTCACTCAGTTCCATATCACTGTCCATCACTGAAGGAAGTCAGGGCAGGAACTCAAGCAGGGCAGGAACCTGGAGGCAGGAGCTGATGCAGAGGCTATGGAGGGGTGCTGCTTACTGGCTTGCTCCTCATGGCTTGCTCAGCCTGCTTTCTTATAGAACTCAGGACCACCAGCCTAGGGATGGCCCCACCCACAATGGGCTGGGTCTTCCCCCATCAATCACTAATTAAGAAAATGCCCTCCAGACTTATCTGCAGCCGATCTTATAGAGGCGCTTTCTTAATTGAGGCCCCCTTCTCTCTGATTACTTATGTCAAGTTAACATAAAACTAGTCAATACAGTTGCCAGTACAGTACTAATACACATACATAAACCACACACACACACACACACACACACACACACACACACACACACACACACACACACACGACATTAGGACAGTTATGACATCACTACATGATTAAAAACCTTCAACTCTATTATTACCCTTATGGAAGCACCATCCTATATTTGGTTCCCTGTTGGCAAAAATGTCACCACACAGCACATGAGCATATCAATTTTTTTTAACTAAGGAGTGGGGTGGAAAAACAGCTCAGTAGTTAAGACACTTGTTCCAGACGACCTAGTTTTGGTTCTCAGCATCCACATTGGATGCTCATAAGCACCTACTACTCTAGTTCCAGTGTGCCCCTTTCTGATCTTTGAAGGGACCTGCATGCACATGGTATGTACGTATACATTCAGGCACATACACATAAAATAGTAAGTATTTTTAGAGATAAAAGTGTAAGAGCAAGGCAGCATTTTTATAGAAGAACTGAGAATGAAACAGAACTTCCAAAAATGAAATATAGCATTACTAGAGAAAAAGACACCAGTTCGAGCTTCAAACAGCAAGAGGGGATAACTCAGTGACTGACGTGTCTTCGTGTAGACTGTATACCAGGACTGTCAACAGTAAAGCTCAGCTACTGTGACTAGAGCCTGGCACTATGAAATGACAGTGACTTGTGGCTTTCTATTTTTAAATAAAACCCAGCATGTAGGAGGCAGAGACAAGCAGATCTCTGAGTTTACATCCAGCCTGGTCTACATAGTAAGTCCCATGCCAGCCAAGACTATATAGTGAGACTCTGTCTCAAAAATAAATAAATAATATTTTTTAATAATAAAAACTGGGTGTTGGTGGTACACACCTTCAATCCCATCACTCAGGGGGCAAAGGCAGGTGGAGCTCTGAGTTTGAGGCCACCCTGGTCTACAGAGAGTTCCAGGACAGCCAGGGTTACATAGAGAAACCCCGTCTTGCCAAAAAACAAAAAAAAATTTTTTTTTTTTTTTGTTTTTTTTTTTTTTTTTGTTTTTCGAGACAGGGTTTCTCTGTGTAGCTTTGCGCCTTTCCTGGGACTCACTTGGTAGCCCAGGCTGGCCTCGAACTCACAGAGATCCGCCTGGCTCTGCCTCCCGAGTGCTGGGATTAAAGGCGTGCGCCACCACCGCCCGGCCAAAAAAAATTATTTTTAAAAAGAGACTGGAGAGATGGCTCAGTGGTTAAGAGCACTGACTATTCTTCTAGAGGACCTGGGTTCAATTCCCAGCACCCGTATGATGGCTCACAACCATTTGTAACTCCAGTTCTGGGGGTTCAGACATCTTCTGGCCAGGCATATACAGACATATACGCAGACAAAACACCCATATACATAAATAATTTTTAAAAGTATGATTTAAAAACAATAATAAACCGCCGGGCGGTGATGGCGCACGCCTTTAATCCCAGC